CGACATGGTCTTTTGAGACCTGCGTGGTGGCTATCAGAGGTCGGTGGGCCCCTCAAAAGCCGGTGCAGGAGCCTCGGGTGTCAGTTTGGAGCCATCATGGACCGGTGTGAAGTCCTGATGAATACCTAGGCGTCAAACCCCTAGACGTCAGGGTGGGGCCGGGCGGTGAGGCAGGCACAGACCTGAAGAGAAGAGGAATTTTCAGATGTCGGCTTGGCATCTTAACACCGCGTGGTTCTCCTGCTCAGTGACCCGACCTGACCCCTCCCCAGACACCCACCGTGTGGTGGGGCCCTGCATGGCTTTCTCAGAGGCTGACATATCGTACTGCGGGACCTCCATGAGCCTCAAAAACCTCTATGGGCCCCCTCACGCGTGGGGTAGGCTTCCTGAAGCATAAAATATCTGAGTCTTGAGATGGGCCCATTAGACATGAACTGGGCCATCAATATACATGTGGTGAGTTGACCTATATCAAACATGATATCGGCTCAATCAGGATTGGGATAGGCCCTCTCAGACCCAGACCAGGCACGGAGTACGGACCCTCCCACACATAGGATGATCCTTTCATTCCTGGGATGAGTCTTCTCAGGCCTGAAATGGGCCCCTCTCAGGCCTGAAGTGGACCCTCTCAGGCCCCAAATAGGTCCTGAAATGGGCCCTCTCAGGCCTGATATTAGCCCTCTCAGACCTGAAATGGGCCCCTCTCAGGCCTCAAATAGGACCTCAAGGGCCTGAAATGGGCCCTCTCAGGCCTGACATTAGCCCTCTCAGACCTGAAATGGGCCCTCAGACCTGAAATGGCCCCCTCAGCCCGTAAATGGTCCCTATCATGTCGAAAAAGGGCCCCCTGGCCCCTCATACCGTAACTGGGCCCTCTCAGGTCTGAAATGGTGCCTCTTATGCCTGAAATGGGCCCTCTCTGGCCTAAAACGGGCCCTCTCTGGCCTCAAACAGGCCCTCTAGGGCATGAAATGAGCCCTCTCAAGCTTGAAATGGCCCCCTCAGGCCAAAAATGGGCCCCTCTCAGGCCTGAAATGGGCCCTATCAGGCCTCAAGCATGCCATCTAGGGCCTGAAATGGACCCCTTCAGGCCTGAAATGCGCCCTCTCAGGCCTGAAATGGCCCCTCTCAAGCCTCAAACAGGCCCTCTAGGGACTGAATTGGGCCCTCTCAAGCTTCAACTGGGCCCCTTCAGGCCTGAAATGGGCCCTCACATACCTGAAATGGACCCTCTCAGGCCTGAAATGGCCCTTTCATGCCATGGAACGGGCCCTCCTAGGCCTTGGATTAGTTCAATCGGGCCTTGGATCACCCCTTAAAACATAAAATGGGACTATATATCCTAAGGGGGGGGGGGGCTATCAGGCCTGACGACTGTTTTTAAGTCCTATGACGGACCTTGACATTAGTGATAACAAGATTGTCAGGCTGCATAACGTTACAGTTCGAATCGACGGTGGGCCCCTAGGATAAGAGACGGGGGTGAGATCTCACCCCTTTCACCCCCCCCTGGCTGCGCCACTGCGCAACCCCCTGATCCGGACTGGACGGGAAAGTTTATCCCATTCGGGATTGCCCGTAAGCCGAGCTCGCCCGTAGCCGGGTGCGGTGAGTGCTTGGGGGCTGCTCGGCCTATCCTTTGGTCAGGCTCAGCCCCGGCAACTCACCAGGGCCGTGCCCAGTTCATATAGAAAGGCCAGTCGGCAAGTGTCACTTTGCCAAAGTGCCACTTATCAAAGTGACACTTTTGGAAACGTTGGTGCAGGTGTGTAAGGGTGGCTATATGAATCCATTTGTGGGGTGGCCGTTTCCGATAAGTGTCTCGTAACAGCAATGAGACTCTATACGAACTGGACCCAGGGTGCTCGCCAAGACCAATGTCTTCCCCTAATCCCTACCATCCTTCCGGCTCTGACATGGTCGGTCTTGTCAGACCGAAATTGGGGATAACCCAACAAAACAAACAGTATTAGTCATCTGGCTGCGTGGTGTAGTGCTTAGCGCACTAGCATCGCGTTCAAATGACACGGGGTTCCAATCCTATCGCCGGTTAATGCTTTTGACGCGTTGTCCCAGTAAACATGCCGACGTCGGCGACTGGGGGTTCGAATCCCGCCGCCGGTTGATGTTTTGGCGCGTTGTCCCAGTAAACATGCCGACGTCGGCCCCGTCGGTCCAACGACAGACGATCTCGTCAACCTCGGCAAACGACCTCGGCCCGACGTCGGCCCGACGTCGCACTGTGGGGTCTTTGCCCCTCCTAGCACGACACTACTCCTGCGGCGGTACGCCGCAGTCAGCTGACCGCCGCGGCGCCGCGCAGCGCAGCGGAGCGCAGGGAGCCACGCGACATCTTCTGCTTTGATGTCTCGTAGTAGTTGTTTGGGCAAAATTGGGCAAAAGATAAGAGTTGATTCCAATGCAGAATTTATGGGAGAATATTTTGATATGTGTCTCCCTCCACACGTAACACCGCGTAACTCACTTTGTAAGGCTATGATTTGCCGAGTCAAATCTCCGAGACAAGTGGCATAACAACATGTTTTGTATTTCATTCAAAAATCATACCTTTGGATTATTTTTCGAACTTTTCATGCATATGCTCGTATTCCTCCTTAAATACAGATTATAAAAACATGTCGCAACATCGGATTGGTGCTTGATTAAACGAGTGAGCAGGCGTTCCGTTGTCATGTAATTTTTCGCCTCATCCTAGGGGCACGGTGCTAGTCAGCGCAACCCTTCACTTTGTGACGTATTTTGATGTACAGGGTGATCCAAAAAAATTGGAACCCGTAACTTAAAATGTCCGTAAGTCCGAAAGGTTTCACATTATTGACAAATTGCAAACACCATTGGAAAGAACGTTCAATTCTCTATAAAACCAAGTTGATTGAACTTCACTATTGCTATAAATATTGCCCAAGTTATATGCCTATAAAATTTGTGTCACGAAACTCACTGAAACGGTTTTGAACATTATGCGCAAATCAGTGATTTGCGGTTTGCTGTTCTGACCATGTCGCATGTTGGAGGTTCATGAATAAAAATAGCTCGTTCACGTGCTATTGTAAGGAATTTAAATTTCAACAAGAGCAAAAAAAAATTGTCATTCCGTGCTCCGTGCAGCTCCGTGCCACACCGCCCACTCAGTGGTCGAGTTTCTGGAACAAGCCTGCCCGGCCTTCATCGAGCCAGATGGCTGGCCACCGAAGAGTCCTGACCTAAACCCTTTGGACTTCTTCGTGTGGAGCGAACTGGAGCGAATTATGTATAGAGGTCAGAGGATCAGCACCATAGAGGAGCTGAAGGAAAGGCTGACGGCCTGCTGGGATCAGTTGTCCCAGAGACTGCTGGCCTGCGCCGTCGGAGCCGTCCCGAAGCGACTGCAGGCCTGCGTGACGGCCAACGGAGCTCGGTTTGAGCACATGCTGGGATGAACAGCGGAAGCTAGGACGCGTGTATCTGTTCTATTGTGTGCTTCTGTGTAAACTTTTATGTAATGAAATTGAAATTGGATGTGGTGTCAATTGACGATTTCGTTTCACTCAGTTTTCTGACGCTCATTCCAAAAGCTAATAGCGTGGCAATGCTTTACAACATACATACACTAATTTGACGTGATTTTATAAAGGATTTGATGCTCAGTTGTAATGGTGTTTGCAATTTGTCAATAAAGTGAATACTTTCGGACTTATAGACATTTTAAGTTAGGGGTTCCAAATTTTTTGGATCACCCTGTATAAGTCATCATTTTTAAAGCGATTTAAGGTCGGATTCGGGTACACTGGACAATTCTGCGTAGAAAGAATATAAAGAAAGTGGAAATCAAAATACTCGTATTTGCCGCTTATGTCGTGCTAGGATCGCAAAAGTCCCCACGGTGCGTCGGCTGGACTTCGGCTGGACGTCGGTGTACATGCGGGCGTACCCGACGTCCAGCCGATGTCGGGCCGAGGTTGAACCGACTTTGGGCCGACGTCGGGCCGAGCCTCGGCCCGACGTCGGGCCGACGTCGGCATGTTTACTGGGATACCTAATTTTGATTTTCGGGGATCCTATGCCTGCCTGCTCTTGCCGGATTGACCTGACCTTGACCCTGACCTATGCTTTACTGACCCCTACAGGGATCTGACACTCGTGTTGCACTTATGTGAAGGGTGTGCCCACTTTTGATCAGAGTTTGTGACGGGAGACGCCCAGTAAGACAAAGTTCATGCTACTGAAAGCCCAACTTCAGATGTTTGACCTGACCTTGACCCGAGCTGTGACCTCGAAATTCAGCTTTAATTCTTCAGCTTTAATAATTCAGCTTTATTCGAGGTGCCTCGTCGCGTTCTTTCATTTGCCACCTCGCACGTTGGGCTGCGCCTATTTATTAGGTATTTGTATTCATGGTTCTCGAGTTATCGGCCATGGGGGTGATTAACGCCCCCCCCCCCCCCCCAGCAGCTAGCTGGTGGGTGGCAAAATATACCCCAGCAGCTGCCGGGTTCATGACACATTGACACATTTTCAAAGCGGGACTCGGCAACAAACTTCGGGCGAGCTGGTCAAAAAGCCGCATATGTAAAGGACATATACCTATGATAGTTGCTAAATTAGTCAAGCTCAAGTTATTTGCGTACATTTGATCGAAGCAACTAGTGTAGCAGACGGGCCTTCGAAATCACTGGTTACAACTGTCGGCTACGACAACTGGTCTGGTTACCACCATTTCTATCACTGCTCCATGCGGAGATTCTGAATGATCTAATGTCATTTCCAGCGATTTCTTGATTGGCTTTTCGGTTCCGGAGGAACTTAATGAGGAGCGGCTACTAACTGTTTCAGCTTTTTTTAACCACTCACTTTTAACTTTTTTTCTGAGCAGTTTACCGTAAACACGTTATTGAATGGCCATGATCATACCATAGAGTCTATAGTAAACGTCTATACCGTTTACGTTGTAGATCAACGATCTTGCATTGAAATATCATATGCTTATTTTTCAGGCGGGCAAAAAAGAGAAGAAGAAGAAGTTGACAAAAGAAGAAAGGAAACGTCTCAAGAAGGAGGAGGAGGAGAGAAGAGCGCGCGAGGCTGAGGAAGCCAGGTTAGCGGTATGGGGCTCATGGTCTTCATAACATGCACTGCATGGACGTACAGACCCAATAAGCCTTCTCCAAAACCTCCTGATTATTATTTGATATGAGTGAACGAGCCAATGTTGAATGTACGGTTCTCCAGGGTATTAGTCGTTGGTCGCTCGGCGAGCGGGAGGGCAACCAGTTCCGCCCCTGTATCGCGTGACCCCTTGCTCCGCCCAGTTACGCACGAGCGTACCTACTCCACGCCGCGTAGTAGCGTGGGGAGGGGAGGGTTAGAATGGTGGCATGTGTAGAGGCTAGAACCGGTTTCCATCGCCATGCCACTGCCCAGCGACATGGTGCGGGGTCGGTGACCAGGGCGCAGGGAAAGGTCAGAGGTCAGCTATAACGTAGAACTTTGTCTCTCTCCCCTCCGCGTGTAACGACCGCACGACAGCGGCCGGCCGCCGATCAGGCTAGACATGTCAAGGTCACCCGCAGTCAACGGGCTCAGAGGGTTGGTCGAGTGGTCGTCCGTGGCTGACGACAGTCTCGACCATGTGTTATGGTGCCGATAGACTAGCGTGGGTAATAAGTTTTTGTTCAGGCTGCTGGGGTGTGTCATCTTGATATGATGCTTTGTAACATGTATGCTACGCAACCTCGCTGGCAGTGGCCGAGAGGAGGGGGGGGGGAGGCGGGTGCCGCCTCCACATGTTTATTTGTGTTGATAGCTGCGAGAGCTTAAATTTGGCAAGCCTGACCTTTGGTTCAAGCTGAATTTTTATGACAGCAGCTGTATTTTCACCCTCGCCCATATTGGTGTTTTGCCAGCGTCTATCGTAAAGAGGGGGAGGAGGGTCCGTTGGACCCCTTTGCCGTTCAGCCCCTAATCGAGCTAGAGCTTCGCGGAAAAAGAGCGTGTTGCCCGTGACGAGAGGAGGCCGATGATACCCAATTTTAACCCTCGCCGGCACAGGGGGGGTTGATGCAACCCCCCCTAAGGTTTTTCGCGAATAACTCGCGTAAAAAGCGGCCGATCGCAACGAAACTTTCAGTACCCTCGCATTGATCAATTTTACACCTACCCTGAAAATTTTTTGACCCTGACCCAAATGACCTTTGACTTGTGACCTCTTTTCCGAGACCATGTTTGGCCGGAATCGCGATTCGGCGTATGTCGGCTCGCATTAGCCGCGCGTTTGCAAGCTTTTCGTGGTTTCAAACGTTCAAACATGTGATTTGATGTTGCTCCCATACATTACGGTGGGTTTCAAGGTCAGCTGAAGGTCAGGTCAGGTCATTGACCTTTGGTGACCTCGGGTGACCTCGGTTCACTTTTTCGAGTTTTACATGCTTCTAGCCTAGTTTTTGGAGCTGAATTCGAATTTAGCAACCATTTGAACATTTACGAAGTAGTTTTGGTGTCTTCGTAACATGTTACGAAGCTGTCAGAGGCGGTTGACACGTATTACGAATACCCGTCACAACCCCTACCGGTTGACCTGACCTGACCTGACCCGACCTGGTCTAAATGCTTAAAGACATCATCTCTGATCAAAACTAATACGATATCAGCACCGTGATCGTGATCAGCACCCCGGAAAACCACATAGCAGCCACACTTTACGACTTTCTAACAGGTCCCGATTTTCCCGGTTTTTGGGTCATTGACCTGACCTGGAAGGTCACCCGATGACCTAGGACCTTAAAATTGGGTATCATCGGCTTCCTCTCGTGACGGGCAGCACGCTCGTTTTTTTTCCGCGAAGCTCTAGCTCGATCAGGGGCCAAACGCGAGGGGGGGTCGTACCAACCCCCTTGTGCCGTCGAAGGACGCAAAATGGCCTGTGCCGGCGAGGGTTAAGGTCCTAGGTCATTGGTTGACAGGTCAGTATAACTCAAAAGTCGGGGAATCGGGACCTGTTAGAGCTTCGTAAAGTGAAGCTGTTATAGGGTTTTGCGGGGTGCTGATCACGAAATTCAAGTTAGTTTTGATCACAGATGATGTTTTCGTGCATTTAGGCCAGGTCGGGTCAGGTCAGGTCAGGTCACATGTTACGAGTGAACCAAAACTACTTCTTAAATGTTCAAACGGTTTCTAAATGCGAAATCAACTCCAAAATCTACCCTAGAAACATGTAGAACTCGAAAGAGTGAACAAAGGTCATCAAAGGTCCCGATTACGGGACCGGCAAACGTGCGCTTTGTGCGCACGTTTGCCGGTCCCGTAGCTCAGTTGGTTAGAGCGTTGGACTCCGCGTGGTGAGAGCACGCGTTCCCGGTTACAACAGTCCGGGTTCGAAGCGCGACGGGCGCTCGACATTTATGGGCCTCCTGACAGGTATGGTTGCGGTTGGTGGCAGGCCGTAGCCAGGCGAAGTCAGCGAGGGGACCGGCCGTGCGCGGCTTTGTGCGCACGTAAAACTTTGGACTCCAAATTCTGCCATAGAATCGGAATTGCGCGATCGGAGGGTAGAGGGCAGGGTCATCGCAACAAGCTTCGCTTAGCGGTGGCTCTGTCCTTGTAAATTAGAGTTGCAAAATTTCCCTACCGCACTACCGGCATGCCGGTAATTTTTCACTACCGCAGGTTTTTTCGTGGTATCTGGCATGTCTTGCCGGTAGCATGCCGGTATTTTTGATTTTGCACACAAAAAAATTATCAGCATATGATTCAAACTTTGGACACTAAGAGGCTATTGAATTGTAATAACAGCAATCTTAGCCACTGCAAAATACATTTTGTGGAAAAAGTTCCATATGCCGTATTAAAATTACCGCCAAATTACCGGTATGCCGGTAATTTGGCGGTTTTTTTTGCTTGGGGCGTGGTAGCATGCCGGTATCCCAGAAAATTTTTGTGGGGCGGGGCGGTGCCGGTAGCAGCCCATTGGGAAAACTTTGCAACTCTATTGTAAATCCTTCCCATCAAAAGGTTCGGACTAAATCTATAAAAAAAGGTCAGTGACCTGACTGATCTTAACGTGACCTTGATACCCACTAGAATCCATGCGATCAACATCCTTTCATATGTTTGATCGCTTAAAGCCACAAAAAGACAATAAAACGCGTTCTACTCGAAATAGGTACGCCAAAACGCGATTCCGGCCAAACATGGTCTCGGAAAACATGTCACAAGTCAAAGGTCTTTTGAGTCAGGGTCATGCAAATTATAGGGTAGGCGTAATATTGAATAACTCGAGGGTACTGAAAGTTTCGCCACAATCAGCCGCTTTTTGCGCGAGTTATTTGCGAAAAACTGAGGGTAGGAGGTCTGTTCGACACCCTCCTACAAGTGCGGAGGTTAAGGTCAGGCCTTTGACAAATGGCGTCAAAAGTGAACCTCTGTAAGGCCCCAAAATGTCGCGACGTCGCAGCACTCTTCGTGCCAGGGGACTTTTCAACGGGGAATGAAGCTTATATGATCTAGTACTATCTCCCAGAGGCCTCACAACTTGTATGTAGCTATTTCGTATTTTTCTTAAGTCACCTGAAGTCAGGTCGGTCACGCAACCTCACGATTATTAATCAATTGGGAAATATGAAAACTGTTATTTTGGCGCCGCGAGCCATCTAAAGCTGTCTCAAGCGCATGAATTCGCGATTTTATACAATTTTTGCAAGCCCCAGCATTCACTTTTCCATTCTTAAAGTTAGGCGACTTCATTTATGACGTCACTAAGGTCACAGGAGATTTCACCAAAAAGTCCCGATCAAATTGAGCTAGCGAGTCGGGAAGCCACCAGTGGACTTGTAAGGATCTACCGCATCGAAGAAGCGATATGACCTCCTTGAGTCAGCCTCGTGGCCTGAGTGGCTCTGCCCTGACATGACCTGAGGTAAACACCTTAAATTGACCTCAACAAAAACAAAGCGTAAACTATTCGACGCGTTTGAGCATGCAAAACTCTTGGCTCTGTAACCACTTAAGGTGAAGTTGTTAACCAAAAACCGATCCCGCGACTTGGAGCACTTATACTGACCTCAGAGTTTATCGGTGGACCTGAGACATTCAACTCGGCTCGGGTACCAGTTGCTGCATCTCATACGACGCACGCGCTCAGTTTTATCTGCAAGGCGCTAGCTCAATTAGGGGCAAGAAGACGGAGAGGGGTCGTAATCGCCCCCCCCCCTCCTCCTCGGCCGGGGTATATGCAGAAAACCCAAAATTCCGTTGAAGGTTAAGCACTGAAGTGATATATTATGATGCGAGAAGGTATAGGTAAAAAGAAGTATGCACACGAGCGGATGTGAATTAAACTGTGTTTGAGGTATGCCTTTTTTATTATACATCCGATTTGCTTTAGTTATTGGTAAGAACAGATAAAACCAAGAAGAGCGCCCCTGAAGAAAAGGTGGCGCACCGGACGGGTGCGATTTTAAGGTCCAAGGTCACTCGGGGACCTCTAAGTTCGGATCAAGCGCTGCATGTTAGGGTTAAAACTTAATTTAAAAAAATGGGAGCAAACAAGCATCCCGATTTTGGCAGCATCGTCATGCTTTGTCACGGCACTCATCCACTCCCTCGGCCGAAATATTAGTTCCTTTTTGTATGAGTTCTGGCATAATCCCGCACATTATGCTGCATGTTGTTTGCCATGAAAACAGCATGTTCAGCTACGTTCTACGCAGTACGCACTAACCTAACCACCATCCCATCATCCACCACTAGCCACCATCCCGTTCTGTGATCCGTTCCACCCCACACGAATCAGCCGAGATACTAGTCAGTCGGGCTAGCGCTATCCTCCCCTCCCTTCCTGACTGCACAGCGCTAAAACCCAGAGCCGAGGCTTCCCGAGCGCGACCTCTGACCCCACGCGGTCCGAAGGGTCGGCCGATGCCTGAGGGCGCGCCGCGCGCCGGCCACCCGGATAGCCTCTGCCGAGTCTCCCTTCCATACACCGTTTACTACGCGCTCGATTCATTCATGATTCTGTGTTTCCGCGTCCCTCTCGCTAGGTGGCACCATGGATGTCATAGGCTATCCCAGGAAGATTGCGGCCAGAATACCCCAAACGGCAGAAAATGAGGTTTTTGGTGGATATCTCGGAAAGTATTTGGCATACAACGATGAAATTTCACAGTCTCGTGGTAAATAAGCATACACATAATCCGGGTTGATACTTATGCGTTTAAACATTATATAGGACCAGATATGTCCGAAAAAGCAAAACCAACAAGACTTTTACTGGAGAGCCGTACACAGTACATGTCATGTGAGATGCCACAAAACACAAATATTTGTTAGATATTATGTGAGATCTCACATAACCTGGGATCTAATCGCACGCTGTAGGCATGGCTATAGGCCGTACATTTACGGAAAAAAAATAACGCGAGTGGATATCAAGGCCAATGCCGTTAAAGGGACCCTCCCACCTTAACATTAGATTTGAGTTGAGATAGCCAAAATGGGGTCCCTGGCTCACAATTACCGGTTTCGGCACTCACAACATCGAGAAATGCCTTAAATCGGAAATATTGAATTTCAAAATTGCAGCATTTTGATTCAGAGGGGCTAATGCTTAGGAATACCCCTCTGAATGTGTGACGTCAGCGCAAATATCTAACGATTTTTAAATGTTTGACTAAAACGTTTTGTAGCACGCGGTGGTATATGCTATTTGCGCGCAACATCTGCCGCAAACGCCGCACTTCTAAAATAAAGTCGCTAGAACAGCGGAGATCCCAAAAAAGTAAACAAAAGTAAAAGTCTAATATCTTGAAAACCGGTGAATATTTTTCGGTGAAATTTGGTAGATATTTGTTTTCGCTCTTTCTGAACCGAGCGACATCGCTTTCATGCCAATTCATAAACTTTTTTGAAGGTGGGAGGGTCCCTTTAAGACCTGTCATTCCGCACGGTTGTTACGAGAGACAAATTTAATTTGAGTCAATCATAATGTGGCTTCCGCTGTCATTTCTCCCCGCAATTAGTATACTACGTATGCATAGGTCATCAGTGTGTTTTATGCATGCAATTAGGAACATCGCGTTTTAATGCGTCTCAGTCAATGTAAGTGCGGAACATCTGCGCGTTTGTTGACGGAGTCTCAAACTGAGAGGAGTGGCGGCACTTCTCTGTCGCAGCCCGCGATATTAGTCTCCTCACACGACTCCGTAATGGCCGGTCATTAGAGCAGCGACAGTGGAACAGACCAGACGATGACAGGAAAAGGAAAGACGGTATTATATTTCCGCCGTAACACTGTGTTTTTCACGTTTAGACCCGTGGCCGTGTTCACGTTAGGCATCAGATCTTACTAAGTCCACTTCAAGTTGTTTGCAACTCCCTTATCTTTCTTGCTAGTGCATAGCTCATTTCAAATCAAACAAGTATTCGAACAGGCATTTCCCTTGGCGCTTCCGGATTGCGTGCCTATGTCGCATAGCCAGTGAAGGTAAGTGCAAGCAATTCTCCATACGGTCCAATAATTACCCACCGGCTCACTCTCGGCTGTGCGCATTACGTGGACTTTCATTCGACAGCATACCATAGCTCCGGTGGCCAGCATTGGACCCGATCTGTCAGCGTTATGCCTAGCTACAGAGTCCGATGGTTTAGGCTCTATGGAAGAAGTAAGCTCATCAAAACTTAGACAGCTGTGGGACAGGTGCCGTCCTTATCCTCCAGCCGCAGATTCATTCCTCCATTCGCGGGCACTGCTGTGACGTATGTCACAACGTTATTCAGTGGTAAAAAAGGCAGGCATCACTCGAGCAGACCCGATCCCCGGGCTGCTCCCGTTATCGTGTTGTCCGTGGCACATTCGGCCGTCCTGCGTGACGGTAATTCGACCACCCTCCGCTCTGGGCACAGTACCTATGGAGTCACTAACGTCCATGGCCAGTAACCCGCCCTGTCCCTGATCCAGGCTGCAATGTTTACATACCTCCCATCGCGGTCTGATGCCTGGTAACCTGACCCTCCCGCCCTGATCCGCGTTGTCATCATAAATCTCGGCTCCGGTGACCCGACCTCCGGCCCGCTCCAGGCAGCAGTATGGTTCCCCCTGCAGTCATCCGCTGCCCACTGTCCCCTGTCCGGTAACCCAAGCTGCGGGCCGCTCCAGGCTCCAGGAGGAGGAGGCGGAGCGAATGCGCCTGGAGCAGGAGCGTCTGGAGGCTGAGGAGCGCGCCATTCGAGACGCCGAGGAGCGCGTGCTGCGTGGCATGCAGCTCATCACCACCAACGAGACGGTCAGCGAGAACCAGCGCCGGCTGGCCGACGCGCTCAGCGTCGAGTACCAAAACGACAGGGTGAGTCGGACAGAGTACCAAAGCGACAGGGTGAGTGGACAGGGTACCAAAATCACAGGGTGAGTTGGACAGAATACCGAAACGACAGGGTGAGTCGGACAGAGTAGGAACCAACTACGACAGGGTGAGTTGGACAGAGTGCCGGAACGACAGGGTGAGTCGGACAGAGTGCCGGAACGACAGCCAAATTTTTGGTGGCATAGTGCCAAAAATTGTATCAAAACGACAGGTTGAGTTTATACTTTATACCGTTGTTGCGCACAAAATTGTCCCGGTTTCCCTTGCATAAATGTCGGCTCTGCCTCTGTCTTCTGATCATTTCTTCACTGAACTTTTCGGCTGCCCTGCCCGGACATGTCTATCTACGAGCGTTTGTTGATCATCGCTTTTTTTCTCCCTTCCGGCCGGCCGGCGTTCATCGGCCCGAGCTATGGGGCCCCCATCCGCGTGTTTGCCATGTGTGACCGTGCCGCGCCGGCGTCGAAGACCCGTCAGTTGTCCCGCGAGTGTCGCGGGGGGAGAGGACCCGACAACCCTCTTCCTGGCACGAGCGAATAAAACTTAAGCCGTCAGCCAGCGTCTCGATTTTGAAGCGCGAGTCCGATATGGAACCGAACAACAACAACCGTTGTAATGCTGGAGTTGCTGAGATATTTGATTTATTTTATGCATTACAGTGCTGAGCAAATGTGTTCTGGCATTGTAAGTTCACAATTTTTTTCCTCTCACGACCTACCCATTACCTATGTCCTGTGCCGCCAGTGGGAGCGCTACATGCGCTGTGACGGGCTGCCAGATCCGCTGACACGCCAGGAGGTGACCGCCTACCTCAACAGCTGGCGCGAGACCCCGATCGAGGCTGAACAGTACCCGGAGGTGATGCGGCGCACGGACGAGGTGCTGCGCGTCATCGACGACCTCGAGCGACACGTGCGAGACAAGGCGTACGGCGACGGCGAGGTGGCACAGGACATGGCCGCCATCTTGCAGCAGTACCAGGTGAGGCGTACGGCGACGGCGAGCTGGCACAGGACATGGCCGCCATCCTGCAGCAGTACCAGGTGAGGCGCACGGCGACGGCGAGCTGGCACAGGACATGGCCGCCATCCTGCAGCAGTACCAGGTGAGACGACCGGCTCGGCCGAGCTGCGCAGTTGGAGAAGCATGGCTAACCAGTGACCATTCTGTACAGAACATCCGGTCGGTCGGTCGCCTCGGTTCATCTGAGCTGTTAAAACAGCAACTGAGCGGGCGTTCCGATGATGTCAAGTCTTGGCAGCCCGTTAACTACCCTTTCACATGGCAGGACACGCAGACGGAGAAGCTGGACGTGGCCACGTATAACCTGCTGACGGACCTGCGACCGCACGTGGACCTGGAGACGAACACGGTGCAGTTCTGCAGTCTGGGCCGCCACGTCAGCCTGGCCGTCTGGTCTAACTGCAGCAAAAACCTGAAAAACAAGGGCTTCCTCTTCAAGGTGAGCTATCTCGGTCCTTTGAGAAATTTGAATGAATGATAAGAGCGTAATCAGCATACAGTGAACTCAGATCGGGTTTCAATTATGCCCAGCGATTTTCTATTTTGTTTAGGTTCGTTTGCTGTAATCATCATTACTTTGACGTTTGAGTTCTAATGACTGATGTTTTTACTGTCACTTCCTCGAATCAAGCTGTGCATACCTAAATGTATCTCGGTAAATCCGAGAAACTGCCAGCCCTGAGTTGAGCCGATGCGCCGCACAGGACCTGGGCGTGCGCTTCGAGCTGCCCAAACAGCTGATGGATAAGGACATCGCGGTGCGAATCATGCGCACCGAGTACGACCACGTCTCGAAGTTCTGCCGCTCCAAGAAAATGCTGGACTTGGCTGAGTTCAGAGGTAGGTAAGAAAAATGAAGCCCTGACTCTGCTCAGGATTCGCGATGATTATGTGAATAAGCCGTTTGTGTTTGTTGTTCATCAATCTTTGGTCATGCAGTAATATGGTGGCGTGACAGTTTTTTTAAGCGTGTTTTATTATGGGCAGGTACGCAAAATGCTTATACTGTAGAGTTATAACAAAAAACAACCTACCAGTATCTTCAGTATCACATTTTACGTGCTGCTGTACGTAAAGTTCTTCACCAAGTGTGATGAAGACCAGTGGCTGTCAAACAACTTAGCGAAAATTAGACGCAACTTGGCGGGGCATTCGGCCCATCAAGCCTCGCTGTAAGTTAGACGACGTGTCCCTTGCCTCTCACCGGTGTTTATTGACGACCATAAACTGCATTAAAGCGAAAGCGGGCGGCACATTCACGTAGTTGACGCCATTTAGGTGTTTAAGTGGTGGTGGGAGCCTAATTGTCAACACTTTGTGTCCTTGCGGTGATGACACCGAGTTGAACACTGAACAGCTAGGCGTTTTCATGTCTGAATACGGCATGGTTATGATGCCAGACCAAAAGCCGTGACAGTTACGTCTTGATGTCATACGTGTCGGCCTATGACACGTTGACATTTGCTTATTGATTTTACTTGTCACCTAATTTTACCTCTAATTCAAACAAAAGTTTTCCTATTTATTGATATGCCTTCTGATACCGACTGGTAGGTCATACCGACTGAACACTGGGCACTGGACAGGCTGTGGTAACATGAACTGGATCTGTGGATCTGTGATCACCCGGTGTGAGTGTTTGACCTTGCTCTGAGAGCTTGTGACGCTCTCTGGCGCTGTTCGCTAGTGCGCGAAGCTTTTCCCCGAGAATTCATTTCTGTAACGTTCTCGGACACTGTTCTCGGTTTGCGATGCTCCCCGCTGAAAACTGTGACTTGTCTACTGTCTAGCTCTATGACGCTCTCGTTCTCGACTGTGCGACGTTCTCTGCTGTATCCTGAGACCCGCGTGCCGTCCCCGGCAGCGCGAGAGACGCTCTCGGACGTGGTTCTGGAGGAGGACCTGCGCCGGGAGCGGGAGCGGGAGGCAGCCCGGGTCGCCGCCGAGCAGCAGGCCGAGCGGGAGGCGGCAGAGGCGGAGAGACTGGCCGCGGAGGCCGCCTCGGCAAAGGTCAGTCCGCCGCCGACCGTCCGGCGATACTGTCGCGGTTCTTAGAGCTGTGGAATCGCTGAGACAAAATGGATCCCAGACATTTAGAGCTACGTACACCAGGAAAATGGAGCTATTCCCCACGTCAAATTAGTTGCATGGCTGTTTTTATTATTTTTGCTTTTATTGTATCCTACTGCCCTTCATACTGGCATTGCATCGTTCCCACTCCTGAACAGATTTTTAAGTCAAGAATGAAAGCTGGGAATCAGCATGCTCTGGCAATAAAACACAAGTCTCAAATGGCAACGATATTCTGCTCTAATTGGCAATGACATTTGTGCTGCACAAAAAAAAAAACAGTATTCAAGGTATTCAAGATGGTTATTTCATAATTGCTGTTGTCGCTCGGATTCCTCACGTATTATCGGCACTTCAAAGACGACATGGCCTCTGCTTTAATACCAATCTCTGGCAGAGACTCAGTATTCCCTCATCCAAACACAATATGACGTGACCCCGTTCGCCGGCACTTCATAACGCGTCGCCGCCGTCGTCTCCCTGCGTCTGTTTGGCTGAGTCTGGGCTCCTTTGAAGCGGCACTGCCGCCTACGGGCGGGACTCGTATAAATCCGCCGGCAATATCTCGGCCTTCCCGCGACATGCGGCGTGTTGTGTGCGTGCGAGCTGTCCGGCTCAGATTACGGCCGTTTGTCTGTCTGCTGGTCTGGTCGGCACCGCCAGCCGGGTGCCGGCCGGTCAGTCTCGAGTAACGTCAGATGGTACAGACTACAGTGTCTGAGAGGCGGGGGCGTGAATGGGCGCCGGAAGATGACGATTGACGAGTGTCTGTCTGAGTAGTGGATGGTAGGTGGTTCTAGTTTCATACAAGCATGGGTGAACTTGTACGCCATTTTTTTGCCCGTGATCTACCCTAGCCATATGCTTACTTCCAGTTGTGTAGTCTAATTTTCAAGCGATTTCCTGTGTTATCTATTACCTTCTAAATTAAGCCTCAACTTAGATTATCATCCCCCCCATTTTACCATTAAAGAACGGGGTGATACTGTCGCTGAAGTTCGTAATTACAACGGTCATACGATTGTACCATCACAGTCACGTGGAATTGAAATGTTCGGTAATGCACAAGAACTTGATATTTAGCGCCCACACTTTTCTGAGGACCGTTGAGAATGAGATGCAGATTGCGTTTGCAGCAAGTAGCAACCACTGATTGCCTTCCAAGATCGGGACGGTCGTATTGGGTATTCAATCAGAAGTTTTTCGTTCGCTCCCATTTTGAGCCTCGTTAAAGACGATCGTCTGGTTCATGCTCATAATTGTTGATAATACTCGTGGAATTGGTAAATTCCAGCCTAGCAAAAGAATCTGTTAATTGCTATCCAGCTCCAGTATCCCTGGTGAATTATCATTATTTTTATTTAACGAACAAAGTTCAGCACTCAGCAGCTGCACCGCTCTCGCATACGCTCGCTAGTGTCTTGCGGTAACCAATACCTATTTGTCTGATGGGTGATGACAGAATACGAGTCATCCGGCGTGGTCCATCTGGTCAGATATTGTAAGTACCTGTCTGACCACTGCAGGTACGTCAGGGGACCCCGGCGCCCTCCTGACTGCCCTTGACGCAATGCGCACTGCGCAGCGGCTTGATGTCTGTGTCTCGGCTGGTGTCCTTGGTCAGGGCTAGAGATGTCAAGGTATACCGATACCAAACCGATACCAACTTGGTATTTGGTATTTCTATCGTAATGTGTTTGGTATTTTGTTGGTATCATAAACCCTCACTAATATATAAGAGGCTAAGAAATCGGTAAAAAGTTGGTATTTCCCTCATGTTCCCAAGTTGGTTTGGTTTCGGTATTTTCCCGTGGTTTTGGTTGGTATTTGGTTTGGTATCGGTATTCCGATTTTCCGTAATTGACATCACTAGTCAGGGCCCAGGGGAGCCGTCCATGGCACGGCGTGGCCCCTGGGAATGTGTCTTGTAGTGCAGTCCCTGCGGTCAGTGGTTAGCCATCACCTCTTGCCATATTCCGGCGGTCTCTGGGGTCGGACGTTCATTGTCCCTCCGTCCTCCCTCGCCGTGTGCTGACCTGTCTGATATTGATGTTGGAAAGACATAGACATGATAATGTCCATATGGGACTGGTATGTTGTACTAATCCGGTTCCTGTCGCACATGTCTTATGCTAGATGTGGCATATGCCATAGAACCGTTTCCTTTTCTATGTGATTTTGGTCTACCACTCGTTGGATACCCGGTGCAATCAATGATCCGAATAGGTGGCGCTAAAGATGTATTTTAATTCTACGTTCATCGGTGTATTAGCGAAAGAAGGCGCATGTTGTATGTATCTTATGCTACGCAGTCGATTTCTTTAGCCGTTGATCCCAAGATACCCTCATGCATTCTCAATCCTTTCTTTTCACACGAACATTATATATTCTTCTCACATGTATTTAGCGAGAAAAAAACGCGGTACACACAATGTCATTAATGTAAAAGGTTAATGCATGTCACTGTACACCAACATTGGCATCACAGCACTATGATGTACGATAGTTGTCACACCAACCTACATACAGGTACTCTTCGGGGATAATTCAGCACTCATTGCATGTCAACACACCTGTGCCATTCCTTACAAATCACAGTCGCCAATATAAGGCATTAGTGAAACCCGTTCTGAACCACAAGGCAGTAAATGAACATCGACATACACTTCACTTCAATTGACTTTTCACTCATAATCGTAGCGGGAGCAATCGTGAGCGGCACACATTCGTAGTCGTGATTATGTACTCGTAAACGTACTTTGGTCGCTGTGAGTCACAGCGAGCTGACTATTCACTCACAGTGGCGCACAGCGATCGAGTACGTAAACGTACTCCGAGCATGACCAAAACACAATGCATTTTATATGAAAGCACCGTGGCGTTCACATATTGCAACTCACAGCACCGCACTGTTAAAGCGTCCTTACTCGGCTCAGTCGGGCATTTGTAAGGGTTCACCGCGCTGCTACCGCGTCCTCGGTCAGGTGCGGTTGAAATACCGAGGGACTGAAGATCAAGATGCTGATGATCCTGAGATGAATGTGACTGAGCCGACGCCGAATATTTTCACCGGTTTTAAGTAGCCGCCGCCTTCAGACCTGTAACAGAGGTTAGGAATTAGGATTACAGGTTTGCTTTATTTCACGAAACTTTAAGCAGATATTCGATCTCCCTGATGTTTATCCATTGGTCCGTCGATCGTAAGAAAGGGACATGAAACTATAAAGTGCAAATTTGTTGATATTCAAAATAATTTCGTTGAAATGTAAAAATATCATATACAAATCGTTTATTTGTATTTTTAAAGCATAGTACTTATCCTTTTTTAATTCTTTTTTTATAAATTTAGCCCGAAACTTTTGATGGGAAGGATTCCCAAGGACAGAGCCACCGCTAAGCGAAGCTTGTTGCGATGACCCTGCCCTCTACCCTCCGATCGCGCAATTCCGATTCTAAATATGGCAGAATTTAGAGTCCAAAGTTTAACGTGCGCACAAAGCCGCGCACGGCCGGTCCCCTCTCTGACTTCGCCTGGCTACAGCCTGCCACCAACCGCAACCATATCTGTCAGAAGGCCCATAAATGTCGAGCGCCCGTCGCGCTTGGAACCCGGACTGTCATTACCGGGAACGCGTGCTCTCACCACGCGGAGTCCAACGCTCTAACCAACTGAGCTACGGGACCGGCAAAATTCTCCTTGGCAAAATACTATAAATTTGTATTCGTTCAGTTCGTACTAAAACAATAAAATGGCGTAACAAAAATTCATAGATTCAAATCAGTTGCTGGTGTTGAAAGCCTTCAGCCTGTTTGAAAGAGTGTTCCATTTATTACGTCTATAAATAATGGTTGCAAATGTGGCCAGAACCTTTGCAGATGGGTTCATCTGGCTTACCTTGTATTTGTTGAGCAGGTCGCGCGTCTGCTTTAGCTGGACGTGGCGCAGCATGTTCTCCTCCTCGTCGCCAATCTCCGACATCCGCTTGTTGACGCTCCAGCTGAGGATCCGCTGGTAGCTCTTCTTGACCTCCATCTCGAAGTAGTTTTTCGGCTTCTGGTTAAGGAGCTCCTTCTGGAAGGGGGCGGCTCCGCTCTGCTTCTTATCCATGGCAGCGAGACGGTACCGGCGGACACAGAACACTGGGAGAAGACACGGCAGCGCAGAGACACAGGACCGGCTCACTCGAGGGCACAGCAGCGACTGACGGACAGACGATCCCCGGAGTTTGCAGTCCTTCGAGCGTTCCTTAATGACGGACTTACCCGAAAACCGGAGAAGCCAAAACACCCGATAGCAGCAATTAAAACGCAATCCATCATGTCCTCAACTCGCTATGGGGTGACATATCGCCGATGGGGACGAAGATTGTGTTAAAGGGAAGGATTAGTGGCGAGGCTAAGGGCCCGGGAAGTTGGATTCAGCACCGGAGGGCCTAATCTCCCCGAGACCGGAAGGGTACGAGACCCCCGCTGGTAGATAACCGTGTGACCGTTAGACCCGTAACCTGTAAATGGGCGATATCATAGGGGTAGATAGATGCAAAGGGAAAGTTCAGACCCAGACCGTGAGAACTCGTGTCGTCTCATTATGCATGTCGTCGGAACTCGGGTCGGTTGAACGCCATACTTTCTAAATCTGGGTCGATTTGAGAGATTTTGGAAAATACCGTCATCACTGAATAGTGAATACAGACAAGGTACCCTATTATCACAATTATTCGTATATTGGACTGGACTGGACGCATATTGTTGCATGCTAAGTACAATTTTCCCTACAAAACAATGGATCGATTAATTTTCCTAAGTGAATTTCACAAGGCGCATTTAGTGAGCCCTTCTTCATGTAACTAACGGCACAGCCCTGTCGATGATGGGCGGTCAAGTCGATAATAAGGCTGCCAAACACTCTCCAACTCGAGGTAAAGTTTTGCCGAGTTTCTTTACACCCAAAAGACATCACTTTGGAATAGCCAACCCGCTATGAATACAGTAATTGCGCCTGGCTCGTGTTTAGACGACCGTTTTTTTGTCATTGTTATTTATTGCGCCGTGCTTACTGTTTATGATATGCTATGGGAAGAAATGGATATATAACTATAAAATTATATTTAAGATATATTAAATTAAACCAATAAATCAAGAAAAATACATACCGTTCGTCAAGGCGATTATGCATCATAATAAATTCCTTTCGATCCATTACTGTTTGCTGGCGTGTCCTACTCCTGAGACCGCAATTACTAGGCATACCAAAACCAGCTGACTGATGGAAATATTTAAACGTCTCGACTTCGCCCATATTGCCTATGGCCCGATGTACCCAATGTCCATGGTCAGCCACGACTGGCGCCACCCGTGCAGCAGCACTGCTCCGTGCCGCCCCTCTCCGTCGGCCGCACCTGCCGGCGCCGATCGGCACCCGGAGCACGAGTCGCTACCGCCGCCTGTCGGGACCGATCGGCCTAAAAGCCGGCAGACACCGCGGCCGTAACCGGCAGCCGGCCCGGGAGCGGCACCGCACTCCGGGGAGGGATCGCCGGCGGGCCGCGGCCTGACCGGCGGCTCTCAGATGACCCCCCGTGACCGCCCGGGAACAGTGGTCACGGCCGAGAGCTGCAATCTGCGGCACTCCGGAACGTCGCGTGGGCTGGGAGAGCAGAAATGAGCAATTCTGCCAGTGAGGGGCACTTTTGTATCTGACCGTACTAAATTGGTGCAATGGAGTATGGATTTCAGTCGTGAAATATTTTCATCCTGTTTTTATCGTGTCCCAGTTTCTGGTAATCGTTCATTGACAGAAACAGGCATGCTGTGGACGGAAATCATCCGGTGAAAAATTCCGACTGGATGTCATCATCAGGTGCAATTAGAGCCCAGAGCCGAGATAAGGGAACCGAGAGGATCGGCCTCGCCCTTCGGCCTTGATCATTTGATTGATGTGATCGAGGGGAATGCTTCCGATCAACACTGCGGTCTTCTTTATAGAATAATGCTGGAAGTGGCCTTGAAGTAGTGTCGGGTGCAGCCATTTGGCTTTGATATACTCTAAATGGCAGATAGTTATAACTGCCGGTGTCACTTCAGGGCATCGATTATGCCGGACGTCGCCGGTCATAGTATTTTTGTCAGTGCCTATACGCCAAGCTGGAAATGATTTGACCGATTGCCCCCTAAAGGTCATCATGTCCAATGTCCATCCCCATGGGATCCGTAAAACCATATCGTCGCTAGCCGTAAAACCTGATGCACCACTCACAGGGAGGCCGTATGCCCATGGCCGCTCATATTCTCCTGCCAATGTATTTTCTTATGGACGAATGTGTGGCAGCATTGCAGCTCGGCCACTCCGCGGGGACTGCTCCGAGACTGCCGGCCGGGTGCCGCGGTGCTCCGGCGCCGGCCGGGAGGTGTGGGCGGCGCTCCCGCAGGAAATCACCGCGCCGACGTCGGACGGACGCCGATGGGCCGTCGTCGCCGCCTCCGAGGGGGGTGGGCCGACCGCCGTACGCAGCCACTGCGCCCAGAGGTGTTATTGTGCTCACTGGCGTGCGATTGAGACTGACTGTTTATTACGATGAATCGGTAGGAGTGGGTCTCTGTTGAAAGGCTTGGTGTCGATCGTGTCGATGAGCTGCGGCGAAAAGAGGAAAGGGAGTACGTTTTTACTCTTATAATGCTATAGAAAGTGATGGCGAAGCACTGCATAATATATCATATATATGGGTCTTAATTACCAATAAGTTGCATTTATTCCCTTGCACCCGCCCCATTTCACACACCAAACACGTCGTCACGATTCCATTGGAACATTGTACAGAAATGATATGTAGGCATTTTACCCAAGGATTTTACCTTTGAAGCTGTAGGTTTTATTTTTGTGCTGGTTTGAGAGCGTTATTTTCAAGGCGCTTCTGAAAAAAGAACGTTATATGTAAATGTACCTACTGTTGGCAAAGCAATAAAAATGTGCAATAGCATCGAGTGAAGTTGTTTGACTGGATCCCATGCTGCTATCCAACAGATCAATAAACATGACTTTTCGCTGGTTCATCCATCTCACGGTCTTATGTGGCTTCTCTCAGCTGTCCCATTTTGAAAGGCTACGGCCGAAACCTTTACATAGACTTCAACTATGCACTTCCCTTTACATTCGGTGTCCACTGACCGGTTTTATTGTCTGTTGGGTCGTGTGTGGGTGTCACTGTCACCGCACGGGACCAGATTGATTTGGACTACGCTCCCGAAGTGTCGCGGGGTGCGCGACATTTTAGTCGAGCTCAGCCCGTACATAATGCACGCAATTTAGGAAACGTGCATGCATACATACCTACATTCACAGCATAGGCCCTAGCCGCAAAAGTATTTGTGTACAACTTGATGGCAGAATTGAAAATATGGCAGCATGACCACCTGACTCCTCACCAATTACTCACTCCAGGCTCCATTCCCAAGTGTGACTTTTTCGTCCCGCCCTTCCCACAGGACAAGAAGCCGGGCTTTATGTCGGCTGGCAGCAGCCGCAGCGGATCCCCGGACAAGAGCAGCGCGCCCGCGTCGCCCTCAAAGTCGCCCAAGGGCGGAAAGAAGAAGGGCAAAAAGGGCAAGAAGGGCAAGGACAAGTCCAAGTCGCGCAGTCCGAAGCGCACGCCGGTGCCGGACCCGGAGCCGGAGCCGCCTGGTAAGTTCCGGTGGACAGATGGACGGCTTTTGCCGGCGATAAAATGTTTATAAATATTAGCCCAATAGGTATCCGTCGCCTGTCGAATCTGGGGCAGTGCACCAAATCCTGCTACTTCCGTTTCTCCCTAAGGGTCTCGCCATTTTTGTGGCTTTAAAACTATGGGAATTATCTGGCCCCTCATCAACCTCCATTGATTTGACATGTCTTTGGATATGTTCTGCTCTGCCAGGCAAGTATTGAAATTAAATCAACTAGTAACCACCAACACACTTCCGCAATGCGTGGCTACGAAATTGCGCTTTATCCACGAACTGTGTGCCGATATCGCCGCATTTGCTCTTAAGCCGGTCGTTACTAAGTTTCTGCAACACACCTTCCATTCAGTGCCGCTTTGGCATTTCTACCAAGTGCGGTTGCCATTAGCGAGCCGGCTGTGGCCGTTCCTAGTGGAGCCACTATATTCGACTGGGGCAGTCTGGATGTGTCGGCAGTCTGGGAAGTTTGAACATATGTTGAGTATGATATACGCTATAGGAAAATAGCGTGGCGGGACTTTGTAGAGCCATAGCACTCTCGCAAATTCGTCATAAAACCCTGGCTCTCTGATTGCTCACCGCTGTGTTCTGTTTGACAGAAGATAGACATGAACAGTAAACAATAAACATGCTTTGGCGTTAAATGCAGTTCTAATAAATGGTAGGGACATTGTATATCACTAGGCATTTATAAAGTTCTCAGACTTGCCATTCGATAACTACGCTCACTGTTATGTACAATGGCACGTCGCCGAAAGTTCCCGAATGCTACCTGGACTTTGGTCTTTCACCAGCCATCTATAGACGGCTGAAAAATGGCGTCACCGGATAATTAAAGGTCACCGCGCCGACGGCTGGTGTCGCGTGCACTGCGAACCGTCCAAAGGTGTCGTGTTCAATAGTTCAGAAAGAGGTGAATACTGTGTGCACATTGATCATCGCCGAATATGCTGAGACAGTGCGATTTTGTTTAGGACGATTGAGGTGCCTTCGCCCGGTGCCGAAGAGTGCCCCATTCACAGGAGCTACTGCAATTGGTCGTTTTCATCAATAGGGTGATGAAGGGAATATGAAGTGGCCTGCTTTTTAACCAAGCAAGCCGCTGACACGTTTGTCGCATGCTGATTCTCACGTCAACTTCAAACAATTATTAGCTTGAACGCGTGTGGTGTACCTACGGTGGAATAAAGTGTCATCCAACGCGCAGCTCTTGGTGACGGAGTCTGAGGGAAGGTCCTTCCTTCCGAAATGTGTGCAAATATGCAGTGGACTCCATGTGGAGCGTAAATTCGGTGACTGGTGATACCTAAGCTGCGGGCAGTTTAAATCAATTACCCCCCCCCCTCTCTCTCTCTCTCTCTCTCTCTCTCTCTCTCTCTCTTTCTTTCTCTCTCCTCCATCTCTCTCTCCCAGTCAACCAGTCAATTCGTTAGTCCAGGCTGCATTCCCACGCTGGAACCAGCCCCCGCCCCGGCCCTGGTCAAAAGATTTCGCAATCCCTGGAAAGGAAGGAGTAGGTGTCACCATTCGGCAGCGGGCTCAGGTGGCGCTCGAATGCCATGCATCGCCGAAGTTAGGCGCCCACTCGGAGGGACCACTCGTTCAGCATACCACACACGCCGGGATGTGAGCTGGACGGCGACCGGCGCAGTCCGCTCCATGTCCACATCATACGAAGCCCCTGATCAAATCCGTGTGGGCGGCCGGCGGGCTAACTCACCGGCACCGTGCGTCGGGTGACGAGTGATCCATTAGCCGCGGCTGCATCGGTGATCGCAGCCGAGACGAAACTAGCAGTGGTGATTTTTGGTTAATCAAAGGAACGCCAGCCTCGGGGAATGCTCTGAGACTACTATATAGCTGCGGCGAAAGGCTTTTTTTTGTATGTTTTATTCAAATTACGAACGTTTTTGATTATTCTATTGATCTTTTTAATGCAAACAGATGATGTGACTAACTTACTTATGTATGTGACAAAAAAAAAAAAATACCGCACTGTCCAAATGTTTCTTCTTTCTACTACGTAAAAAAGATGCACGTCAGGCACGTTGTGTGCCTCCGCGATAACCGAGCGTCCCGCCGCCGCCGCCCGTCGCCAGCTGTTGATGGACGATGTGAACCGTGCCCGCTGCCCTTCCGGGGTCTCTATGTAGCTGTAGGTGCTGTATGTTTGTATGAAGGGACGGACGTGTATCGTCTGGCTGTATTTGTGGGTACGTGTTTTGTCTGACCGTGCGGACGACAGACGCCGAAGTGCCGTCCCCTGCAGTCGCGTCGGTCCGCCGTCCGTGGGTCCCCGGGAGCTGAGCTAGCGCCGGGCGGCCCATCGCTTCCTCACTCACTCACTCACTCCCTTCCCTATGGCCGGTCCCTGGTTCACGACAGGTGCAGTGCTGATCTGCGGAATGACGTTCCCACGTCGGGTCAAGGTTGGGGTCGAATCTCACGATCGCGATGGTTTGATCTGTAGTGGGAATTGGATGCTTGCCGGTAGTAAGCAGCTGGCTCACATTACTGGCATTGTTTGTATCTGTAACTGTCTCGTATAACTATAGCCTGTTGATCGTTAGCCACTGTTGTTGTTAGCCACACATCATCTTGAGTAGAACTGGAACGGTTGGCACCACCTGCGACTTCTGACGTGTCCTCGGTCCTGTGGTCACACCACTGAAGAAGGCACGAAATGTCATGTCGTCAGCCGCAATTTATGCACCACGCCTTTGACGGTGGCTCGTTGATGGTCTGTGTGTGACCGGTCTCCCGTGTTCCGCAGTGCCCAAGTTTCCCTCACCATTGGTATGTGACCCCAGGGTGTGACTCGACACCGTGCCCGCAGTGCCCTCGCTGCATGGTATGTGACCCGACACCGTGCCCGCAGTGCCCAAGGTGCCGTCGCTGCTGGTGGCCACTGATAAGGAGGAGCTGAACCTGCGGCGGTACCGCGTCATCGGCGGACTCATCCACTTCGACCTGCTGCACATTCCGCCACAGCCTAAAGTGGTCGGCGTCTGGACACTGCGCGAGGGTGAGTGGCTGGGACGCTTCCCTGCCTCCCTGCCTCCCTGCCTCCCTGCCTTCCTCCCTCCCTGCCTCCCTCCCTGCCTCCCTCCCTCCCTCCCTCCCTCCCTCCCTCCCTCCCTCCCTCCCTCCCTCCCTCCTCCTCCTCCTCCTCCTCCTCCTCCTCCTCCTCCTCCTCCTCCTCCTCCTCCTCCTCCTCCTCCTCCTCCTCCTCCTCCTCCTCCTACTCCTCCTCCTCCTCCACTCCCCCCATTCCCCCGTCCGCCGAGACAGGACGAGCGGGGACGGTTCGCCGCGGTCGTGTCAGCTGTTTGCTGATGATGACGATTACATGGTAAATAGGAACTGACTGGGTCAGTCACACGGCTGGAAGCGTCCATGGAGGTTGTGGAACAAGATCCCGCGTTGTACTCAGTGGCACGGTCGGACCACCGAAACTGTCAGTGTTGTGTGTCGGAACGTCAGGAGGTATGATGACTTGGTGTTGATAGTCGCCGACCTTGGTTAACAGGGGAGGGGGGGGGGGCGGAGGAGAGGGTAATTGATAACATCGAGTAAGCATTACCGAGCTTTGGATGAATACTGCAGAGTTTTCACCACATCGTACCAACTACCTATTACCTATTTGTTATATACCTACCTCTAATTTTCTTCCCGTGTGACATAGGTATTGGTAATTTCGGAGGCAGCTTGCTGTTTTTTCTCGGGTTCAATGTGGCCAATATTGAATGTCTACCAAGAGCGAAAGCTAGAGCGTAGAGCGCCTTTTACCTACTTTTAGCTTCCGCGTGCCTTTTGCTCTTGGGCTTATCAATGATCTCATATATTGCCAGCTCAAACGGCGCCCAAAAGGTGCGTGCCAATTGTTAGCATCACACGCACTTTCTACAGCAACGATTGTCGGAGATCAATCGTCAAAGCTTTGCACGACCAAATGCTAGACGGAACTGTCATATTGCTCCGAAATTTTCATATGGATTCAGTCGACCTATTCACGTCTCAGAAGTCAACTTAAGACCGAAGTCAAAGCATTTGTGTATCCTACTTTTCTTTGACGCCATGGGGAGATGTAACGCTGAAAGAACAATTTCTGCGATTACGATAATCATTCTTGTCTAGCTGCGAACGTCACTTATCATGATGACTCTTAACGTCACTCATCTTATCTTTATATAGCCCGTCAAACGGCCTATCTTTCACGTAACCTGGCCGTCTGCCACGTGACGATGGGTCGGGCGGCGCCATGCAGTCGCCGGTCCGCGCGGTGGGCTGCACAATGCACAGGCCGTGGGACGCAGCCGGCCTAAACGGAGCCGCGCCCGGGGCACTGGCGGCCGCCGGCCGGCGCAGTTTTACATCGCTAATCCCGACCGGCCGTGTTGACGACGGGGGCGGACAAAGCCACCGCATGCGGACGCGACTTTCATCACCAAATCAAAGCGCTCGGTAATGGCTGGACAGCGGCGCGCGGCGGCTGTTGGGAGGCCGGCGCGCGGCGCAAACGGGCACCGACTCGGCCGCTGTACTGACTGGGTGCCCGCTGGGGAAATGTCCAAATGGGACCGGGATACTCGGAGCCGATCGCGTGGGAGGTGCGGACAATCTGTGTTCTTTGTATGTGTAGAGGTTTTCTTATAACACTGTGAACATGGTTGATGTGCATTTTGCAGCGTGCACATATCCATAGCACACTTGCCTATTGGTTTGTTAGACATACATTTTTTTTTACAGTGCTCTACACATTTGTCGTCACTTTGGGTAGGTAATTACGTCCGACGACAGCGACCAATTGATGCGTCCTAGAATCGTGATTGCATCGGAGCTGATGCCGCCAGAGCATCATTGATTTCAGCGAGCCGAGTGGTGTGAGACCAGTGATATAAATTTATGTAAATCCGGGAATGCATTTGGACTGTACCGGCCAAGTGCTGAATATTCTCGCTGGTCGGTAATCCAATCGGTCGGTGGTGCCGAGCGAATGTGACCGGCGTTCGGCCGCTCTCGATCCGTGCACGGCCGGTGTCGTTGGTATGCCGCCGGACCGCGGCGGTCGCGGAGGGCGACACACGGGTGCTCGTCGCAGGATCAGTCGCGACAGACCCCACTGAACTGTGGACACGGCAGGCCCGCGGCCCGAGTCGCCCCGGGCGGAGATACGGACGGTGGACTGGGGCTGATTGGTTACACGCCAGGGGAGGAATTTGTGATGAAGTGGACATCCAAGTTGATAGTGGAAAGGCGACTAGCGAGAGTTCCTTCATAGCTTTCTTTTTGATGCACGATAATGTAATACCTACTTAGTTATGTACATTGTTTGCAATTTTCAAGCTTCTCCCTAAATAACTATTTTTTTTGGGGGGGGGGGAGTAGTTGTGGATGCCCAATGCCCATGTCCATGTTCGATGCCCGCATATAGGACTATAGGAGCCATGCTGGTAAATCTCACATCACCATGGTTTTACACAAGCCTTGATGTCAAACCATGGCCTTAATATATGTGATGAATGATGATGAATCGGTGGCCATGTCTGACCCCCACCCCCACCCCCACCCCGTACACCGACAGTGTGCGAGCCCCGCACGGTGCGTCGGTTTCCGTTCCGGGCCGACTACCGGCCCCCGCCTCCTGCCGACGGACTGACCAGCCGGCGCCGCGAGCCCGAGGAGATCGAGCGAGAGATACGCCAGCAGGAGGCCGAGATGCAGAAACTCATCTCCACCAGCGTCGAGTGAGTGGAACCGGTGGGACTGTGTTGTTTGGGGATGACTGAGCGACGGCCGGGTGTCATTGTTGCCTGTTGGGTGTTTAGAGATGACCGAAAGAGGGAGAGGGGGGGGGGTTTGTAAGATGCCAGATGGGTGGTATGTGGGTGTAATGCCGTAATGGTGATGCCAATTGCCAGCAGGTTAATAGTTTATTTATTTCGTTTGACGCTGGACGCCATGATATCGCTAAAATTCAATGCGAATGTGGTAGTAGATAGGGCTATGATGATTGCATGATTCAGCTATATTGGCCCGTGTTGGAGAGGGAGGATATTTCTGATATGGCCACGTCCTATTCCCCGAGTCACTGTCCGGCAGAATGACACTTACTTGTCTATAAAAAACTATATTCTGGCTGAGTGGATGTGCTGTAAGAAATATAGGACAGGAAGCAGCCCTATCGTAAAATGAAACAAATTGATCATCGTAACGCCGGGTTGATGCGAGGAGCTAATGTTTTATTCGCATATGTTCCGGCACAATAGGTTCAGAAGACAATCTCTGGCGTTCTGTTTACAGTGCAGTTGACACCTACACCCCATTCGAAGAGCAGTTTATTGTCAACGTCCATTACTGTGAATCGACTTTCATGTTCGATGCCTTAGGTGCACCACCCGACTGCGAGTCCGACACCAATGCACTGGGTGTTTTTGATGTCGACGCTACTCGATTGTGCCGGTCACACGCGTCCATATTCCACCCGGAACAGACAATACCGGGCACACTTACAAAGCTCATTTCGATGTGTGCTACTCGCGACGCCCGCGCCCCGCAGTGCAGTGAGTGGGCACGCCCCAGCAGTCCGTAGCGGCCCGTCCGTCGTTGCTAGTGACGGATTGTCAGTGTCGGCTCCGCGTGCGATACGGCCGCCTAACACGGGGTTACGCTCGCGGGGTGACGGCTGAGATGACACAACTGCAACCATCCGTCCGCGGCCCGACGCCGTAAATAAACGGAGCTGCACGGCCAAACCGTCCCGGGGACTGGCTGAGAGATTGGCCGCAGGGCTGGGACTGCATTGGGAAGAATAACGGGAGATAATTTCGGTTTCTCTTGTGGAAGCGTGAATGCTGAATTATTATTGGCATCTTTGTAACTTACTGAAAGTTTGTTTGTTGCATGTTGAAACTGATCAATGATCATTCATTTGTACGCCAGACATGCAAAAAAAAAAAAAATAGTGCCACCCCAACCAATCTCACCAAATGATCATTCATTTGTATGCAAGACATGCCAAAAAAGGTAGTGTGCCACCACCAACCAATCTCACCAATTCCAACTAAAAAAAGCTACTGCCACGCCTCTATCGCCGGCTCTTCTTCCATTCCTCATCTCGTCGTCACCTCCCGTCGTCTCGTGTCTCCCTCCCACCGTCCACCCTGATTTCTTTCTCCCCCTTCCTTCCTCCGCTTCCGCCGGGTCCTCGGTTGGGATGGATGGCTGGCCAAAGTTGCCCCGCAAGTTTCGCACCAAACTGGCAAGCTGCATAGTAGCCGCACATAACGCGCCAGCGGCCGGCAGCCGACGGCGCTGTGGCTGGTGACGTCATCCCACCGGCAGCCGCCGCCGCTTGTTATGGGCGTCTACTGAGCAGCGTAGGGTTGGGTACGTCCTGCACGGGGCATTTCCCTGTTTTTGTCGAGTTGCGTAGGGCGAATTCGTCGTTGCGGCGCAGTGCGACCATAAATCGTTCCCCGCTGATGTGAACGCCACTTTGAGGGTGGGACGGAGGGCCGGGGGAGGGGCTAGCCGTCTCGCGGGGCGGAGCAGTTATCGGCGAGCCCCGCCGCCGCCGGTGACGCGTCGTTCGGCGGTGTCGAGTCACCACGGCCGCTTGTAAAAACGACGGCACAGATAGAGAGCTCACAACAACATGGTGGACGGCCGGCTGGGGTCGGTGACGGTGCCGCAATGGCGACTCGGGTCTCGGTGCGGGTGGCCCGGGAGATCAGCGGCCCGTGGAGCTGGGACTGGCCTGATGATGGCCAGTGAGTGACTGGGGTCCATCGTTTCCGAGAGCCTCTGCACCTTCCGTCGCATCGACGCCTGATGCGAGATGGGAAGGAAGGAGACCGACCGCCTTCGCGTTCGGCTGTTTTCCTTTTGTATTTTTGTTGCCATACCGTCTTAGACCAAGCAGGCTCTTTTCATCATCCGGGACTAAACTTTCTATCCTTTCTTGGGCGTTATGAATCGCTGATGCCAGTCGGATAATCCTTTGCTGAGGGAGGCTTCATCCAATGACACTGGGGCGGTCTCGATGTCCAATGCCTTCTACGCTGTTTGTTTTTGCTTGACTCTCCATCGAGTTTCGTTTCCTTAGAAATGTTTTCAACATCCTGCATCTGATCTTACCAAGTGCATCATACACCCTCAGTTCCCCTTCCCATCCTGTCCTTCCCCATCCTCACCCCGCCTCCTCTCGTTCCTCAGCGAGGTATCCTCCCAGCCGGCGGTGGGGGAGGCCGGCGCGGTGCCGGCGGCCGTCTCGGAGAGCCGCGGCTCGGTCTCGGCCTCAGAGACGGCCTCGGCGCGCTCCGTGAGCCGCTCGGCGCGCCGATCGCTGAGCCGCACCGGCAGCAGGGTGTCCCGGGTGCGCATCTCGGCGGCCGGCGACGGCTCGGAGCGCGACACGGAGCTGTCGCCGGTGCCCGAGCCGACTGTCGAGCTGCCCGAGCCGCCGCAGCCCATCGACTACGCCCTGGAGGTGGCCGACCGGCCTGAGGACTTCCCGCTGGTCGAGACCCGGTATGGCTGAAGACTGGGAGGGAAGGAGAATGTGGTATTGGTAAGATATGGTATATGTATATGGTATCAGATAGTCCAGAATTGGAGGATCAAAAGCATGCGATAGCATGCTTTTGCATCCGGAAATTCCCATTGGTGGGTCGCTGAAAAAAAAGTTCGGCTGAGCCTGTTTGTCAGTATGTATGTATGTGAGTTTGTCCAAGCTTTTTTGGACCTGGAGTCAAAATGTGTGGACCGATCGAGACCAACGTGGTACCGTTCGACTCGTCACCGGCGAGGTAAACTTTTGGTGCTGGCCTCGGTTCGCTCAGTGCTTCGTGGCACATGCTATTCCACTTCAAAGTTTCGGTGACACGAAATTTTTTGTCAAGGCTACAGGTCAACCCGAGGTCACGGACAAAGCCACACTGGCGGGACACATCGGTAACACCTTGAACCAGTTTCCAGGGGGGTCACCGTCTGCGAGGGGTGCAGGCTGCACGTGCTGGTGGCGGAAAGCCGTTTTGACGTGAGGTCCTCTGGCTCAAAGAAATTTTGAGCTATCAACTTCAAAATCGGTTCAATTGTAGTCCCAGGCAAGGCCTCCAAAATAGTGCACATTTGGTTGAGCTAAACTCTGTGGTGCATGAGCTATGCACGTGCAAGCCGATTGCACCCCTTCGTACGTTGCCACGCCTGCAGGGTAAACGGTGGCTCTAACTGGTTCAAAACTTGCAGGTCATAAGAAAAAATGCATTGAATCTTGACATTTCGGCGAGATAATATCCGAGGGGTGCAAGCTGCGCGTGCGGGGGGCGGTTAACGGTTTTGACGATGGATCCTCTGATCACGGGAAACGTCGAGATAGCGACACAAAAGTCGGTACACTGATAGAACTAGACACATGCTACAGGATGCTATGAAAATGACTGCACTGGGGTGCCTGGGACATGAACTATGCACGTGCATATCTTACTGTAGGTAGATATCCACACCAATCTCACGTGCTTTCAAGCATTTTTGGGATGTTTCGGTTGGTTTCAGGTTCAGTCCAAGCTCAGTCTGGGTTTCGGTGGTTTGGCCCGGTGTGTGCCTTCAGTACCGTACCTCCAATTCTGGCCCAAGGTAACGCAAGAGCGCTGCCGGCATCTAGTTATAATATGTGGTACATGATTATATTTGAGTGCAGAGAGGAGTGATTCACAATTATTTTTGAAAGCTAAATATATGAGTAATGGCTCTGAGATAATGAGCTCGTGTTGCGCCGGTCCTTACCGAGCTGTAACCGCCTGCGTTGGTTATTTCTGTTGCTTTGAGGTATGGGGTTATATAATATATATGTTACAGTTTATACGCTGATGAACGGGACTAACGTGAGTCTTTATAATTGGGTATGACCCGCCTCATCCAACGACTGCTCCCTGTTTCGAAACATCCCTTCGGATAAATTTGACCGACAACATGGACAGGTATCCCTACATAATATGTATCTTTTTGTCGCATGACGATGCTGAATAAACAATAATAATAATAATAATAATAATAAACCACTCGAAATGCGTCAATCAATCGTACCTACAGGTTACATACAGGGAGTGCATTTCAGAGCACTGAGTTATGTTACAAATGGCCGTTTCGTGTATTTTTATACATGTATCCTGCAACTTAACAACGCGCCTTAGACATAACCTACCCCTTCTCTAAAACGGTAAAGAATTGGGACCTGTTGTGCCTTAAGCCCCGGCCGACATGCCTGTTTGTTTCTGCATAAATTCTACAAACGCGTCCGGTCGCCGGCTCGGTGTGTCCCTGTTCGACGCCGGTTTTGATGAAGGGGTTGCATCTCGACCGGTATCGACTGCGATCAGCTGGTACGCGGGTTCGTCGGGGTGCGCTGGGTCCCGCGGGGATGACCGTCTCCCCAGCTCGCTTGGCAAACGACGTGCCGAGCCGGGCCGGGCGGGTAGATCCGACCACCAGCCTACGAGTGCATACATGGCTATGTACACGTTGGAGCCGTGCGTCTGCTAGGCTTAGTGGAATCGGTAGCTGCGCGTTGTATCCATAACGCTGCCCTTGACGCGGTCCCAGGCATCCCGAAGAGATGCTGCATTTGACAACACTCCGACTATCTGTCATGCTTTGAATGTGATGGTGTATGTATGGTCTGCCGAACTCACGACACTCGTTCGCTCTACCTTATCGATAAGCTGTCTGCGACTCTGACGTTTATAATCGACTGTTGACTGTGTCGGTCGTTTGTGTTCACGGTTATACCGTGTCACCGTCTATGGCTGTCTGTCAGTGTCGTATCTCCTCACCGCGCAGTCTGCCCGAGACGACGCTGTGGTTCGAGCCGCCGTTCTTCGTCCGCTGGGACGAGGACAGGTCGTGCTGGAGCACCGAGGGCTTCTACGACACCCGGTACAACGAGGAGACCTACGTGCTGCAGGTCGGTGGCCGGCTTGTCGCTGAGACCGCTAGAACAGTTCACATCTTAACGCTTATTTTGGCTTGTTTTTAGAATAACATTCGATGACACTTCGGCATTTGATGACACTAACGTGCAACGCTATAGTAGCGCTAGTTCAGTTGCATTTGCCAACCGCAAATAACGCTGGCAGTGGAAGGAAATGTACGAATAGCTGACGAATCACGTTACAGATATGAACCGGTCGAGTGGTTCCTATCTTTGGGTTGAGGTGGCTGTCCATCCCTGGTTGATGATAGGATGACTTGGGCTGAGCTGTTAATTTTGCCGTCCCAGGGCCGGTTTCCCTGGCAACTGAGTGCGTGTGTAGCGCTAGGAGGCTCTGATAGTGCCGTCACTTCACCGACGCTGCTAAGCTCTGGCTTCTATTCCTATATGCTTATTCAGCTTTCGCATAATGATGAAACTCCTTCAGCTTCGGTGACGCAAAATACTATGCAACCCCGGGTATCTAGTGACGTGGTGTACTTACTATAAGTGCTAAATATGTGGACGCGTGTTACGCGGCTGAATTGGCTGTTGGGGAATCTGGGGGTTGTCATATTACTACTTCTGCAATATGAGCACTGTTGTGATTCACATCCTTTTACAAATACGCACGCACGCACACTCCCTGCTCTGCTTGGCCCGGATTCGGTAAAATTGGCCTCCTTTGCGCTACCGCCGACGACGCTTTCAGTGACGTTTCTGCTGGCCTTTCCCGGGCCTGGCCGGGTGCGGTGGTCACGTTACCATTCGGCAGGATCGCTATGGCGAGAGCCCGCAAACCAGCGTCAAAGTTAGACGGCGGTACGGCATCGTTAGTCGGTGCGGTGCTAGCAATCCATGCACGCCGCGCCGAGTGGCTTAGCTCGATCAAAGCGGGATAGACGGGGAAACATCGGGAAAAGTTCGGTTTACTGCCACTGTGTTTCAGTCTGCAACCCGTGCAATGTGCATGTTGCGAGGTATCCTGGTCAGCTAAGGCCTGCGCAAAATCTGTTGACGGACCTTTAAATGTATATAAAAAGGGCACTTCTTCGACCTTTTACACATCTTTTGGTGCTGTTTGATAGATTGTGAAACAGCTTTGAATAATTAACGCAGCTTGAACATTCTCAACTTCAGGCCTGCAGTTTGGTATGCATATTGGTATGTTCGCAGCTCTGCTTTCCTACTGCTAGTGACTAGAGGCGGCAAAATGTGGACCCGAGGCAGGGTCCAAAGAACCGGGTCCAGACCGGTTCCTGGAAATTTTATGACGGGTCCAACCGGGTCCTACCATAAACTATACATCCTGCACACTACACATGATTGCAAAATATCAAGTGAATGGAAAGAAAACATTTGCTGATGTATATGTTTCTTAGCACAATGTAGCTCATAAGTAGGTATTCCCAGTGAGAAATAGGCTGCTTTACATGATGCAACCAATGATACCTACAAATAGTTTGTATTAATTGACGTTTGGGGAACGGGTCCGACTGGTTCCGATTTCAACTTAGACCGGGTCTGACTGGTTCCAGAAATGTCCAGACGGGTCTGGTTCGAGTCTAGTTCCCAAAATTTTCATCATTTGCCACCTCTACTATTGACCCTCGGCATGTTTTCTCCGCTTAGCTGCTGAACCACGACTATTATTTCAAATGATGTGGGTTCACAATCGTCATCAGCGTTCATTTTTAACGCGTTATGCTCACAACTGGTATACTTGGCGACCTAAATCACCTAAATGGACCCATTATAGACCGATGTAAACAAACATTGTCGCATAGTAGATAGGCTTATTTGGGCTCGTCATTTATTTCGGTTCACTCCGGGGACTCGCTGTCTGTAGCAAAATGTAGCCGTTGAGGGCAGTTATAACCGTCATCGTCATTCTTCCTGGTAGTCATACATAAACACAACAATGGAATGCGCAGTAATGTCGAATGTGTGATTCTTGTCGCATTTTACTTTTGCCTTGCAATCCACTCATCGATCACAATCATTGATATGTCATGTATGGATTGGACGTGCGGCAGCTAAGACGAGGTTACATGTGCACCAGTCGTAGGTCATCTGTGTCATTCGTATAACCGATATAACAGCACCATATCCAGTAATCCACAGTGCTTTTTCATACACATATGGGTGTAGACAAGTGGTTCTCATTTCGAACCCATCGCCGCCCTGCTGTCATGTTTCCCGTTCCCGTTGTGTGCGGCAGGCGCGCACACTGCGTCTGGGTCTGTTCGGGCTGGCCGTGAACCGCTTCTCGAACCTCCCCTACCAGAACTGGTCGTACGCGCCGACCGGACCGGCCTCGGCTGAACTGAACATCACCGCCGCCGTGGCCGGCGTCCGCATGGCCGTCAAGGTATGGGCGCGCGCGCACAGGACGGAAACGCGCTGATAAACTGGAGGTGCAGACTTTGTGAAGTTATTCTGACTCGTAACTCAGCGTAACTTGACTTCGAGCAACTCAGGCACTCTGATGAACTTCGGGTTGATATGTTTCAGGACGATCTGGTGAGCCTGTGTGAGGTCACTGGCGGCTCCAGCAACTGCCTGGAACAGTACTACGATAAATTTATGAAGCCGGAGAAACTCATTCAGGTGAGAAAGCGCTGGGCGAATAGTTCGGCCCGCTCGTACCGTACAAGCGGTGCGTGTCGTTGCATTGGTGAGCTTGTCAATGGGCCACATATGCGTTTAAACATATGCGAATAGTTAGGACAATGTTGCATATGCGGTATGCCTACACAGCCCTACACAGCCCTATAGGCATTGGTGTCTGCCGATTGCTCTCTTCGCGATAGCTGGTTCTAAGTCTTCATGTCTTCCCTCATTTCCGGTCTTATGGTGAAGATGGCTCACCAATCCATTAGAAGTTTCAGACCCCATCTTTCGACCAGCAACAGCCTGCCTTGCTACCTTACCTGAGCCCTCTACTCTCTCAAATCAGTCGAACAATACACGTGCCTTCCGCCACACCGGCCCATTCCGCCTCCAATCCCTTCCATCCCAATGGCGGAGTCGGTTTTACACCGCGCTGATGGCACGCACCAGTCTTCACTCGGCCGGGCTGGCCGTGCCGCCTCACCTCTGGTGCCGGTGCGGGTAACGAGCCGCTCAGCCCTCCTCTCCCGTAATCCGGGGCTCCGCCTGTGGGTCCTGAGTAACGGCGCTCCTCCCAGTGCCAATAACCTGGCCGCTGACTCGACAGCACCGTGCGTGCTGTATGACCCGCCGTACGGTGTGGAATACAGTGTCTTACGGCGAAATACCTCCGAGCTGAACGTAGACAAGCGAGAGTGATGTACTGAGAGACTCCCGGAGCAAGTAATCTTGCCCGAAGCCAGCGGCGGTCGACTGATTTCCATGGGAACGGCTCGGGAGCTTCGCTAGACTGAGGATCAAGCCGGGATGTAGGCTGTGAAGAAACTAGCCAGCGTACTGGGATCCTGGTTGGCCCAGTTCAGACAATTATTAGCCAGTTTATAGGCTTACCTCGGATTAGTGTCTGATATAAGCTTTGCTCATCGTCACGGGTAATGGCTTAATTTCGTCATCTGAATGAAAATGTCTCCGCTTCAACTCACTCACACTCACGGCAAATGAGATTCATTAAAGCTAGGGCATTCACTTCTATAGAATTTCACTGACTTTTGGGTCGATAAGATCATTTCGATTTCAGCTGCATTTGTATTGTGATTTGCGCTTACTCGTGAATGCCTAAGAAACAGGAAGTGAAAAATCGAACTGGGAAGACGCCTTGAAAGGAATGTGCGAATTGTGGAGTTGGATAATGCTAGATACTAATTGTGATCATTTTGTATTTACGGTGGACGCGTCTCGCAGGACGTTTCTGTGTGGTTGCTACACACACATGGTGTATTTATTACGAAGTAATCGACCTAGCCGTGAATCCATGCTTGGTTCTTGAACAATGTTCTTGATTTCGCTGCAGCAAGCTATACTACTCCCTAAATAAAAGCAGAGCTCAGTCAATCGAATGTCACCCTCCACTGACGCAGCGGTGCCGGCTCCTCCCGGTGCAGACGCTGCAGCGGCACGGGCTGGACCTGTTTCCCGAGGAGGACTCGTACCTCTACATCGAGGGAACGTCGCTGAAGCACCAGCCGTGCGAGAAGCACCTCTACTGGTGCATGGCGCTGGTGGGCAACGCGTACGGCTTCAGCTCGAGCCGCTGGAACCTGCTGGCCGGGGCTGAGAACCTGGTGCTGCAGTTCAAAGAGATGCTCAGCGAACAGCTGCAGGTAGGTCAGATGGAGTGAAGAGGGTCTGCTGTGGCCTGTGGGGTGCAGCGGGGGAGGAAAAAGAAACGGAGCCGCGTATGATCAAAAAGAGAAAAACTTAGCTTACCTATATAGGATACCAAGGTTTGTGGACTATGGTTTGAAAACGGCTTAACGGTATTTTGGTATTTTATAAACATAAAAATACTGTGATAACGTTCAGCCATAATCTAACGATATAATAAAAAAAATATAGCAGATAATAGCATTGCAATATTTTAATGAGCATAGCAAACGTCCCTTCTGAGCACCCATATTCCCGGTCCCTCCCTGCAGGGTAACCCTGCACTGCTGCTGGTACGGCCGCGCAAAACCACCATTGTGGAATGTGGCGAGACCAGCCAGGGCTGGAGTGACCAGGAGGCGCCAGGAATGCCGGTGAGTGCCCGCATCACGTGTAAATTCGTGGCGAGACCAGCCAGGGCTGGAGTGACCAGGAGGCGCCAGGAATGCCGGTGAGTGCCCGCATCGTGTGTAAATTCGTGGTGAGACCAGCCAGGGCTGGAGTGACCAGGAGGCGCCAGGAATGCCGGTGAGTACCCGCGTGTAGTTCATTCAGCGTACACTTAGGTAGGTACACCTGACAATCGTACGCCAACACAACAAACGGGAACAGTCGAGCCTTGGACTCTGTCGAAGTGTGTCAAAAAAGGTTAATGTCACTTGTCCGCTATTCTTTACTCGAATGAAACTTAGTTGACAGTAACGTCGTCTGTTGCTTATTTTTATTGACCTTCCGTAAGTCCGTTTTCAGTAGTTCGATCAGCGATTTTCCCAACGGTGGTGGCATGATCTCCCCTGTTACGCATGCATTATGTAAGTACACTGCTCATGTCCCCCGGTCCTCGTCCCGCGTCGGTTCGCGGTAAGTCGGGAGGACGGGATTCCCGTCCACCGATCGGGCGGTGCCGTCTCCGGATCACGTCGGCAACTCATCAGTCCTCGTCTGCTCCGGAGGTCGGTCTGTCTCAACAATCAGCCCGGGGTGGCACGCGACGCCGACCCGACCCCGGCCCGAGCAGGTGCTCCCATTGAGGAGTGGTACTGGTGGCGGGTGACGTCCTCCGGGCTAGGGAGGCATGGTGTGCGACGATAGTTTACTTGCTTCCATCTCACCTTAATGAATAATTGTTTTCGAATTGATTTTTTAGTTTTTAATTTAACGTATCACTGCGTCCTAGCATCGCATGAATCCTGACTGACAGGCCTTTCGAAATGAAATTATGTACGTGACGAATGCGCACCTTTTTTTGCTGCACAGTTCTTTTCTGACTAGTTAATTATCTCAAAGTGCTGGTTCTCGGCAACGCTAAAAACGGCAAACAATCCTATACTGAGTTCAAAAGCGCTGCACTGGCGCTACAGTTAACAGTCCACACCAGCTTCCAGCACGTTTGATAAAAAGCAATAAAACATTATGCCGGACCTGGAGAATACAAGGATTGTCAGCTTTTTGAAATGCGCTTAGCATTGTGGTGTGTTGGCGTATGTGACGTAGAGCATGCAAATTGATAATTAATGTCGACGGGCCGGGTGATGTCCGGGCCAGGGCTTTTCGTTCCAACTGCGTTTGCCTTCTCCGTTCATTTCGCTAAGAGCGGCGGGCGGTCTGTCGCGGCGCAGATTTTGATCCGGGCGCGGCTGTGTCCGGCCCTCCGTCTGCCCCCGGGGCTCAGGGCGGGGCGTGTTTACCGGCGGCGCCCGCACGGCCGTGACGCCCCCACACGGCTGGCGTGACTGTCAGTCGGCGCGAGTAACGACATACGCACGGCCAGCGGCCGTCGGCGCCCCCACGCACGCACCCTTCTCCCCGCGCGGCCGCCGCCGGTCCCGACAGCGGCCTCCCTCCCCGGCCCCGGCACTTCCTAACGGTCTCCGATAACAGCAGGTGCGCCGGCTGCAGACGTTCCCCTGGCAAACAACTGATCGCCCATGCAGGTCAATGGTCGGTGGGGGAGGGGCGACCAGAACCGCGGCTAAGTGGAGAAGTGAGTAGTGGCTGGTCGGTAGCCAGATGCGTACTAACAAGTGTGGGCGGTGGATCGGTGGCTAGGGCGCCCAGACGATGCGCTTCGAGTCGTTTCGTCCCTGCTATTCCGCGATTATGTGTGGTATTGTTTCTGTGATCGAACATATAAAATACAAGCCGGTAGATGTCCTTACATAGTTCGGTATTGTATGAGCGCAATCAATCAAGTTTTGACAAAAGCTCAATGAGCAGGCACATTTCTTATTTGTTTTGAGACGACTGGAAGTGCTCTAAATGTTTGAATGTCCACAAAACACACGCGCTTCAATGCGCAACACGCATTAGTGTTGACTAGGCGTATTTTGTTAACACTCATTCAAATACCAAACATGTTCACTCATAATTCAAAGTTCGTTATTGATATTGCAGTTGTTGTGACCCTCGTGACAAACGGTGAGGGCCGAGAGAGGGCTACATTAGAACGAAATCTCCCTCCTACGACATTGCCGAAGGCGATGCCGTGCCAGATGCCGGTCAGTCCCGTTGTGCCAAGAAACAGAGGAGGTCGGACCGAGCGGGAGGGCGGCGCCGGCCGAGTTACGATATCACGTTGTTCGATCGTGCCTTGAGAGCTGAAATAATGAATTTGCAGATCTAGTGCATGCGCTCCACTCACATTCGCTAAGGTGTTGAAATATTGAATGTGTTAAAAGTAGTTAATTTATTGAAAGTAAACACCTGCATTCCTAAGTAAAAATTTGTAACGATAACCTGTAATAAATGGATTTGTGTTAGCATAGATGTTAGTCATGATCCATGGCCATGGATGAAATATCGCTGGAGTTTTACGGATGTTTGAATAATCTGTATCCTACCTGAGACATAATTGGATTCACAGTTCGCAACAGACTTCGCAAAAAGCGAGACTTTATCCAAAGTCTGCTGGAACTATGACCGTAACAAAAGTTTTGAGCGCCACAGTATCAAAGCTCCATTTTTTTTTTCGTTTTATGCAAGTTCAAGGCGAATATATGATAACTTTTTGCTATGAATCATTATCCTGAAGTAGTGCAAGGGTGCATCTTATCCCGGAGGGTGGGAAAGACGCCCCCTGGCGTTGGGGAAGATGCCCCCCTTAGTATAAGTGGCCGAAATGGGCACATGAATAGCCTGAACGAATCAGTTCCCTTCTAGCCTGTGGTAGACACTTAAACGCCATCGTAAGGGCCCTCAAAAGTCGTCGTGAGGGGTTTCAGAGGTCATCGTGAGGGCCATCATAGTCCAGCGCGGCCAAACAAGCCTCCGTGGTGGCACGTTCAAAGACTGTTGTGGGACCCTTATCATGAGGCTGGGCCCTCAAGACCATCATGGGGACATCAGATGCCAGCGCGGCCCGTGAAGCCAGCGTGGGAGCCCCCAAGAATGCTGTGAGAGGTCTCTGAGCCATTAATGGGGTCCACAGAGGCCATCGTGAGGACTGAGGGCTCTCAGAGTCAGATGCCACCCAAAAAGTCGGTGTATTGGCCGATAGACCGGCATGGGGAGCAGCTGACCGTATTGCACTCTCAGTAATCCCAAATCGCCCTTTGTCTCTCACCACAAGTATGTACTAAGAGATTCGACAGGTTTCTTGAAGGGCAGCCTACGGATTTAGGGGGGCGTCTTTCCCCATCAGGTCAGGGAGCATCTTTCCCCAAGATACCGAATGGACAATTAATCAGTACAATTTGTTAGCACTCAAACTAAACCCTTTACCAAACTGGTTGGGACACAGTACACGCATGTGAATGCATCACTGCAATAGCAAAGTGCATACAAATTACTTATCTTCTTTGATATTCACAATGTTTTGACACCAATTCTTTTTTTTTTTGAAATCAGCAAATATAAAGCATGCAGCCACCAGCCCACCGTTGCCCAACTAAACTTGGCAATTTTTTGTGCAGCACACAATGAAGCCTTCCGCTTTACGCTAAGAGCATTTAAGTTCGAGGTTTTATGCTTTATTTCGCCACTAGAGGGGGTGGGGCGTCTTTCCCACCCTGGGCATTTTACCCCACTCTCCCCTACTTATGGCGGATACACACCCGTTTGTTCTAACTCACCTGTTAGGACAAACATTGAAACAAATGCGTGAATGCATGTAATCCCTACACACATGCAACTGATGATGTTGTTACGTAACCATCTTGTGATGCCGAGTTAACGTAAGCTTCAAAACGTGAAAGTGTATTATGGTATCAGGTAAAGCCACCGCAACTGTGCCTGTCGTAAGACGTCACTATATATAGCTACGCCAGACGCTCACATAATTATGTTTGCCTATCTCAAATAAGCCGGAAGCCCGTTTACACATACATATACCTGGATATAAGGCCGATGTCGTCCCTTCGTGCAGGACATAACATTGTAATTTGTGAATTGCGTCTCCGCCTGCGAATCGAAAGCTCGAACGCTCCATGACTTGTGACTGTAAGATGTTTGTCGTATTGTTCCTACATATGCTCTTTGTAGCCGAGCTCATATGTTTCAAATATTGTTGGATCTTTTTTCTGTTGGTTTTTCGTTGTTACTGCCACAATTTGAAACTTTGATTTTTACGCTACGTTACCTTATCGCCATCGGCTTCAGATCGTGAGCACACGTGCAGGCTACGGAAAATATATTTTATAAGCTGACAGGGAGGAGTTTTTTATCGCCGTAAATAATGTTTGGGCGTATCTCTGTCTATGCGTGTTTATGTATGTGCGACTTCGTAATGCTGCAGCCTGCACCAACAGTGATTGCGAAAAGACGGAGCAACGCTCCCAGCGCTTAGCAGTAGCTGGATTTTCTGTCAGAACTCCTTGAGGATCACCTCTTCTGCAGAAAGGACGCTTTCATTCAACTGGCCCATGCACTCACCAGGCCTATTTCGTTCTACTCGTATGGAGAGATGATGTCAAAATTTACGGAGCCGTGTCGGGAGTCTGGAGGACCCGAGAAACAAGACCAAGGTGTCGGCTCTGCGGCTCAGGGTGGAACTGGAGACGTATTGCCGTTTAGTACCGAAGGCACTTCTTAGGCTACGTGTCTAGCAAGCGCTGTAAACGAAGTGTTAGGTTGTGACCACTTGCTTTGTCCTGGAGTAAAGAACAAGTGGCATTACCTAACGTGCTTTTACCGTCTTGCTACCAAAAGTACTGATGTTTTTATGAAAATTGAAAAGTGTATTTTAGACACTGCGAATGCAAGTTTTTCTTAGTCTGAATTGTTGTTGTATTAAATACCTACGTCTTTGTGCTTTAAAGCCTATGTATTAGAAGTATTCTGTAACCGTTTGGAGAAGTGCCCTGCAGCTGCTATATATTTGAATTTCAATGCGTTTGCACCAAAAAGAAAAAAGAAAAGAAAATAGAGCGAGTTGAAGAAGGCGTGAGCCGAAAGCTCCTCGAAAGTATCTGGCCTTTTTTACGATTTTCTATTTTGATTATGATAGCAGGTACTACTATGAACGTCAAACCCCTTGAGACCCCACTTTTTTGCGATAATTGTTAAATGCGTCAACTTTCGTCGACAATATTCTGGCAATGTATGTTTCAGAACCTGCCGAAACTTTTATTACTAAGGTATTTTGACGCCAAACGATTATGGAAGGTACTTCTCATTCACTCGTAATGTTAAGGTCAATTCAGGCCCGGGCAGAGGCTTGCGCTCGGCCACACTCGAGCCCCGCCACCAGCGCCATCTGCTCTAAATGCCATCTACCAGTGCCCGCTACCGCTACCAGCTACCGCCCACCATCAAGCCTGAATGGAGCGAGAGACGCGAGTGACCGGTCGCCGGGCAAGGAGCGCCGGAGGGGTAGGGCGGAGCTTAGCGCTGACGTCATTACGTGGCTCCGCCCCATGAGCGCGTAGCCTCTACCCAAACAGCAGATTCGTTCCGTGAAATTTAACATTACGAGTGAACGAGAAGTACCTTTACTAATCGTTTGGCGTCAAAATACCTTAGTAATAAAAGTTTCGGCAGGTTCTGAAACACACATTGCCAGAATATTGTCAACGAGAGTTGACGCATTTAAAAATTATCGCAAAAAAGTGGGGTCTCAAGGGGTTTGACGTCCATAGTAGGTACGGTTACTTTTTATTATATTTTTAAGCAAGTTTTTCTTCTTTAAGAGAAACAGGCAATCTGTCGTCTGTCGTGTTGCCGACCTGTGTCACCTGGTGGAGGTATGTCTGGTAATTGTCTCGTGTTGCAGTAGTTTGCCAACCTGTATCGCCTGGTGGAGGTATGTCGGTTAATTGTCCGTTGTCTGTCGTGTTGCAGTACTTTGCCGACCTGTACCACCTGGTGGAGGCCCTGGGCTCGGAGGAGGCACGCGCTCGGCTGGAGGCGGCGCCCTGCACGTTCGTCAACTGCCTGCACACGTTGTTCACCGCCACGCGACTGCTCTCCTACTCCTAGTGTGGCCACAATGAGTCAGCGCAGCGGTCCAGTGGTGCTCAGTGATATACTGCCGCTATCTGATCTCCGATCGCATCCGATCATACGCCGACGCGATTCAAGACGACTCCGGGTTTCAGCTGTGAGACGGTCAGCTGGTTGATGCTAGTCATGGTGGAGATTTTCAACTGAACCAAAGTGAAAATGGAGCAGTTTCTCTTGAAGAAGCTAACAGTAGAACGCGATGTATGTACTGTACTGATCAATGATCATGTTGTAATTTAGCAGCAGCTCGATAGGATTGATGCTCTCTTCCGACGAGGAAGCTATTGAAACTCGCTGGCTAACCTAGCTTCGCATTATTCTCTTCCGACACCTCATCGTGTGTTACCCGCTGACCTCATCTGAGATGTGCTGCTGAAGATGTGCAATAAATCGATCTCTGTACTCTGCTCCCGTCTGTTCGAACGGATGAACCGCACGGAGCTCGCTGCCGCTGACGTCACTGCACGGGTCTGGGCGGACGGACGGGTGGACGGGCCGGATCGCCGAGTGACCTTTGTCTGCCCACCCCGGCCGCTGTTCGGATTGAGTCGCTGCATTACCGGTCGTCTTCATCAGCGGCGGATCGGAGTCACGATATGCTTGCCTCCCGTGTCCCCGCCTCCGCCTTCGACCGGCTTTTCCCACAGAAAAAGTTACGTCTGAAAACCATGGTGATTGGCCGATGACGCGACCGAATGCGCGACCCGGATTGATGACGTGAGTGCGATTTATTACCGGTTGGGATGAGAAATTAGAAATAGGTACATTGCCTAATGATTTTTGACAACCACGTCGGTAGTTGGGCTCGTAAAATGCATTGTACATATTAGATTGGCACGCACGGGGTGAATGCGTATCAATCAATTCTCATCAACCTGGAAAAACTTCTTCGGTTACAACTGCCATTCCCCCAATCCGTCGTTTTCTCTTCTTTACATCACCACTTTGGGCGTCATCCGATATTGGAGGTCACCCAATGTTCTGGAATTGGGGTCACCTACCCTCCGACTGGGCTCTGACTTGGAGTCTTGGGCAATTCCGAGAGGCTTTTGGCATTCACTTTTACCATCGGCGTCACCCGAACAGTCGCGGAAAAGTTTGTTTCGGCAAGTTGGAAGGTTATGGACGCGGCTCATTTGAATGAAATCGTGCGCGTCTCGACTCTTTGCCAACGCTCCAGTACCCAGAAGGTGGGATTCCACCGGCTTATGGAAATGAAAAACCGTATAAATCGACGACTGGTGTAATCTACACGCGGCATTGCCCCGGTCGGTTGAATAAAAATAAATGTAAAGTATGCATATTTTATTTTACACGGAACCATATACAATTATTTCACTTCGCCTTTCCTAGCCAATAATTTAGTGAACACACAATAGGATGTGGGAAAATAGTTCGGACACAGCGAGACGACAGTAAGAGGTGCGCGGTGTTGACAGCAGAAAGACATGCGAAATAGAACACCAGCGCAAACCCTGTCCTTGAAGGGTTCAAACGGTTCAGCCTCTATGTGCGGACTGCTGCTCTGAGACAGCCCAGCCTCTACACCTACGGAGATTCTGATTCAGCTTATGGCTTTGACACACGGGAGGTCATGATGTGAACAGAACAGCGATCGCTCCATCGTACATTTGCAGGTACTTTTGGCAATACCTGCCTCCTAACCTGTCGGCTGTCACCGCCAACGATAAAGCTCGCTGTAATAACACGCAACAAGAACTGCAATGACAAAGGAGACTTTGGCATTGGACAAATAACAGTTCAATTAAAATAAAGGTACGGCTGCCCAATGATTTGCGAATTTTCGTTCCCACCTTTATACAATAGCCTGCTTTTCGGAATGCTTGAACATTGCTTTACGCTTTCCGGCGGATTGTATGGTAGTGTTCCTTTCTCATTTCGAAATAAAACGCCTTGCAAATTCAGCTTATTTGATCCATACGACTCAAAAGCTGGCTATAAAATTGTGTCGTTGCCAAAGGGGATAAAAGTTAGACGTTTGCGGTCATCCACTTCTCATGATACGTTCGAGTGCACTCGCAAATTCGTTCCATCCTAGACGCAGTCTGTTTCCGCCCTCAATTTGCATAATGACCTTCACGCTGTATTTTACCACGTATTGTTAACGCCTGTCATGTTTTCATGTCGTTCATATAACACCGCCACGAACGATGCTTTCGAGGGTCAACGTTTCATTTTTATGTTTTGTCGAATAAAGTGAAACCTCGTCTTGTCGGATATTCCAACTGCCGACAGCACAAAAGCCGACACCGTCTTATCATCTCCACCTTAGCGGAGGACGTCGCTCGTGTTGTCGATACGCTTTCATCCACTCTCGTTCGTTCGCTGGCCCTGATCCGCCGGCCGGCTCGCGTCCCCGGCGGCCGGCCGGCCGGCGGTCTCTGAGATCGGTGGTGTCGCCCTGCGGTGCCGGTCCGTAGCCCGACACCCCGCCGGCGACCTGAAGCGGAGGACGCCCAGAATGGAGCGCCACGGGAGGTATGCGGAGTGGAGGTCGGCCACGGTGAACTCAGCAGATACCGACAAAGTGCGCCTCGCTGCAGCCCTTACCGCAACACCTGCCGAAACAAACGATAATGATTGGTGCGTTCGGCATCATTAGCGCGTTTGACATCTTTTGCAACAGCAGGCTAGCTTGCATGCCATTTCAGATTAGGTACTTCTAATCATTCGCGCTGATGACAAGCTCGCGCAATTATAACAATGCCAATGGATTGATATCCATTTTAAGTAACAAACTCTGACGAGTCCTTTCGAAAAGCAGGAACAAAATAAAACAACTGGTAAGCTGTCGAGCCGCCATGACCACCATAGCCTTTCTACATGTAACACCACTTGCGGCGGCTGTTTTATGCCCCTCGTCGTCACACTCACAGGTCGTGTAGCCGGCGGTAGTGGGCCGGCGACCGTTTGGAGGCGCGCTGGTGCTTCCAGACGGGGTGCCGGGCGCTGGCTGGCGTCAGGTGCGGCCGCGGCCGCTGCTGGCCGAACCACACACTGCGCGCCAGCCGGTGGACCAAGGAGTTCTCCAGCCGGCCCAGGTCGGCCGGCACCGACTCCCAGTCTGCGGCATAGCGGGATATCGCCACTGGTTATTGGGGGCCGCACAGACATCACGGTGCAAATGGATATGCTAACACACGGTGTGACAGTATAGTAAGTCATTGACGTAAGCAACTTTTGCAGACAAATAATTCAGCTGAAAGTGGCCAATGGGATACGGCTCAACTGAGACCGTGCAGACCATCTGAGAACGTGACTGTCCTCACCTGAGGTCGGGTAGTAGAGCTGAAACTGCGGCTCGACTGGGCCCAGCGGCGGCCAGGCAGACCGTTTGCGGCCCAGGTCACACGCTCCGGCAAAGTACATGCTGTCGAAGTCGTTGCCGCATATTTGTCGCGTAGCTCTCGGCTCGACCTGGCCCAGGTGCTCGGCCAGCCCGGTCCAGCAGACGCCGAGGAGGACAACCAGTAGCCACAGCAGACACTGTCGGCAGCCGAACGGTGAGAGTGGTGAGCGAGAGAGCGACAGTGGTGAGAACCGGCGCACCTGCACAGGCCGACAGATAGACAATCGGAGGGATTTATGCAGACTGTCACATCACACGAGGACTATTTCAATCAAGGCATTCATGGCTGATGGCACGCATTGCCGTTTTTCCAATCCCTCATCTTATGTTGTCCGTCGAGTTCCGTTTGCACCATCTGTTCTCTTACTCCGTAGCCTTTATTTGGCCGTCGCTGCTGACGTTAACTCTTTATCCGTGGCTGCTAATGAGCGTCTGTGATAGGTGGCCTCGCGTGGCCGGCTAGTTAGCGGTCGCGGTCGTCTCCGGTGAAGGTGCGTGTTACGGCACGGGTGATGGGCGCCCACCAGATCCCGTCGCGGCGCCGCTCGCCCACGGCCGCGCTCCATTAGGCGCGCGCGGCGGCCGGGCTCAATGGCGCCCATTGTGGCGCTGGGAACCCGCGCCGCTCTGCCGCCCAGCCGCCGCGCTCTGCGGCCCGTAATGGAGGGCGATACCGTGTTTTGAATAGTTTCTCTTTCTCGGTGCGTTTGCGACACAGTCCGGATATTAGCCACCCTATGACCGGTCGTAAATAAGAGGCCAGCGGCGAAATCAGCGCCCCATGGCTCACAGCGGGTGGCATTCTGCTTTCAGCCCTCCTTTCATAAACGCCCCAGGATGCTGCAGGATTTAGACGGCGAATCTGTGGCTAACGAACTGCGATCTCTTTGGTAAAATAGACATTTTAGGCAATTGATCATTTAATTCTTTTGTGGGATATAAGGCCGCACGTTTCTGAGTGGATTGATCCGTGTAACTACATATTAGGCTATATGTAGCATTTATGTAGCAACTGCATAATGTGGAAGTTGAGATCCAGGGGACGAGATCAGGAACCGTTTATTAACTATTCCTTAGTTGAGCAGGGTATTGAGCCCCAAATGTATTTCAATTAGCTCTTACGCTTTAGGTATTTTGCCTTATTTTGCTTGCCAATAATTTTTTTAGAGTTTGTATTTAATGCAGTTTCGATTGATCAATGGCGCGACTCCTTTGTTTTTATTTATATGCTTGTGAACGCAGACCTGCACATAGCAATATACGTTCCTAGGTACTGAATTCATTCATTCATTCATTCCATTATTCGCTAGGTGTTCAGTCCCTGTGTGCTAAATTACGGTATCGTATGCATCCCCCGCTGTTCAGTTCAATGCAGCAGCATCGTATATTCGTATTGCCCCATTTCTCCGCTAAAGGTAGCGGTTCTACGCTGCGCTACATACCCAGACGAACGTACTGGGTGTTTTGGCAGCGCTCAAAGCGTAAACCACTCGCCAACTTGAGATACGGGATTCAGACAACTCTGTTCTGTCGCACTGGGGCGGACGGTCACCCACACTGGCGAGTCTGGAAAGGGGGTTTGAGACGCTGCGGGGAAGGCATGCTCTCTTAAAACTTTCTCCATTTTCCGAAAATTCCTCGGATTTCGCTCTCTCTTGGCTTACTTTGCAGTTTAAAACATTTTTCCATGTTAACGTTGCTAATTTTCTTTCTCTGCAAGGAAAACTTAAAATTTTGTCATTTTCGGGCGCTGGCCGCTGCGAAAGGGGAAAATGTCCCAGATGCTCCCATGGATCCCCCAGTGGTCACCCAGCCACATCTATCCCAGCAGCATGTCACGCTATACCTATACAATGGACGACTCGATTCTCGAATGCGAAGCTGAATGCCGTGCAGTCTCCGCGGCGGCGGGCGATCGAGGCACTGCGCTGGTAGACTGACCCGCAATGCACCGCAGCCGTGCGGTACAGCCGCGTCATCTGCGGCGACTTCCGACAGCAACAACAGCAATATCAGACGTTTATCATCGGAACGCAGGCGGTTTGGGCACCAGTGATCTCGGTTGTTTCTGCTCAGTTGGAAACAAGCTCCGAAACTTTCGAAACAAAGTAACTAGATTGTTGTTGAACGACTTGACTGAGCTGCATTTCTAAACCCTTCTTTGACTGGTTGAGCTCGGTGCAACTCCAAATATAAATTATGTCTCCATATTCATTTTGGGTATAAGTATTAGTTTTGTGCTTCCATGGGCAGAAGCATTGCATTCGGAGCATTTCATTTCCCATGAATGGATTATGTAGATTATTCTTTTGGGGTGAGTCCGGCCAATTGCCTACTGTCGGTAGAGTAGGTATTTGTAAACACGTTGTTTTGTAACGAGTTCATGCCGCTGTTTGTTGTTGTTGTTGTTGTTTTTTTTTGATAATTCATCATAATTGGATTTTCCCGTCTTCCATTTTTTCATTCTCACAGATGCTTTGTCATGTAGTCAATAGTTTAATTAAAAGCTAATATATTATTTAGTTTAGCAGGTCATTAATTACAAATAGGTAGTAGGGTGCAATGACTTGGTTATTGACGAAATACTTTTGCACAAGTTTCATTGAGACCATAGGCGGCGGAACGGGGAGGGCACCGGGGCGCTCTGCCCCCCTTTGATTTGGGCATTTTATCATTAACCCTATGGGTGTTGCATGGAAAGAATGGGACCAAAGTCGGCAGTGCCCCCCCCCCCTTAATTGAAGGTGTTCCGCCGCTACTGATTGAGACTAAGAAATAAGCAAGCTTAGCTTGCCATGCTTTTACTAGCCTATGTGGTTAACCGTTTAAAATTGTCAAATAGTCATACTTGGTGCGAACACTTCCTTGTCCATTGTCCAGCTCCAATATTGTCGCCCCTTGTCAACCGTGGAACGTGCCATCCAGTGGCAGCTGACTCATAAGCTTCAGGGCTTCAGGCCGGTATTTCAGCGCAGCCAATGTCTGTCTCAAGAGGGTCAATTACTGTCGGCGCTTACCTACCTGTGTGGGCTCGGCTAACTACTTGAATGATGCATAGCTATGCAATTGACTATTGGAGCTCATTCCTAGCTGCAGCTTATATGGTATGTTACAAAAAAAGAATGATACTTTTGTCGACCACCATCGACATATGTTTGAGGAATGGTATTAATTTGCAATGCAGAGGTCGGACATACCATAATTGCAATGACAGCGTTTTATAGACATTTTAATATCATTGCGGCAAACATATTAAATATCTCAGCTTTGTATTTCATCGATATTTTCCCAAATTTTGGAACAGGGGCGCACAATGGCCCCGCTACCTTGGTGGGGGCGCTGTCGGTGAGTATAAAAATACTCCCTGAGCGTTTTTGGCGATTCTGCTCGAGGGCATCTCGCAACTTCTTCAAAAGTGTGCAGTAGTACGTGCTAATTATTATCCGACCATCATCAAGACAGTCGGTAATGACAATCCAACGCCAGATCCAGAACACTGACAACATTGACCTTTCATATCGGCTTCAGCTGCCTTGCAACGTCGGAAGCTGGCTAGATTTTGTTAAACTCGCACAAAAAGACTGCGTTATATAAATAGGTACGAAAAAGATTGCTTGAATATCTACACCAGTGCGTAAATGAGGCGAGATCCAAGGCAATAAAAATTAAAGTCGTTTCGGGGACTATTTTCCTTTGCAACATCCTACATCACCTTCTTGGATTCCCTAAAACAATTGCACACAAGGCCCAGCAATTTTGATCTGGACAAACCACTTTTCTGGGCTTCTCCTATATCACACGGCTGCCGTTTCACGTTGTGCGCTGAACCATTCATTGGCGTCACCTCGGCGGTCCCGTAGCTCAGTCGGTAGAGCGTTGGACTCCGCGAGGGCACGCATTCCCGGTTGCAACAGTTTGGGTTTGTAGCGCGACGAGTGCTTGACGTTTATGGGCCTCCTGACAGGTATGGTTGCGGTTGGTGGCAGGCCGTAGCCAAGCGAAGTCAGTGAGGGGACCGGCCGTCCGCGGCCATATGCGCACGTTAAACTTTGGACTCAATAATTCTGTCATAGAACCGAAATGGCGCGATCGGAGGGTAGAGGGCAGGGTCAACGCAACAAGCTTCGCTTAGCGGGGGCTCCGTCCTTGTCAATCCTTCCCATCAAAAGGTTCGGACTCAATTCATTTTAGAATACCTCTCCAGGGATCATTTTGCTGCAGCAGAGCGCCGATCACAGGCCGGTGTCTTCCGCAGTTTACTGTTTCGAACTCTCTCTCGGTTTTTCCTAAATAACTCGCACAAAAAGTGGTCGATCGCAACGAAAATTTTCGTATTCTCCAGTTAGTCGATTTTGCACCTCCACCTACTCTGAGCATTGACCCTGACCCAAATGACCTTTAACCTCTGACCTGTTTGTCGAGAGTCGAGACCATGTCAGGCCGGAATCGCGATTTGGCGTTTGTCAGCGCATATGATCCATGCTTGTCCATTTTTTTGTGGTTTTAAACGTTCCAACATGTGAAGCGATGTTTGTCCCATGCATTACGGTGGGTGTAAATGTCACTTGAAGGTCAGGTCAAGGTCATTGCTCTTAGAGGACCTTGGTTTACTTTTTCGAGTTTTGCTTGTTTCTAAGGTAGTTTTTTGGAGGTGATTTCGAATTAAGCACCATTTTGAACATTTACGAAATAGTTTTAGTGTTTAGGTATATACCATGTTACAAAGCTGTCGGTTGTGGTTAACACTAATGATGTCAAATAGGTACGGAAAATTTGGAAACCGATACCAAACCAAATACCAACCGAAACAATAGGAAAATACCGAAAACCAAACCAAATTTTAAAACTGATAGAAATACCAACTTTTTACCAAATTCGGAGCATCTTAGTACACTAGTGAAGCTTTCTAATACCAACAAAATACCAAATGCATAGGGTTTGAAATACCAAATACCAACTTGGTATCGGTTTGGTATCGGTATACCAAAAAGTTGGTATCCGATTGACATCACTAGTTAACACCTACTATAGATAGCCGGCAGAACCCCTACTGGTTGGCATAACCTGACCTGACCTGACCCGACCTGACCTGACCTGACCTGACCTAACACGAAATTGACCTGATATAATACGAAATTATGAAATCAGGACCCCGAAAACCCTCATAGCAACCTCGATTTACGATGTTCTAGCAGACTCCAATTTTACCTCTTTTTGAGCCATTGACCTGACCTGGAAGATCAACCAATGACCTAGATTAGGTGTCATCGACTTCCTCTATGTATGTAGTAACGGGCAACACGCTTGTTTTTCCGCGAGGCCCTAGCTCGATCAGGGGCTGAACAGCAGGGCGGGGGATCCAACGGACCCTCCCCGTAAACATTAGCGGCTGACAAAACACAAATACAGGCGAGGGATAAAGGTCCGAAATTGACGAAATTTTGCCGTTTTTATCGTATAGAAATAAAGCTTTACATTTTTGTGTAGAAAAGGGCTTGCTTTTAACCACACAGCAACGCATAAGGAAACGAACTCTGAGGAGTATTTGGTTTTCCGAGGAAGTTTTTGGGAATATGTCCCCGCTACGTCTCATGCCACCTTTTCTGGATCCACTGGTATGCTCGATGCATCAGTCATACGTTTTACTGGACGGAGATAAGTCATTATAGTGTCCGCGCTCAGTCTACTCACCCCAGAGGTCATGGCGGGTGGCGGTGACGGTGGCTCGCGGCCGGTGCGGGCTCGGTGGTCAGTCACAGTCAGAGATGAGCCGCACCTCGGGTCGGCACACACACACACCAGCACCCACACCGTACTGGGTGAGACTGCCGGCGGCACACCACTTTTAACGTGCCGCCCTCAGGTGACGTCACAGGTGACACGGCCAATCAGCGCCGCCCAGGTGAGGCAGCCGTGACGTCACCGCGGCCGCAGCCTCGGCTCCCGAGAAATCTCCGCTCCAGCACGGACGCGCCGCGGCACCCACACATAATAATGGCTTTGATAAATGTCCTATAAGCGTCCCCGACTCCCCTCTAAACGTCAGGTTGGGACTCTTAATGCTGCATTTTGCTAATTGTTTTGAGGCGCAGGGCTGGCGGCGTCCTGGATCACGTTTCTTAATTCTTTCATCAGGAAAACGAGAATAGATGAAGGGTGGCATGATAGCTTATTATTACATTATTTACTTATGACTGCATATTTTAAAGGACCTTATTACAAAAGTACAATAAGGTAAATTTGGCCATATGTATTTTGAACGGCCCGGCACCAATATCATGCCCTGGACACTGGACCTAATGCTCGGACCGGCCCTGGCGAAGCGCGCGACGCCAAGTATCAAATCGACCTATAACTGGTAATGGTGAAGGGCCGTTCAAAAAAACATATAGTCCGACAAATGTCGCGTGATTTGTTTTATTGTCACTTACATATTTTCTCTGAGTGCAGAGCGCTTCTGAAGGCTCAAAAGCTCAACGCTTGAGCTTAGCAGCCTGAAGCTAAAATTTCCGGTTTGGCAGCGGAACCGCTGACTATAAACGAGTGCTTACTGCTTAGCATGCAGTACCTACCAGTCGCGCCTTGAAATGATGCAGAGACGCACCCCTCCCCGAAGTGCCATGTGATAAGTCATCCTCTGCCGTGTGCGTATCGTATCATCTGTGACCCATCCGACACAATCACGAAAATAATTTATGAAACAAATCATCAGATCAGTTATTCTTTAATGTTTTTTTTTCATGACCACTGACTTCATATTAGTAAAGTACCTAATCTTGATGACCATTACCAACTCCTGTAGCCATTCCCTAACCATTTTCTATAAAACGTGCTGGGGACTAATGGGCTAACGGGCGAAATAATGACATTATCCGCCCGGTTCAATGATCATTATTGCCCGACGGATTTTAATTTGATGGCAAGGTGGAGTTTAAACCGCCCCTCTAGATGAGCTTAATGGCCTACTACGGGGCCTGCATAAGTGGTAATAGGTTATCGTTTTAGCGGGCCTGGTAAGGCCGAACCCTATCAATAGCTTCAGCATTTTGACATCAGCCCTATTTGATGTTGCATACAGAGGCGGATCCAGCTCGGAGTCTTTTTTTTTTGGGGGGGGGGGAACCATAACAATTTATCGATTCTTTCCATGTATCGTCCATAGGCGTAATGTTAGAATTATGCCGTTTGGGGGGCAATGCCCATTTTGACCCCCCTGGATCCGCCACTGGTTGCATAGAAACAATGACTTAGATATTCTTGAATTATAAATTAGTCCTTAGTTCTCCAATAAATGTCGGTTTGGTCTGATGTAAGAATGGAGACAGAGTAGGGATAGGGATAACCAAACGACAGTCTAGTTTGTAACGTGTGTCAAAGACACAGCACAGTTTGGTGTTCCTATTGCTCTGTGCTCATTAATATAATTACATAAGTCAGCTGACAAATGATAATGTTACTCGCTAGTTGCTAGCAATAACGCTGGCCATGTCGGCTTTGCTAGTCAGAGCGTTAGCAAAATGCTAGGCATCCTCATAAACCTAACATATGACGTTCGGTGATTCGGTACCGGTTACACATTTTACCGCATGGCTCGAGACTACTGTTCGATGTAGCGGTAATGCGCTACGGTATCTGCTTATATCTCTGTTCATAGATGGCACCACTGTTAAACGCCTACTCGACTGCGGATGCTGCACCGCATAACACGTAATGGTCTGGCCGTCAAGGACGATGGCCGAAGGGTGCGAATGGGATCGGAACAGGCTAGTAGCTCAACACAGAGGCTCATAAATGAGCTATGTGATGATGTGCTGAGAGTGGGTAGGAATCGAAAGCTACCTTCTCCTTCAGCCCTAAAATAAAGTTAACATTGGATCAATGATAAAGATACCGTGATGTTGGTAGACGCGCGTGTTTTTGTTTTATTTCCTTTTTTCACATAAAGTTAGACCGACTCCGGAGCGTCCACGCCGCAGTTTAGGTGACCGACGACGCAATCTTTACTGAAGACTCGTGTCACGACAGGTGACCTGACGACTGAATCGTTCACGGCGCAGGTGCACGATTTAGTTGCGACTCGCGCTGTGTTCGGCCCGCCGGCCGTCGTCTATTTCTGCCGCTGAGCTGAAAATGCAGAGGAATTAAATTCGCCGCTCCTCTGTCTTTTCAAAGTAGGATGAGTGAGCGGATTTGTCTGTGCCTTCAATGGGACTAGTGACTACTCGTAGTTAGCCATTGCAAGGAAAGTGGGCGGTACGATGTTTCCTAAGCTTGTTCCGATAAGCTTACGCGTCGAAATAAACAACACGCGTGACTTCGCGTAAATCACTTTGCAATTATTGTATCCCTATTTTGCTTTACGTGCATGTGAAATCAAAAGAGCACTGAAATAATTGAAAATGGTCTTACTGAATACTGATCAATTCAATTTTTAAACCTGCATCACATGCATGCATATAACGTGTCTAAGGTCAATATAAGAGGCCCGAGTTCGCTAGAGGCCCGAGTTCGCTTTGTTTGTTCGCATTACAACATATGCGTCACAAATTTTAATCGAAAGTAGCTGGTCATCGATGTAAAATAATCAGGCGGATGTAGTTTTTGCAGTTCGATTTTCAGCAAAAGCTCAACCTGGTGCGCCATGACTGACCAGCGAGTACAGGTTAAATTTTGGCATTTTTATTACATCCGTCATATATCCCAAACATTGTATTTGCGCCAGTCATTAATAACGTTAGCACATTTGGCATGCCGCCTGAAGTCATACCGTCTCCCTCGTTGCCTAGCCATGCTTCCATAGACACTGCGGCAGTCTGGATAGGTCGACCATATCGCAAGACGTCTTACCAACAACCGTCGGCTGATTTGCTGACTCGCCAGACGTGTCATCTTACCACGAGTGACAAAGTAACAGTCACGGCAGTCATGCCGACGTTGTGGCCGAAATGGAGATGACAAGCGCCACCTGTGGGCTGTGCACGTTGGGGCACAACGTCGAAACGTTTGGCCGACGCTACAACACAGAAACCTGGAGAGATTGACGCGTCGGGTCCACAGTCTGGAAAATAGCTAGTGCCATCGCTGCAGTCTACCATACATTGATTTCCAAAACATTACGAGAAAAATTGACATGGCCATCACTGGTTCCATCACAGACGGCAGTTTCTTGGAATACGAGAGCGCGCGGAGCGAGAGTCCACACCGCGACTCACAGGGTCGCTCGCATCATGAGTCCAGTCCGGGCCCTGCCCGCTCCAAGCCCGTTGGCGCCTCACCGACGTCCTCCCATGACCACAGAACCGCCGTCGAAGCACTTCTAGCCAGATCACCTAAATTCAGTCACCACACCGCAGGATCACACCACCAGTCGAGTCACGGACCGAACAGCCCTCCAGCAGCGCGTCTGACCGCGGCGCGGCGCTCCCCGTGTCCCGGTCAGCGTCTGGGCGCGTGCTCGAGGCCGTGTCGGATCGTGTCCAGGTCCGCCAGGTCGGCCTGCACCACGGCCATCAGCTGCTGGAGGCCGTGCTGCTGAGAGCGCAGCAGCTGGCGCACCTCGTCGCGGCCGGCCGGCTCCAGCGAGTAGCGCTCACCGCGCTGCACCGCCTGCTGGCTCTGCAGACGTGTCTGGGACAGCAGCTCGTTCAGACGGCCCTTGAACTGGGTGGGCGTGGCCAGCTCGTCCTGGAGCGCCTCCAGCTGCACGCGCAGCCGCTCCTCGTGCGGCTGGATGCTCCAGCCCTGCTTACGCACCATCTCCTGGCGCACCAGAACCTGAACAAGGGGGAGGGGGGGGGGGGGCACCGGACTCAGTAAGGGAGTAACAGTACACTGTATTGAGTGAATAACACGGCAAAACCTAAATGGGTCAAGGGCTAATGAACAATATAAACCAAAGTGGCTGATCTTCGAAAGTGACATGAGAATCCTGTCAATGGTAAAAGAAAGCACATTAAATGAAACTGTCATCTGACACATGACCATAGCAGATATTACGTTGCCCTTGTTTTTAATGAGCTCGTAAGTCGTTGGTGACCGGCGGGCTGCACAGTGTGGCGTCCCTACCTGCAGCACGCGGTGCGAGAGCTCCAGGTTGGCTCGTTTCAGCTGGCTGAGCCGCGCCGCGGTGGCCGCCTGCGTCTTCTGCAGGTCGGCGATGTCGGAGGCGATCAGATCCAGACGACGCTGCTGGTTCACGTTCTCCTGCTCCTGTGGGCCAGCATACATCGTCACCGGTGTGAGAAAATGACAGTTTTACAAAGTACAGACACGTCCAGGTAGATATGATCAATATTGTATAGTTGTTTAATGGGGCTTTGGGGCGCACGCTACGGTTATGCTTCGCCCAAAACACCACCATAGGGGTCCCGATCAGAGCCTCCTGAGGATTACGGTAGCACAATATTCTCATAGCTCGACTGCGCATCAGCAGTCGCACTCCCAGTGCGGACAATCCCTTCCTTTCGGCACTGACCTGACACTGCGTTCTCCGGTGCAGCTCGTTAAAGCCGATCATCGGCACGGGAATCATGGCCTTCGGGTCCGGGTTGTCCTTCTTGGCCTGCTCCCAGATCAGCTTATCGATTCCTGGACAAGGGCGGTGAAGGGTCAGGGCACAACCACCAGAAGGCAACGATTGTCGGAGATTCAATACGACTAACTACAAAATATGACGATTTGATAAAAGTCCATAAGAGATGGCTATGAAAACCAAGCTAAGAAATACTGTAAAGGTGATTCATTCCATTGTAAATCCCACCTGCAAAGCACTGCAACAAGCTCGCAGTTCAGCCCTCATGCCACAGTTGTATCTACTAGCGGGCCGGTGACTGGCCGCCGCACCCCCAATGTCGGTCCACGGGTCGGTGACTGGCCGCCGCACCCCCAATGTCAGTCCGCGGGTCGGTAGGACGGCCCGCAGCACCCACCTGCCGGAGGGTTATCCAGGTAGAGCTGCAGCTGCTCGGCAGACGGCGCCACCAGCGCGTGCAGCTGGTCCAGTGCCACAGCCGCCAGCTGAGAGCGCTGCGCGGGCGCAGATAGGTGGGAGCACAGGTCCGAGGCGGGCACACGACGCACCGAGCCTGGGAACCGAACGCCGGGGCCGGTCAGTCAGGAGACAGACGGGAGACGGAAGAGCAGCAGCTGGTGGTGTTTTCCGAAGTCTTTGGTAAAATAGAAACAATATCTCGACCGGGATAGTGATCCACATCGATCCCGAAGGTACTTTGTATGTTGAATCTAACTGCCTAGACCTGCACGTTAGTCCAGAAAGAGATGCTAATTAAATACTCAGCACATGTCGGGGTCAAAGAGGCCACATGGAAGTTGGTCACGCTGGTAGATTAGTCAAAAACGTCTCAATCTACAGTCAGGACTTCCCAACCATTCACAGATACCCCTGCCAATGTCTTTAGTTCCTTCCCAAAAGCCACAGCACACCAAATCAGTCGCAAGGAGTCGGACAGTGCTGCGTACCGTTGGGACTGCGCTCCTGCACGTAGATCTGGATCTCAGTCTTCTCCGGAGTGACGGCCCGCACACTCTCGACACAGACCGAGAGTGACGGCCGGTTCTCCAGCAGCTTCGAGACGGTGCTGACAATCTGCTGCTGACTGCTCCTGTCAACGGGAGGTCGGCCAGGTGAGCGAGACTGGGGAAGGACACTGGCTAGAGTTAAATGAAAAATTGTACTGCTACCCCCCTCCATCAGCTTATTAGTCCCCCTGTCCCTCCCATTCTGTTAGTTGATTAGTGATCTTTTCTTACTATATCTCTATTCTCTCCCCACACTTACCTGACTTCGGATTCTTTCTTGTTGAGTCGCAGTGTCACGAGGCCGTCGTCGTTTTTGGCCGTGGGCAGCCGGGCGTAGCCGACCGCCTTCATCACGCAGAACGGATTTTCCGCGCCCAGCTCCACCGGGGGGCCCATCGTGTAAAAACCTGGCCGGCATTCACAGCACAGTCAGTCACAAACGGTTAAAATAGGCGATCGGATTGATGTTGAATTTTGATTAACAATCATTCCCCGTACAGAGTCCTGGTTTTTAGGAAGCATGGGCTAGTTTGGTGCTAATACAGATTACAGACTAATTACGATCGCGGAACTACATCTGTCCATATCTCTCTAACTATCAACGTCGTGTCCTGGTGCACGATCTATCGTCATTGCTGGCAGCTGTATCGTACGGTGACTACGTTTGTACGTCTGAAGACGTCTGTTCCCGGAACGCTCACCCTTTCCGACGCCCCACTTGGCCTGCAGCTGGTTCCACTTGGCCAGGATGGCGTCCCGCTCGTCACGATAGATGGTGACGTTGAGCATGGCGCTGTACAGGGCCGGCGTCTGACTCTGGTCGGCTGGCTGCGCCTGCTGTGGCTGCTGAGGCTGGCCGAGCGCGCCGAACGCTGGGGGGGGGGGGGGGGGGAGCAGCGAGTCAGTGACGGACGAGACACAGGAGTTGTAGCAGCGGCGGATCGTGTGTGTCAGAGATGGTTCAGCCCAGACTCGGACGAAAGGAGATAAGACAAACCGACCGAGTTAGATTACGGTTACTGTTGTGTGGTATTGTGAAGAGAAAAGCTAATGCAATGAAATAGAAACACTATTTACAATAAATAGATCTTAGCCCTCAATTTTCCAAGCATTCCTTAACTATCTCCTCGATTTCGCACATAGCTAAGACAGATGTATGTATGCAAGTAGCGGTCCCTGATTATTCTGGTCACATTTCCTCACCTGGCGCGGCGGGTTTGCCGAAGCTGAACCCGCCGGCCGCCGGCGCGGCGGCTCCGAATGTCGGCGCGCCAAAACTGAAGCCCGTCGAGGCGGTCGAGGCCGGCGCGCCGAAACTAAAGCCTGTGGCCGCTGAAGACGCTGGAGCGCCGAAACTGAACCCGGTGGAGGCCGAAGACGCCGGCGCTCCGAAACTGAAGCCAGTAGCGGCCGTGGAGGCGGCCGGCGCGCCAAAGCTGAACCCCGTGGCGGCGGTGGTGGCCGCCGGCGCGCCAAAACTGAATCCGGTGGCGGCGGACGCGGCGGGCGCGCCGAAACTGAGCCCTGTGGACGCTGTGGAGGCGGGGGTCCCGAAGCTGAACCCTGTTGATGGCGCTGACGCCGGTGCGCCAAAGCCAGAGAAGCCGGTACTGCTCGCCGGCTGACCGAATGTCACCTCTGTAGGACAAATTTGACAGTTATGTTTACAAAAGAAAAGAAGTCACCCTCAGATCCTCTATGAGTTTTATATGCAAGACTATTTATGAGTTTAAAGTCCTTTTACTTTGTACGCATGACAGGCTACCAGCTTTTCTTGCTCAGCATCAGTGCTTGCAGAAGAACTGTAAATCATTACACACATACCAGTGCTACAAATTGGACAGGGATGAGGGACTGAAATTTAATATGAACAGGGTAAAACTATTTTAGGCTATCATAAATGTACCAGCTTACGTTTTGCTGCTGTTGATGCCCCAAAGCCACTGAATGAAGGCGTTGTAGTTGCTGATCCAAACAAAGAACCTGGAAAAACAGACCAAAGGCAACAAAAATAAGTACAATGATTACCAAAGGTGTAAAAAATTACAGATGATTAGCACTTGCAAAATAATTCAACAGCTGGAAAAGGATGTAATAGGTACTTAGCTAACATTTCATAACATGGGCTAAGTAATGGTAAAACAGAAAAAGTCACAATAGCTAGGAAACTGCAAGTTGAATCCTCTCTAAAGCCTTTACTCCACTGCACAGTGCACAAGCTGTATTTGTGCATTCATCTGCTGAACAGTCATTTGACTAAACCATTGCATTAACTGTTAAAGAGATGATTCTATTCTATTCCAACACCTAAGTATTTATAGTTCCAGAGTAGCACACTGATGAGCTGCCATCAAATGTTGTTCTAAAAGCTCTTGGACTCAGAATGATGCTCCTGTTAACTATTAAATCAGTCACTTGAAAGGCACCTCCCTGCCCACAAACTAGCTACCTACAAATCAATATCTCAGGAAATGATTAGCAGGCAAGTGATACCTGAAGGTGTTGCAGTTGATGTGGATGATGCTGCTCCAAAGCCACTAAACCCAGTAAATGTTGACATCTTGAATACACAAGTTTCTCTTACTTTTGACTAAAATCTGATCTGCAAAACACACCACATGTTAGGGATGGTCAGATTGTATGCTCAGTACAATACAACCTGAAAAGTCATAGGAGATATGATATCTTGGGAAACTGGATAAATGTAAGGAAAGATAAAGAAGAGAACTGAGGAACCAATCAACGAAATGACTTTCAGCCTTCTGCTTGAAAAGGCTTCCCAGTAATTACAAATCAATTGAATTTACCTAAGATAAGACTTATGAGAAAGGAACATGTATGTTAACCTTATTATATTAATGACACGTTTAGTGGTAGAGCACATCAGCTAGTGCTAAACAGATGTACATTTATTTGCACAGCCTGATATTCATGCTGCCTTTTGGGAAACTGTAATGCTGATATACCCATTTAACATTTTCAAAAAATCATGGCAGCTATAGGGAGTACTTTGCAAGAGCATAAGGGTATTGTAAGGTAGGGTGGCAGCTGACAATGATCAGCATACCTACTATCATTTTCTCTTGCTTCTCATCATAATTATATTATTGGAAAAAGTATTTGGGTCATGCTAGCTACTGCTACCATACAGAGGTGGAGAAATGCTGCTGCTGCTGCTGCATGCTGAACCAAACTGCATAGCCATAAATAATGAAAATAATCAGCTGTAACTGACCACATGGGTATCAGTGAAAGCTTAACCCGCGCCCCGTAGGGGGGGGGGGCCGAAACGCCCCCCCCCCCTGTCCTTTTCGGTCGATATCTCCTAAACGGCTGGAGATATCGCCACCAAACTTTCAGGACCCCTCCGGACATCAATTTTACACATTGTGACCACAAATTTTACCAGAGGCTATGATAGGTTGGCCACAAATGGCGTCAGAGTGACGTCATGTTCTGTCATTTTCGACCGAAAAAAAGACCTTCGCGAGAAGACCTGTCAGGACTACAGCTTTGAAGATACAGAAAAATGATCAGGACATAAAAGGTGTAGAATTGACAGGGCTACAAAACTGCTATCTCGAATTTTTGAAATTTTTGAGTTTTGACCCCCCAAAATCAAAAAAGCATTTTTTGGATATATTCGCCCAAAAATCCAAAAAGTTTTTTGAGTTTCGAAAAAACCGGAATATATGTGATAGTGCCTACCGTCTTCTATCTACATACCAAATTTCAGATCGATACCTCGTTTTTTGGCCAAGTTATAACGAAAAAACTGTTCAAAAATGATGACGTCAAATTTTCAAACTCAATTTTTGGCAATTCTAGAACTCGTAGAGCAAAACGAAGACCACCATTAGACTCCCCGTGACGAGCTGCATCGAATCGATACCCATTTTATGCAAAAATATCAACTTTGAAATTTGACCTAATTTGACCTGACCTTGACCTGACCTTCACCAAAACGTGACCTAGGCTGGCCCCAAAGGCTGCCTAACCCACATAATCGCATTTGTCATGTAAAATGGACCATAAAACATGTATCACACGACACATTCATATTGTGACCCCCGGTGACCTGACCTCGCTGTGACCTGACCTGGTATCAGTGACCTCAGATAGGAAAGTATGTGTTTGACGAACAATGTACCATCGATGGTTTTCAATAAATTACCAATTTACTAGCTTTCACAGCACATTTCTTGAATTGCCTGTGAACGGTGAAAATCTGACCTTTGACCTGACCTGTGACGTCATCGGTTTGACCTAGGTCAATGAAATTTGGTCACAAGGTAGTTCCCGGGTGGGGCTATCGAACGCCGTTTGAATTTTGAAAATCGGCCGGTAACTTTCCGAGATCTTAGGGGGGGGGGGGGCCGAAACGGCCCGCCCCCTATGGGTGGTAGGGTCCGCCGGTAGCCCTACGGGGCGCGGGTTAAGGCTGGAGCACAGCTTTCACAACACAAGCACACTTCACATCATCTTGGTCATGCCATTCAAACTCATAACATATTTTTTGCTTCCAGCTCAAAGCATGTCAGGCTGTAAGAAAGCACAAAAAAAACATTGTACCTACTCCAATGGGAGCAGCAAGAGTCAATTTCAATTTGCAAGTGCTAAGCTGTTCAGCTCAGCCCGAACAGATACAGACCAGTTTGAACGAGGAATAAAATATATGCTTTTGAATGACTCGATATATTTCCTAGAAACAAATGAAAGTAAGTGCACCCAGCACGACCATTGGCCCCCACTTCAATTAAACTGCCTTTAAAGGAAAAGGGCCACCTTCGTGAAATATGAAGATATCGTTGTTTTTCATTTTGACATTATTATTTTTCATTTTCTTTTTAAAACTGGTGCCAGAAGTGCACAATTCGCGAAAAAGTATTTAAAACTATTTAACATATTGGTACTATGTTGATACTCTCTACGGCACCTACTGTATGATGGCATAGCGATGACGTCACACTCAAGCCAATCAGCGTTCAGAAGACAGACTCGTCGGATTGTGTCAGATAAGCTGATTGGTTAAAGCTGAGCTGGTTGGAGCTGATTGGTAAAAAACCAAAGCCTCGCCGCGGGTGGCTGTATTGTCGGATAAGAACGCATTCCTGGGATAAGGACGCATTCCTGGCGTATTTTCTTTTAAAATTGCCGATAACTACGAATGGAGGCCGAAATCGGCCGTAAGGAGGTAGACAGTTAGGTTTTCGGACACGGGCTACAAGATGGCTATCTCAGTTTCAATCCCCATGTTAAAGGTGGCCCTTTTCCTTTAAAGGAAATAGTTCACTTTTAACATGGGGTTTGGAACTGGAATAGCAGTTTTGTTGCTTGCGCTGAGACTAGCACAAATCAGAAGCTTTTACGGCCCAACGATCACCCTAGACGAAGATATTCCATTTTTCGTTCCGAAAACAGTGCCTTGCAGAGGAATGCGTGCCTTGCTGAGGAATGCAGTCACGTCATCGTCAGCCAATCAGAATGCTGCTTACAGCCGATGGGTTTGTCCTACGCAATATGATTGGTCAACGCGTAATAAGCTTCCGCGTCAAACATTATTTTATATAGAATAGTTATTCTTATACTAAAATAATAGAAAATAATCCTTTTTACAAAAACGTTTTGTTTTATTTTCTGATCATTTTGAGCATAAAAAAACACAAATCCATAGCAAAATACTAATTTCATGAGAAGACAAGCAAAGTCTGCACGAGCACGGAGTACATTAAAAAATTTAAATCATACTCATACACGATTCAATCCAGTTAAACAAAAACCCAAAAACAAAATGAAGATGCCGAAGATGCATATCACCACATGTGTCTTGTGTGTGCAGCATATTTACGTCTGGACAACGAGTTGCGGGGAAAAGTGCTGATTTTGTTGCAGTTTTAGGAGCCGGTGATTAGGCTGGATTTTTGGGTTACTTTTTCGTTCCGATTCATGTATTTCATAGTGTTTGGCTTTTGAATATTTTAGTTCTTTCAGATAAATATTACTTGCCTTACAACTTTTGTAAAAACGTTTCATTTTTTATAAGCCGACCTTCAGAGTCCTAAAAGTACATCAGCACTACAATCATTGTAAACAAACAAATGGAGCATGGCTCTGTTCCAAGGCGCTTTTTAAGTTTATCTGGTGGTTTCCGTACTCTTGTACGTCGTTTTGTTGGACGTTTTGAATCCCTTAAAATTGACTTATATCATATTTAAGAAGCATGTGACTGAAAACAATCCGAAGTATCCAGGAGGCTGACAGAGTGAGAGGTCCTGACTCCTGAGCAGAGCAATATCAATATCAAGTTGAACTTGAAGCTATGAAATTTTGGTTGATAACCGCAAGTTGATCGGGCTCATATATCAGCAAGAAAAAGTAAAATTAAAAGAGCTTATTGGCCGAAAACAAGCTATAATATTACAGATCTTTGAGCAATACTGAAGAGCGCGCTGAGCAGGATCATGCCAGAAAATGTTGACTGATGAGCGTATATCAATAGATGTAGGTATTGGTATGGTATTGAATGATAACTTACAACAGCAAGATAAATTAGTGCTAACTATCAAGTTAAAAATCTAGAATGAATGGACTTTGGCAGCTTTACTATGCTTAGATGCTATGCAGATTGTAATGTGCATCACCAGCATCAGGTACTCAGTGTCTGGCAAATGAAACATGCGTTCATTCCATTGCTACTGGAGGAGGAAGCTTGGATCACTAAATCCACTTTATGTTGATTTTGATGTTAATCATTACTGTATTTCTTGAAAAAAGGATTGTTATAAAATTGTCAATGTGACAATCCATGCAACAATGTGATCATATAATGTGTTCATAGTCATTCGTGATAGTGATTGTTGGTCCAATATACAATGGCAAAGCTCTCAGTCTCAGCGTTTCTTCCTGTGGATGGCCAGCAGTGACTCAGAGCTTAGAAGTATTAGTTTTCTTCACAAGGCTGGGATAAAAAGTACTGAGGGTAATCTTCCACCAAGGAACTCTACTTTGACATGTTATGAGATGTAGGCCCAAGTAGGTAGGTGCTTAGTTCCTATAGTCAAGCGGTTGTGTAGGTTTAGTCGGGTTAGCTTAGATTAGGTTATGTTAGTTTTTTAATTTGCCAAGCGTCCATAAAAATGTGACCTGAGCAATGAGCATACCTGAATAACCTGACAGCTGACCTAACCTCAATCATCACACATATTTGCAGCCTACCCAAGACCTGCATAGCAGTAGCACCCAGTTATAGGTAGGTACTCACCCTAACTCAATCTTACCTGCTAACCTTCTACTTGCCAATAGCTAGCTCACCTCGCCAAGCTGCATCCAGGGAAACAGTCAACTGAGGAACTGGCTCATTGGGTGGCTGGTGTGAGTCTGTGCATTTAAAGTGTTTTTTTTTTCTCTGAAGCTACTCTGCACTGCTGTATGTCATGTTAGATGCTCAGAAAATGTGGGAAATGATTACTAAGCTACTTAAGTGCTTTGTTAATGCGCGAGACATGAACAAGTACAGATCCTGCTGCCTGCACTTGCAGGGTACAGCTATGAGTTAGGTGCTAGGTGAGTATGCTATGTGAATGTGCTGTTCCCTGTTTGACCATAGTAAGTATACAAACAAGTACAGGGTCACAGTTATATTCAATCTCCACATAAACATACAACAAAAAGTGCCATATAGCCTCACTCCGAACACACCACAAAGAACTTAAGCCTTGCAGGCACAAAAATGCTTTGATTTACAGGACAGGTATACAATATATTCTCTGTCCTTGGGGATCTTGCTGCCAAGTTGAGGTACGATGACTGAACTTCAGGATTGATCAACTTTTCTTCTTAGCCACTGCTTATATAGGTATGAGATAGACCAAATGCTTGTTTGTACTGCCTTGAAAATTTAATGATCCACCTTCAATTCTGACATGAAGCCTGAAGGCACAAATAAAATTGTTCCCTCTCCTTTTGGAAAACACAAAGCAAAATATTTAATAACTTCTAGTGGATGGACAAGAGCAATTCGCATAGCTTCCCTCAAGTTAACTTCTGGCACTGATGAATTACACTGACTGTGACGCTTATTCGCTTCATATTTTGTAACAAACGCGCCAAAACTGCAATATAACAGCACTATATGCTTCTGGACAAAATGCAAAAGTAGTAAAAATTTAGCCCTGGTGGCATTCTATCTTGGTGGAAACGTAATTACAAAATATTTTGTAGTAACTATTAAATTCCGGCCGAAAACAGTGCACGGTTTAAGAAAGAATCATCCCAATGACGGTCCATTCTTGCGGTCCTGAAATCGCCACTATTTCCGGCCTCTCCAACGCAACTCGTTGTCCAGACGTAAATATGCGTGTGTGCAACGGTGTGCAATTCAAGGTTCGTGAAATTTTCACGTGACGTTTAGAAGGCCCACAGATGGGGGAGAAGTTCCAAATGTCACGTGACTAATATGCCCTCCGGCGCCCTGTTTTCACCGGCGTCCTGCAATGGACGACGGTGAAAACAGGGCGCCTGGGGCGATTTGATCAAGGTTCGTGAAATTTTCACGTGACGTTTAGGATCTAGAAGGCCCACAGATGGGGGAGAAGTTCCAAATGTCACGTGACTAATATGCCCTCCGGCGCCCTGTTTTCACCGGCGTCCTGTGCAATGTGTGTGCTTCATCCGTTTCATCGTTTCATCCATCAGCATCTAAAGTATTCAAAACTTATTGATGACGTCATTGATGGTCGGTCTAGACTAGACTTGATGAAATTCAAACAAAATAATTGTAGGTGAAAATTTATTGCATTGATCAAATGTTTTCCGCTCTCATGCAATATATTCTAAGTCCTTTTCAAGACGTTCAAATGATTCGTAAAAAAATGAATGAAAAAAGAGTTTGCATTTGTTCTAATGATGTCATTTTATGTGACATCAAAATAAATGATACCATGAAATAAATCTCGCAATTCCGCCGATTGCAAATCTAGGGATTTACAGAGAATAAATCCCAAGGAATTTTGGGCGCAGGGAGACTTTGGCTCATACAAATTCAATTGCAGGTGTTTCTTTAATGCCAATGTTCCTATGGATAGATCTGTATTCAGGGCCTTGGATAGATCGAAGCCTGAAATATTTTTGTCAACCTCTCATTTTCATATTTTTCTCTAATCTAGAGGTTTTACTTAAAATATCTATCTGGCAGCTGCACCGGGATTGGCGCTAGCGGCATAATGGCCGCATGTTTTGTTTTCCGGACAGTGGCAAGTCAAGTGAAGTGGTTCGAGGATCGGTCTCAGTCTGGCGATTCGTGCGCCTTATATTTAAAAGCGATTTTGCAGTTATATTGGTTGGCGCTGAGGGGAACGCGACGGACAAAACGTATTCATGTCAATGTTACACCAGTGACATTTTTAGTCAAGTGAACCTTTTGTTGTTCCTCAAGATTCAGGTCACGATCAAGACACTGGCATCAAGCTTCACCAAAAAGTGTTATTCTTTTTTTTTTGCGTGAAGATGTCAAGATTGTTAATGTTGAGATGAATGGAAGATTATGATTTTATTGATTCATCATACACTACCTCATAGTTTTTAACCTTTTACAAAGCTTGTGATGTAGGGGGATGTGATGGCACACTGTCTACATCTTTTGTTGGTTTTAACCAATTTTGTGGTCAATCTTCTGCATTTTAATGGTAAGTATTTATTGATTTTAAACTTTGCTTTAAATCTAGGTACTGCTTTCACGAGATTAAGAGGTAGATTTTGCACCTTTACATTCCCGGTTAGCTCAGAAACTAATCGATCTACGATGAAGCCATTTTACACAATCATGGCCGGCTTATGAACCAATAAGTCGATCGCATCTTCAACACTTAAAAGCTTAAGATGATGAAGATATAGCCTGAATTACACTAAATTTTCTACTCTAGGTGCAAAACCTACCACTAAAACCCGCGAGACCTGTACTTACAGTACTTCTCTAATATTCAATGGCAATACCTAACAGTTAGGAGGTAGCTACATACTTTTTGTTTTAGCATTTATGTGGTTTATACCTACCTACCTACATACCTACCTACTTTGTGCAAAACATGTTTGTCCATTTTCCAATTTAAGCTCACATGTAATAAACTTTTTGTTTCAGATGCGATTCCTGATCCTGCTCTTCTGTTTGCAAATAGACAAGAAGTACGGCTGGTTGACATTGACAGGCCCTGGGTGAATGGCACTTCTCTGACAAAGGTATTTGCTTGTATGGATGTTTAAGAATGTTCTATGAGTCAGGTGCTCGTCAGTCACCATTTTTTATCATCGGTTGCTATTCAGCAGATTTCCAGCCTGTTAATTTTTCTTGCTTTGTCATTGGTGAACTTGTGTGTGTGTGTGTGTGTGTGTGTGTGTGTGTGTGTGTGTGTGTGTGTGTGTGTGTGATTGACAAATGAGATGCCAAGGAATGTCAGCAATGAACTTCTTCTCAATAGAAGACTGGCAGTATGCTGATGAAAAACAGCAACCAACTAGCACACTGGCATCCTGATCCATATGTATCTAGCATTTATTTTGTGAAATTCATGGATTTTTTTGAGTCTGTGGCACACTTATTTCATTCAGGTTTTTGCATTTATTAAGAGGAAAGTGTGAAAATGTTATGCTCTTTGCTAACATATTTTTTCTTAACTTTTGATGAATTCTTGTGATAAAGGTACTTAGTTATATCTTTCAAAAATATTTGGAAATATCCAATGCATATGACTGCACACACCTTTAATAGGTAGGTAACCTACTTGACCGGGCTATTGTATTGTGTTGCATGATCATGAGCTATCAACATGATCAAATTGCATGGCAATTAATGCTTAAAGTCCATAAGTGTCCCTACTTACTAATCTAAACATCCTCAACATTCACACATTCATTCGCATCAAATCACAGACAAAAACTTCCGTAGAACGATGCTCATCCCCAACCACCCATATCTCACAGATGGCGGGGTTTGAAACGAACAGGGCTGCCAGTTCCTTGGGTTTGCCACGCTGTATGACTTTGTGAGTGATACGAGGGTTTGGTAATCAGACATACAACGCGAGGACAGCCACCCGATCTTTTTTCGCAGGTCAGTGACATGGTCAAATTTACGGCAACCGAAAATAATATGAGCGGTGAAGTTCATATTTTTTTGCAGTCGATCAAAATTTGTTTCGGACATATTGTCATAACCTGAGAGGCAGTAGGTACTGGGTGCGTGAGATTTTGAGTGCCGTCACGAGCATTCATCCTCGCAACATGCCATCCGGGTGACAGTGGCGCGCGGCGGAGAGACCAATCAACAGTCTCTTACACCGGCGGCTGAGTTCGGAGACTGGCGCAAAACCAGTCGTTAAGTGACGCGAGCGTAATCTCCATGCGCTAGATAAGAACTGCGAGGTCTCTAGCTGTATTGCTAACCAGGGCTGCGGAGTCTATGTATTTTAGGGTGACTCCGACTCCGACTCCGGACGGTTCTATTAAAATCCATATCGTGATATTAAAGTTCATAATGGTGATGTTTTTATCTTGCTTGAAACGATCCTATGTGCGTTCTAGAACTTGCGTTGCAAATATGCATTAAAAATAACTTGCAGGATTAAAAAGCAGTTTCTGGGGAATTCAACTTCTTCTGCTTTTTTCGCTGAAAATGTTCGTCCAGAACAGCAAAATATTCTTTTTTCGACAAAATCTAATTTCGAGCATCGTCAATCTCGGGTATTGTCCATCAAACAGGTGCAGGGCATGACGTTGAGCCATGCAGCGTTAACGCCGATACCGGAGTCGGAGTCGGTAAGATTTTGGTGACTCCGACTCCGGGCAGAACTGTCGACTCCGACTGACTCCGACTCCGCAGCCCTGCTGCTAAGCTAACCAATACTAATGAAAGCCAAAAATGAACCAATTTCGCTCAAACTTACGGGCTGTTTACTTCTTGTTTATGTCTTGGGATAACGCTATATAAAAATGAAGTGGAGTCATTCTAATTTTTTTTTGTGGAAGTTTTCATGGTTGATTTTTTTGACACCCTGACCCTTGAGTTTGTCATGACCGGATATGTCAGATTATTGTATTACTGCTCCTGTCTCTTTAAGCCAGTGCTTCATGCCAGCCACCTGTAGAAGCTGACTGATTGTAAATCATTGGGCCTTTGGGCTGTGCTGATAGTTCTTATTACTATATAATTACATATTTTTCTACCTTGAACTTCAGACCAACAAGGCGAAACGAATGATACAATACACAGGAGGTTCTGTGAATTCAGTAATAGTGCCACCTTTCTATATCCATGTGAAAGTGCTTTGCTAGAGCACAATTAGTACATCATGACTGTATTCCGGTCCCTGAAGTGTTATAAATATGCATTTCCTCTGTCGCAGAACATCCATGATGCGGCTGCTGTGGACTTCAACTTTGCGCGGCGTGAGGTGTGCTGGATCGACATATTTCTGGGGGAGATCAAATGCTCCAATCTCCCCGGACCATCGCGCGTCCGACCGGTCAGTGTGAGGGATACGTCATCGTATCGGTCAGTATGAGGGGCACCCCACGGCCCACGGGTCCTTTCGGTCAGTATGAGCCGGGCACTCCACGGGCCTGTTCGTTCAGTATGGAAGGCACCCCACAGCTCTGTTCGGTCAGTATGAGGATCACCCCACGCCACTCGACTGGTCAGTATTAGAGTCACCCACCAGGCAGGCTGCCCGCCACCTGGGCTCGGCCGACGCCGCCGACCCTGCGTGCTGCCGTCATGCCGTCCCTGGCCATTGTCACCGGTATTTTTGCGTGTATACAAACAGTACATGGGTGACTTCACCCGACATTTAACAGAGAATGCTGAAGATGACATTATGGCCGGAACTCGTTCTTAGAATAAACGGGGTGAATCATTTTACTTGCTTAGGGCTGAAACGGCTTTGTTCCCCGCAAGTGGTTACCACGAACGAGTTTGCATGGTGAGCGATTTTTGTGAGCCAGCACACCCAAGCATTGTGTCGCAGCAGTAAGCTTCTTTTACCTCATGCATTTGTGTCAAGCCTTATGTGAGTAAACAGTTTAAGGATAAACAATGGACGTGACTTCATTGCTCATGTAGCCATTCCTTTACAGTGCCTTTGAAAGAATATGGTACAGTTACTTAACCTTTTAAAGAGCAAAAATTTAATTGTTATGCTGTTTGGGACAGATATATTATTAGTTTTTTTAGCTGTTGCTTGCTCCTGGTGTGTGTCTATCGTTTTTGCTGGCTGATTCATGTAGGATTCTACGTTTAGCGGTGCTGCTAATCGGAGTTGCATTGGCGTGACCACGCCATTGTCCCCTATTGGCGACCTTTCGCGACCTCAGCACGATATGTACCGACCCTAATATGGTCGCCCACGCCAACCGCTTGCCGTGGTCGTTCGTCTGAACTGTCGATGCCGTGGCTGACCTGAGCCAGTGTAACCTGTACTCCGCAGTCACTATTCCGACCGGCAACCAGTAGGTGGTGCCTCCTTCTGCTAAGCTGAGAAGCTACCCCCTGCCCCTGTATTGACCTGACCCGACCTCTCGTGACCTGGTCTGACCCGCCCTGGCCTCACGTGACTTGACCTGCCCTGACCTGGCAGCGGCGCGTCATCACCGAGTGGCTGATCAACCCGGACGGACTGGCCATCGACTGGATCACGGGCAAACTCTACTGGACCGATAGCGACACAAAGCGCATCGAGGTGGCCAACAGGACCGGCGGCAACCGACGCGTGCTGTTCTACGACCGATTGGACCGGCCGCGCGCCATCGCCCTCCTGCCCTCCGAGGGGTGAGAATGGCGCCAACGCCGACTGTGCGTGGGAATGGCGCGAACACCGGCCGTGGGAGCTCTGTAAGACAGGGGATTTGCCGGGCATACTGACGTGCAGGGGCCTGGTCTGATATATCAGTCGAGCAGTCTCGTATATCGAGGGTGGCGTCGTTTGGGATATAGGGGTCTGTCTGAAGGTCTCTGGGGCTCCATCGGGGTACAGTCGATCCTCCTAGACCTACTAGCCTTATTCTGAGGCCGGCCCGAGTGTCAACCTGGTGCTACAGAAAATTGACAACTTTTAACATGATGCGACATGATTTTCCTTGCAGTATTTAGCTTAGTACGGCTCTTCAAAGGAGGCGCCCCGGTGCATTCTCGTGCTGGTTGTCGTGCTTGCTTGTGATTCATGACATGTTAGCACTTGGTTTGGTAGTTTGATGTGTCGTGGGGCTAATTTAGCAGATCAGATCTCGTGAACTAGTTGATGTTTTACGTTTAGTTTTATCGAGTTGACACGTCCTCAGTGCAACACTTTTTGTGCGACATCATTGATACTAGCGTACAGTTACATAAATGTTTGACGACACTCACGAAGGCCGTCCGACGAACAGTTCGTAGAATGGTACAGTTAACATTCTGAGAAACACCGAATTCAGACGACACATATAGCCGGTCACAGAAATATACCTCTCTGGCCAGTTAGTTTACAGCGTGGCCGTGCGTGAAAACTTAGTGACCAGACGTCCTCTTTTAGGACGCAAAGTAAAATTTACGAGCTAGGATTGCCACACGAACTCAGCGCTCCGCTAAGTGCTCCTTGTTTGGTTATAGTCGCCATATAGCATGACCAGTATCACACTGATGTCACCGAGATATGTCCTGAAGTCGGGCAGGTGGACAGTTACGGCACATGAGAGCTTAGAGTTTAAACCCACCTACAGACTTAGACCTACCTTACAATGGATGCCCGTCCATGACCGATGCCGTAGGGCGCCCTAAAACCCCAACCAGACCGGGCATCATCCAGGACAGATTTACGTGCAATGCTGTCTGGGGTCAGTTCGGATCGCGGCTCAGTTGGTAGGGCGTTAGATTCCCTGAGGTGAGATGCCGGGCTCAGATAGTTCCGGCGCTAGATGTCTGGACATTTGATGAAAATATGCTGCGGTTGGTGGAAGAACTTGCTCCATGGACATGGCGCTATGCCCAGCCTTTTCGCATATTTCGTAGGCTACTGTTTTCGACCAATGACCTTTCTGTCCCAGTTCTGACTGTCCGCAATGTTGACAGACTGCTGTTCTGGACGGACTGGGGAGAGATTCCGAAGATCGAGCGGGCCGGCATGGACGGCGACCTCAGCACCCGCTCTGTGTTCGTCCGCGACGACATCCATTGGCCCAACGGCATCACCATCGACTACGAGACCAAGGTAGGGACGTGACCGCCGCCGGCCGGCCGGACGGATGGGTCGGATGTCTGAGACCGGGGGCTGCTAGAGAGACTCTCCCCGCTGCAGGTCGGCCGCTGCAGTGACGGGCGATCCGCCCGGCCGGTGCCAGGCCGTCTGTAATATCGTCCCAGGGGAGCCCGCAGTGCGGCGTGGTGGCTCGGGTGGCCGGTGGTAGGTCCCGCCGGCCAGGAATGCGCCGGCGGCCGCCGCTGGGCCTGTGATAGCGGTAGGACGGTTACTGCCGGCTGTGCAGAGTACCGACACCTGGTCTGTTTACATGTCAGGGCATGCAGCAGATTAGGACGGACCCGGGGGTCTGTGGAGAGAATCGACCGGCCGCGTGGCGTAGGGGCCGCACAGCCCTGAGCCCACCCATGAAAAATCCGTGGACAGCGGCAAACGGCTCCGCGAGGGGCCACTCGGAAATTCCGCCGGAAAATAGGACAGTCGAGTTTTCCGATAAACGAGGAACGTGCTCAGTTTTTCAACGAAAACAGTTTCGTGGATCGGTATATGCATAGCTGTAGCATCTAAAACTGTTACGAGGACATCTGAATCGTGCTATTGTCGCGGCCCGATTTGGCTGCGACACTGAGTACAGGACAGACATGCGACAGACAGAACGGCATAAAATGCTAACAAAACGGCCCGGACAAGGACATTGTGAGCGCCGTTACATAGGATTAGCAGCTGGTGTTTTGGGAATCAAATCTGGGGCCCTCGCTCCTTCGAACAGCTTGTCTTTGCGTGCCAGCATTTCAAGGAAATAAGACTTCGACTTTTTAACAACTTAGTCTGAAATATGGTGAGGACGTGCAGATGATTTTTAATCAGAAAGGAAATATAAGTGTCATTTCTACTAAGAGTCTGAAATTTGGTGTGGACGTGCCACATGATTTTTTTTTTTTTGGAAAGGAAAGACATGTGTTATTTTTACGTGTTTTGCTTTCCGAAGATAGTCTGTATCCTCTTTCTTCTTTAGCAGACCACCATGTTCAGTAACGTTTCTAAGAACTGGACAATCCCAGAGCATGTTTACTGATATTGACACCGATTAACAATTAGCCTCGTGCTCTTTTTGTATGTTTGAACCTTTTTGTAACACTTCTTCTGAAACTGACTCATGCGATGCCTTTTTTCGCATGTATCCTGTTTTTGGAACGGTGCTGAGGCCCCGCTGGTCCGATGTGTGATATCACCTTACCTGGTTCACCTACAGGTGACCCTTCGGACAGTCACGTCACGTGTCATCAGCGGAGGAATGAGGACCCCCCCCACACACACACACCATCACCGACTGACTCTCCCTTCCCACAGGTGTTAGTGATGAACTGTGGACCATCATGTCTCCACATATAGTGTAGCTCACTTATCACTAACCCCTACCACCACTGACCCCGCCTCCCTTCCCCCAGATGGTGTACTGGACTGAGGCGAAGAAAGAGCGGCCGCAGATCTCGGCTCAGCGGTACGACGGCACGGGCCGGCGCGTGGTGATGGAAGGCGGCGAGCTCAAGCACCCGTTCTCGGTGACGCTGTTCCGCGACCGGCTCTACTGGACCGACTGGCACACCAGGTCAGAGCGGGGCCCCTCCTGGGGGACGGAAAGGTCAGCGGTACAGGGGCGGAGAGGTCAGAAGGAGAGGTCTGGACAGCGGTGAAGGGGTGGAAGAGTCAGAGAGGCGGCGGAGAGGTCAGAGCCGTGTTCCATTTTTTTTTTATAATTTTGGATGGAAAATCACACCTATAATAGTGAAAATATTTTTTTCTCAAAAAATCAGAAAGTGGCATTAGTTCATCTTGAAAAAATCCATGCATTCGAACAGTCAGGCTACGGATGACTTGACAGTTGACATCCACGTTGACATGGATGTCTTGACATCCACATCCTTTTCTTTCAGATCCTGTCCAGATCCTTACATGAAATCCTGCTTTATCACCTGGCACTAAAACTGCCTTCTTCCTTTTGCAAAAATACTACAGGTATTTACTTCCTTTTTTCTTCCTAAGATATTTTCTTTTCCTCGGCACACCCAATCTAAATCCAATTTTAGGAGACTGGGTCAGAGTGATGCTAAGTTCGGGTTAGAAGGACCTAGTTTAGTGTGCGTATCTCCTGCACTTTGTCCTGGAGGATCGGATTCGAGACAGCAGAAAACAGTGCCATTGAGGGAGTCCGATAGGTACCGAAGTTCCATCAGCCAGGTAAATAAAATTAACCTTGAATACAGTGTTGTAGTAGCTTTAGTCTCTACCTGAACTACTATAGCCTTCGGCGCTTTTATCTCTTGGACACTTTTAAAACAATCTGCGATGCGCCGTTAATTTAAGATCCATCTATTTCGCACTTACAAAATAGTAGTACGGTAGGGAAATGTAGTTACCTAACATTTCCCTACCGTAACATGGTCGGCATCCAACTGTAGCGCTCGCCCTCTCGCTGTCTGCAGGTCGATCCACTCGTGTAAGAAGCGGAACGGCGGCGACGTGCGGACGGTGCTGGGCGGTGAGCGCGGCGGGCGCGGCGTGCAGCCGCTCGACGTGCACGTGTTCACGGCCTCCCGCCAGCCGGCCTGGCACGGCCCCGGCCCGGTGCCCTGCGCCGAGCACAACGGCGGCTGCTCGCACCTGTGCCTGCTGTCGCCGGGAGCGGCGTTCCGGCCGACCGGAGCGGCGGCCGGCCGCGCCCTGCCCGGACACTCGTGCTCGTGTCCTACCGGAGTGAGACTCATCAACGAGACACATTGCGCCGACCGTGAGTATTGGCAGCTCGGTATGGCCCCTGTCTGCAGCTGATTGCTGGTGTTACGACGTACTGTGGTGTTGGGATTCGATTCAGAATGCCGGTGGCCGTCTCGGTTTGGGAAACTTACACAAAAGCTCATCTGCATTATCATCAGGATTTGACTGAGCTGGCGCTTTGCTGAAGTGCTAAGTAGTGATAGGTTTGTTGAAATCTTTCTCGTGTTTCCGATAAAAAATGGCTGTCTGTTAAGCATATTAAATCAACATCACTGATGAGTCCCTGCGCTACGTAAATTTCCGTCGGTATCCCGCCGTGCTCACCCCGCCCCGTGGCGGCGCCGCAGGTCCGGAGCGTCTGATCATCCTGGCGCGGCGGACCGACCTGCGTCTGATCTCACTGGATACGCCCGATCACACGGACATCATGCTGCCACTGAAGGGCGTCAAACAGGCCGTGGCCGTCGACTACGACCCCATCGAGGACCAGCTCTACTGGACAGACGAGGAGGTGGGAAACGGCTGGGGGGGGGGGGGGCTTAGGAGACGGTGGAGGGGAGGTGGGAAACGGCCGGGCGGGATGGGGAGGAAGGCTTAGGAGACGGTGGAATGGGTTAGCGAAAAGATTATCGGTTTGGATGACCGCTTGAGGTTATTAGGTATACAGTGGTGTATGGCTTAACAGCGGGATAATTAAGACGTTACGGATGCAACGATGTTCATTTGTGATTGAACATTTTAGGATGTATATGCTTCATTAGCGTGTCATTCTAGTGTCTGATTACGTCACGAATCGATCTCATTTACAGAGGCTACATGCTCATAGCCGTATCCCCGTTAACTTAGTGTCTGCTGACTTTGTTCCACCCTCTGACGTCCTGACGGCGCGGTTCTTCCCCTCATCTCACGCTGCCCCTCCCCGTTCCCAGACGCAGCGCATCCAGCGCTCGCGGCTGGACGGCACCGATCAGGAGACGGTGGTGGTCTCTGAGCTGCACAACCCGGACGGCGTGGCCGTCGACTGGATCGCGCGCAACATCCATTGGACCGACACCGGCTCGAACCGAATCGAGGTGTCGCGCCTGGACGGCACCGCCAGAAAGGTCGGTACTCGGAGGTCGGCTGCCGTGGGTCACAGCGGGGACACGCGAGGGTGGGTAGGTAGTCCTAGATGGGAACTGTTGTCACACTTTTTAGATGGGTTTTGTAATTTAGCATGACAATGACATGGTTTGGTAGTTTTAGATGGAACTGTTGTGACGTGTTAGATAGACAGTGTATCCACGAGCCTAGGAATCATCCATTGTCCCGGTTCTGATCCGGCGCGACGAAAAACTGTGACCCGTCTGACCTCTGCTGACACCAGCGCCATTGTCTGAGGTGTGACAGTTTTGGGTGCATGGCCGTGTTTGGTCAACAGTGCATTGTCATATTAGCGCTATTTATTGCCCCTGATGTTTTACATGTCTTTGTCTGGAGGGCATCATGCGACGCAGCTGTGGGAACCATCCGTTGCACTCGATGTTGGTGTATTTTTCTCGTCCAGTCTCAGTATCCTGTTACGATCGGGTGCACGTGTCCTTCTCGTGTTCGGCGAAGCTTTTGGAGCGTCTGGCCGGTCGGTTTTCCCAGGCCGCTCGTCGGGCGGTGTATGTCTGGTGGCTGGACGGACTGTGTCGTGTGTGTCATGTGTGACCACCTCCCAGATAGCCACCGATGGGGACGTGGGGCCCGCTGGGTCTGCCGGACACGTGACACCCAGGCACTGCAGTCAGGCACTGGCTTTTCTATCATGCTACGAACATAATGCCGCCTGCGTGATCCTTAGACACTACCTTCGTAGGGAGCGTTGAGTGTTCTGGTCTTCTCGTCTCTCTCCGTTCCCAGGCTCTGTCTTCATCTCACAACTTTCCTAGATGCCGGTCGAATCCTAAAAAATCCTCTCCCGACCTCGGATAAATGCTCTCTTATTTCTTACTATTCCTTAAATTGTGTTATTCCTAGGTACAGCCCTCGGAGAGCAGTGATCTAATCCTCCCCTCTACACCCTTCAGGTGCTGATCTCGGAGGACCTGGACGAGCCGCGTGCCATTGCCGTCGACCCGGTGGCCGGCTACATGTACTGGTCCGACTGGAGCGACGTGCGGCCCAAGATCGAGCGCTCGGCTCTGGACGGCAGCCGCAGACACATTCTGTTCGACACCGACCTCAAGTGGCCCAACGGCATCGCGCTGGACTTCCGGCTGCGCACGCTCTACTGGTGCGACGCCGGCAAAGATAGGATCGAGGTGGGTCGAGTCTCAAAGCATAAACACAGTCAGAGTGGCTGTGTTCTGGACAGTCATGGGTGAAGCAGCAGTGTGGTGTCCTTTTATGCAAGTGCATTTTCTTCTGTTCCCTAATCGATGTTGTAATGTTGGCATCTTTTGTTTTAGAGCTGAACATATCGGCGTATACGCCGATTAGCATGCATGTACCCTGTCGCATACCCGCCCAGTACCTGACCCGGCTGCCGCCCCGACTCGGCAGACGGCTAACATGGACGGCTCCGGTCGGCGCGTGGTGCTCAACAACAAGCTGCCGCACCTGTTCGGCATCTCGCTGCTGGACAACTTCGTCTACTGGACCGACTGGACGTCGCGCACCATCGAGCGCGCGCACAAGATGACAGGCGACGAGCGGGAGGTGATCGTCGAACACCTGCCCGACCTAATGGGGCTCAAGGTGGTCTCGCGCACAGCTCCGACCGGCACCAACGGCTGCTGGCAGCACAACGGCAACTGCTCGCACCTGTGCCTGAACACACCCGACGGGCCCAGCTGCTACTGTCCTATTGGTGAGTAATTGAACATACGGATTACGGGCCCCTCCGCTAACTGTCCTATTGGTGAGTAATTGAACATACGGGCCCATCCGCTACTAACTGTTCTATTGGTGAGTAATTGAACACACGGACCCATCTGCACTGTCCTATTGCTGAGTGCACGGGCCTCGTTGAGCTGACGGGTCTGCGCCGCCGCGTCCGGTACAGGAAGGCTGACGGCCACTGCAGCCTGCCGGCCAGGAAAGCTGCCAGGTAGGTGGGCTGGCACCGCCGTCTCCTCCAGCCGTAAACAGAATCACAAACAGAATGGTGCCGTGGAACCGGCACCGACCTCGAACATCAACAGGGCGAATGGACGGAACCGGAAATATGTACGAAAACAGTGCGGGATAGAGTAGGAGTCGTTGAGATCAGGTCAGGTCAAGGGGAACACAATATGGCTGTGTCAGGTCATACGAATTGTGCTATTGTATCGTATTACGTCATCAGGCTGATCTGGTACCGATCTCCTTCAGTCTGATCTCGTACCGGTATCACCTATACATACGGAAAATAATGGCACCAGTCTGCGTAAGGGAAGAGCTGGCGCACTCTGACTCTGACTTCGTCTTCCAGGCCACGAACTGACATCGGACCTGAAGACGTGCATCGTCCCGGAGGCGTTCCTGCTGTACAGCCAGAGCAAGTCGATCCGGCGGATCAGCCTGGAGACGCCGCAGAACGACGTCATCATTCCGCTGTCGGGCATCAGCGATGCCGGGTGAGCTCGTGGTCAGACGCCGCCGCCGCAGGTCACCTGCCGGCGGTGTGTCAGGCTGACAGGGCAGATCACTGCCGGTCAGAATAACGTCAGGCCATGTTGGACACCTTGTTATGATGACAGTGAAACGTTTTGGTGTATTTGTAATGTCATGTTTCAGTATATTTGATGTAACATGATTCTCCTTCAGCCGAAGTTTTTCCGCAGTGCATTTTGACAGTAGTCCGTCTGACGCTACCGTATTATTCCCTGAGGCGTCATGTTGACCTGTTTGTTTGTAAATGGTTTCCGTCTTCACTGACCTGTTGACGCATTGGCACAGGTTTCTGGACTTTAACATGCGCGACGAGCGTATTTACTGGACGGACATGAAGAACAAGTCGATATCTCGGGCCTTCACAAACGGCTCCGGACTGCAGAAGATTATCCAGCTGGACACCGAGTTCCCCGAGGGTGAGCCGCGCTCAGCGCCGGCAGTTACGGAGCTGCAGGTGGAAGAGACTAAGAAGGGTCTTCTGCGAGGGAATTGCACTGGAAGGCGGTGACATTTCGATGGAACCTGAATTGTCTGTGGAACGACGCTATCATTATTTTGGGATCATTTTGAAATCTAGATGTCGAATGATGAGATTAAATGAGCTGTGCTCTTCTGTCGATATCAAGCGTCATTTTATGCATGCCATAGGTTTTCCGTCATATCCAATCTCAACGAATCCGCCCCATGCCGGCGCGAGTTGACATCCCCCTCGCCTGCCGTATGTGCTCCTCGGTTCAGGCATGGCGGTTGACTGGCTGGCCGGCAACATCTACTGGTCGGAGGCGCTGGGTCGGATCGAGGTGGCACGTGTGGACGGCTCCAGTCGCCGAGTGCTACTCTGGGACAACAGCCGAAGCCCGCGCAGCATCGCCGTCGACGCCAGTGCCGGGTGCGTTCGACAGACAGCCGTCGGTGACTTTAACGAATGCAGACACACGACTTTCGTACGCTTAATCTAAGTCAGATAGTGTGATGACAGGTTGAGTGGATGCTAGGGGAGCGCCGATGATGCTTGTAGAACCCTTGAAATTGGCAAGTTCATGTATGGTAATGATATAATTTCATTTGACCCGGGTCAAGCTAGCACGCTGGCGGCCGAGCCAACACGACTTTTTATCACGATATTATAATGTCATTTGCCTTACTGGTGGTGTGGTGAATCTCCTTGCGCTCTGCCGATGATGTACCCCACGCTGTGCCACCTGCATCTGACCTGGCTCCCGGCACCTCGCCGTGCTGTCTCAGGTACCTGTTCTGGGCCGACTGGTCAGCCGTCTCCTCGCTGTACCGGTCTCGGCTAGACTGCACGGCCACGGAACAGTTCGTGACGGCCGTGAACCGCTGTGACGGCCTCACCGTCGACCACGACTCGGGCCGTCTCTTCTGGGTGGACATCGACAGCAGGCGCATCGAGTCGGTACAGCTGACGGGCGACGGCCGGCGCGTGGTGCTGGCCGGTCTCAAACAGCCCTACACACTGGCAGTGTACGGGAAACATGTATACTGGTCGGACTGGACCGACGACCGCATCGAGCGGGCCGATAAAATGACCGGCGACAACCGGACAGTGGTGCGCGACGGCGTGAAGTACGTGGTGAGTCTGCTGGTGTTCCACCGCTCCCAGCTGGCGGCCTGGACGCCCTGTGTCGAGCACAACGGCGGCTGTCAGAGTCTGTGCTTCGCCAGCCCGCTGACGGCCGACGGGCAGCGGCCGCCGCACCGGTGCGGCTGCCGCAGCCACTACCAGCTGGCAGCCGACGGACGCCGCTGTCTGCGTGAGTAGCGGCCGCTGAGAGGGAGGAGGGTGGGTGGGAATGATCAAGGAAGGTGGGGACCAGCTGAATGTCGGAATACTTATTAGAAGAGGCTTAGGGTTTAACGGATTGTAGTTGGATAATGATGGATGCTTATTTTTATCATCATCTTGATTCTGCCATTCGTTTATCGATGGTTACGGAGCGAGCGAAGCGAGCGTAGTCTTTCCTTAGATTAACGGAAATTTCTGAGTATGAGCGGCCGGCCGGCCGGCCGTGGTCACGCTTTTGCGAGGCTTATATCTCAGCAACCACTTGACCGATTTACACGCGGTAATTTTTGTAGGGTAGCTTCATTCCTTCTACCAAGTATTGGACTATTCCTGATGCATGTGGGTGACCCCTTATGCACGTGCCACGTGCAAAACGAAGAGGTGTCCGTTTTGTAATTGTTGCAATATCTCGGTAACTACTTGGCCGATTGCGCTGAAAGTTGGCATGTAGGTAGGCACCCACTAGGCACTGCATATCCATGTGCTAGAGTTAGGGCGCTGCTGCACGTGCGCACGTGCAGGGGTCGTTTCCAGATCTCGAGAACGGCTCGACCAATTACCCTCAAATTTGGTACGTACACAGTTAGGGACCGGTTAGTAGGGTGCCGTGCACAAGTCGGTTGGGACCCATTTTGCACGTGCGCACGTGCAGGGTGCCGCTTCCAGATCTCGAGAACGGCTGGGCCGATTGTGCCCAAATTTGGCAGATCGCTAGAGACCGGTTAGTAGGATGCCATGCACAAGTCAGTTGGAGGTACCCCCTCGCAATTTCGCACGTGCAAGGCCCACCCTCTCGCTCGCTCCGTTAGTCGCCCCAAAAGGCGTTATACTGGTTTCTTAACACGTTCTAGTTATAGCCTGTTCTAGGAACTAGGGTTGTAAGGCGGCTATGTTTGACACGCCTCTATTGTGCCCGGCTCTCGCCTGTGTGTCTGCTAACTCTGTTCTTTGCGCAGCCCCGGCGGAGTTTCTCCTGTTCGCTCAGCGGTCGCGGGTGCACCGGTACATGACCCTGCCGGGAGAGGCACCGGACATCACACTGCCCATCACCCACCTGCGCAACCCGCGCGCCCTCTCGTTCGACCCGCGTAACCAGCATCTCTATTGGGCCGACGCCAAGACGGAGGTCAGTCAGCGAGACGGACTGAGGAGAGCCGCTATACGGGCGGATTGGGGAGTTTTATAGTGTGATGCTGACTGGTCAGCATTGGTGCGAACATAGAAGCAGATTCTCTCATGTTAATTTTGGACGCCCTTGTGCCATAAAATTCCGAGTGTTCATTAAGTAAGTAATGTTCATTATGAATGAATCATTAATGAATGTTCATTCAGTGTAAGAGGAGAGCTGGTTGACTATTCAGGCTGTTTTTTTCATATTGATAAGGTAAACTAACTTTTACTCTTATTCATTCTTGACTAACTCGGTGCCGTGCGCTGCAGACGATCCGGCGAGCCCGGGACGATAACACGGCTCAGGTGATCCTCGTGCACAGCTCGAGCAACGCGGTCCGCCACCGGCCCTTCGATATACAGGTGGGTAATACACCGGCCCTTCGATATACAGGTGGGTACTATACCGGCCCGTCGATATACACTCATAACAGGTGACCGGTCCGCCACCGGCCCTTCGATATACAGGTGGATACTATACTGACCCTTCGATATACAGGTGGGTAATATACCGGCCGTTCGATATACAGGTGGGTAATACACCGGCCCTTCGATATACAGGTGGGTACTATACCGGCCCGTCGATATACACTCATAACAGGTGACCGGTCCGCCACCGGCCCTTCGATATACAGGTGGATACTATACTGACCCTTCGATATACAGGTGGGTAATATACCGGCCGTTCGATATACAGGTGGGTAATACACTGGCCCTTCGATATCCTGTAACAGGTGAGTAGTTACACCGGCCCTTCAATATGCACACATAGGTACAGGTGACCGGACAGCTACCGGCCCTTCGGCATACAGGTGAGTCAACGGCAAGGACAGGGCTGCGGTACGAAGTGGACGGCGCTACGGAGCGAGCACTGGCCGCAGAAGCCTCTTAGTTTCTGACTACCTCCAAAGACTCCCCTGTGTGTCCGGTGTAGCTGTACTGTAGTGTGCTGTTCTGGTCGTTCGTTTTTCTCTAACGCCTCTTCACCTTGCTTGTTAGGTGGAGCCGTACTCTGGCGTGTTGCTCTGATCGTGTACCTTTGGTTATTGGCCCCTAACTTCCTCCCTCATTTCCCTTTTTGTGACAAGTGGAGTCGCACTATGGAGTGCTATTCTGGTCTTGTTCCTTTGGGAGGCTGCCCTTAACGCCCCTCGCCCTTGTCTGTGTCAGGTGGAGTGGGCCCCGTGCTCCGGCCTGCTGTTCTGGTCGTATGCCTTTAGCTGCCTCTAACGCCCGTTCCCCATGTCTCGTGTCAGGTGGAGCCGTACTCTGGTGTGCTGTTCTGGTCGTGCGCCGAACAGAACACCATCAACGTGACGCGTCTGAACGGCAGTCAGGTGGGCGTGGTGGTGGGCGGGCCGGACAGCGCCGACCGGCCGCGCCACCTGGCTCTGATGGCCGAGCACGGCCTGATGGTGTGGGCCAACCAGGGGCCGCCGGCGCGCATCGAGCTCTGCCGATTGGACGGCTCGCAGCGTCGGCCGCTGGTGGCCGACCTGGAGCGGCCGCCGTCGGCGCTCACCGCCGACCCCGACACCCAGCTCGTGTACTGGGCCGACCTGCAGAAGGTCTGGGTCACCGACCTCAACGGCAGCGCGTGAGTACTGCGACGATGAAACAAACTACTGCTCAGTGGCGCGTTCATATTTTCCCGCCTATTCTTCTCATATTGTTTTTCAGGGAACCTGAGTACCAACGAACTGTCCTTGCTAATGTTCTGTAGCCCTGTCTGAGTTCGTTCTGCTCCACCTTCTTTCCGTCCGCTCAGTACTCTTACAGATTCTACTTTTCCGTCGGTTTCATTTTGTGACGTCATGTCGCCCGTTCTGCATCCCTTAAACAGCCGTATGCTGATGGACGTCTCTGCTACTTTTTTGACCGGTCACCTGTTTCACCTCCCGCACAGTCATGTGCTGGTGGACCGACCAGTTCTTCTGCCACCGCTCGCAGCAGTGTGTGCCGTTGCGCCAGCTACATTTCTCCGCATCCACCTCTACTTTACAACTACTTTAATTCTGATCCCTCCCCCTCTGTCTTCGCTTGCACAGTCGCGTGCTGGTGGACCGCTCGCAGCAGAAGGTGGAGGGCGCCGTGCGCGGCCTGGCCGTGCTCGGCCCCCACCTGTACTGGGTGGACCCCAAACAGCAGCTGATCGAGCGGGTGGACAAACACACCGGCGAGCAGCTGAGCACCGTGGTCAGCCGCACCGAGGGACTCACTGCCATTGCCGCCGTGGCCAACCGCACACGACAGGTCAGTGGGGCCTGCGGTGGCCGGGGGAACAGCCGGACACAACAGGTCGGTAGCGCCGCTGTCAGGGTATGTGGATGGTCTCGTCACCTGGCAGAGATATTGAGCGGGGAGAGAAGAAGGGACGAGGGCGTAGGATGGTATAAGTTTAACCTGATCTGGACAGGGATGACAATTTCAAAATGGGAGGACTGTTTGCTGTTCCGACTATTGCTAATGTGTTCTGATGTGCGATCCCATCCCTTAGTCATTAATGATGTTCTGAACCTGAAGGACCGCTGCCTATGGTCCAGCTCCACTCAGCTCACATGTGGCGCTGTTTCTCCAATGTTTTGTATGGAGCCGGTGACTGACGCCTCCCCTCCTCTCTCCACAGATGATCGTGTCACACCCGTGCTACGGTAACGGTCTGTGCTCGCACCTGTGTGTGGCCGTGTCGGGCCGGCCGCTCTGCTCCTGTCCTCTGGGACTAGAGTTGGGCCGCGATAACCGCACCTGCCAGCGGCCGCCGTCGTGCGCACACCACGAGTTCGCCTGTCCGTACGGCGAGCCGCACTGCGTGCCACTCAGATGGAGGTGAGAAAGGGGACGGAGAAAGAAAGATAGGAGTGGTTAGAAGTGAGAGAGGATGGGGTTGAGGAGTAAGGTAGTTAGGATAAGGAGGCAAACCAAACAAGTATTGGCACGGGGCAAAACTTTGATCGCGAAAGTTTTGATCTATTCGCTTACTAACTTAAGATGGCACTGCCGTTGGAGGACCCTACTGTATAGCGTATATTGTTATTTCAAGGAATGAATTGAGACCGTCTTCCACGGTCATCACGGTCTGTTGAATCCGCGCTTTTACATTTTGGATTTCGTCTTTCAATATGCCGGCCCAGTGTCAGTATCGTTCTGTGCCGGTGACGACCGGTGTGTGACGCCGTCCCCGTCCCGTCCGTCACCGCCAGGTGTGACGGCAAGCCCGAGTGTGAGGGCGGCGCTGACGAGCACAACTGTTCGGCCTGCACGGGCGCCCAGTTCGCCTGCAACAACGGCCAGTGCATCGAGCGCGGCCTGGCCTGCGACGGCGTGCCGCAGTGCGACGACCGCTCGGACGAGACGGCCTGCTGCGGCGCCGAGCCCAACCAGTTCTTCTGCCACCGCTCGCAGCAGTGCGTGCCGCTGCGCCAGCTCTGCGACGGCGTGCACCACTGTCAGCTGGGCGAGGACGAGCTGACGGCCGTGTGCGCCGGCGGCGTCAGCGGGGTGCCGGCCGACTCGCTGGGCGGACGGGCCGGCCGCTCTCAGCACAGCCTGCTCGTCATCCTGGCCGTGTTCGCCGTCACCGCGCTGGCAGTGTCGGCGTTCGTGCTCTGGTGGTGCCGCTGCCGCAGTGGCAAGGCCGAGCCCATCGAGGCGGCGGCCGGCGGCGGACCGATGGCGCCGGCCGCCGGGCCGTCGGTGCGGCCGCGGCCGGCCGGCGCGTCGCGGCGCAGCGGCCGGCCGCGCCGCGAGTCAGTGCAGCTCTCGGTGCTGTCACGGCCCGGGGCGCCCGCTTCCAGCCCGGTCAGCTCGGCGCCCTACGACCGGGCGCACGTGACGGGCGCGTCCAGCTCGAGCTCCGGCTCGGCGGGCACCCGGTACCCGCTGGAGCCGCTCAACCCGCCGCCAAGCCCGGCCACCGGCCTGCACTCGGCCGCGGCCTCCACGGCAGCGGCCGGCTCCAGCCACGCGCCGACGCTCGGCTCGTACCGCTACTACAAACTGCGTAACCGGCCGCCGCCGCCGACTCCGTGCAGCACGGACGTGTGCGACTCGGACTCGGCCACCTACTACGCGTACCGGTGCGGCTCGGCGCTCGACTCGGACTACGAGTCGGACACGTACGGCGTGGCGCTGCCGCCGCCGCCGCCGCCACCGCCGCCCAGCGTGGCTGCCAAACGGCCGGGCGGATCGCGACACCGCGATCACCGCGACCGGCCCGGGCCGCCGCCGCCGTCGCCGGCCGCCGAGCGCTACATGCTGTAGCTGAACTGAGCGCGCAGTGCCGGCGCTCTTACCTCGCGGTGTCACTCACTCACCTCATTGTTGGCGCGCCGCGCGCCGCTGCCGCGGCTGATCTGTCGGGCGCCGCGCCCGTTCTCGGTTGGCGCGGCGCCCGGTACAAAGACGATGCGCGCCCGCCCGCCGCTCGCCTCTGCCATATGTTGTGTGCCTTGTCAGTACAATCGCGGGTCGTGCGCCGCCCGCCCGCCTGCCATGGACGCGTGGACAAACTGAGACTGTATAGGACGACTATGACTTGTGCGCCGCTTTTTAAGATTGGAGGAAATCTATGCGAGTGTTTAAGCCTGACTCAATGTGACATATGTGAATACATTGTATGATGTGACTAAATGGAGTCTTTTTTTTCTGTTCGAATGGTTGCGTGTGACCTTTCTTCAATGGGGCATTGTTTGCTTTTGTGGATAGCTGTCGCCAAATATTTTTTAATTTTCTAAATAGACTTGTATTCAAGGCCGTGATAACTTATCTTCTACTTTCAAAGGCTACAAAGCATAGGAGGAACTGCTCGGTCTTCACATCGATAACATTTTGTACGTTTCGTCGTGTACGGTCATCCCCATCATCGGGACAGCATTTTGCGACCGATTTCATCTGGTTTGCAGCTGCCATCCATTGAAGTGCGGGCGTCTTAAATCAACTACATTATTCGCTGATGTCCGATGTGGTCCGAATATTCGCCGATCGAATTGCAAGGCTTTCAAATTGGCACAAATTACCTTCAAAATGTGACGGCGCTGGCTGTAGGAAGACATGCGCCCCCAAATTTTTGTTGGCACTTCACCAAAATGCTATACCAAATGAACCCGGAACAGTAACGCGACAGATGGCTCGTAGCCTCACTGCCAAAGTGCACATGTTTACCCCACAGCGTAGTCGCGCTTTGCTGTCTGCTTACATTTTTGCCCCATGCTTCGGAGCATAACATACAACTGAACGACTGCAAGATTGCGGCAAAGATGTGGGCAGCTAAAAAATGTATTTCTGTTTCATCGCAGCAATTCCATCAGTTAGATGGCGGAAACGTATCGGGCAAAACGCCAAAGGCTCAAAAAGCGAATGCAATGCACTGCATTTATGCATACTGGAAAGGCCCAAGGCCGAAGCCACCGACAATGGTAACGGATCAGACCGCTATGTCTGTCACGACTCGCTTCCAAGGCACGGCTAGCATCACATCATTTCGATCAGTCCACCACCCAAAGCCAACGTTCTTGCAGCTCCACGGATGGAGCCATCAACAGGCACAGATCTATCAAGTCAGGAAGACACGCCACAGCATTTAACAAGTCACCAAATGCGGTCCGCCTTGCAGTCCAGCGTAAGGCGTGTACTGACTGCGACCCAAACGCAGACGGTAAAGGCTACCACAAAGGCTTGGCCGTCCAGCCAAAGATTAACTTGGTCCAGGGTTGGCATTTTTGCCGGCAAAAACTAGTTTTTGCCATTTGCCGGTTTAAACCGGTTTTAACCGGCATAAAGTGGCAAAAACTGGCAAAAACTAAAACAGTCAAAACGCTATGCCTCTACATGCGTTTGAGCAGGACACGTTTTAAGTAGGATTCAGTCAATACAATATGCTTTCAAACAGAAGTGGTATCTTGACCATTTTAGTGTTAAATAGTTTCGTGAGTCCTCTATAATTAACCGATAAGGCGCCTTTTTGGTGAGAAAAGTGAGAAAGTGCGCCGGTGGGCGGCGAGTATTGAAGAAGTGGGAAAGGGCATCTGCCACTGACTTGTGCACCGAGCCCTACGAACCGGTTCCTAACAGTGTCAGTGCCAAATTTGTGCTTAGTCGACGTAGCCGTTCTCCCAATCTGGAAGCGTCACCCCGCACGTGCGCATGTGCAAAATGGACCCCGACCGACTATGCACGACACCCTACTAATCAGTCCCTAACGGTGTCCCAATTTGAGCGCAATCGACCCAGCCATTCTCGAGGTCTGGTCGGAAACGACTCCTGCATATGCTCATGTGCAGAAGCACACCAACAGCGATGCATGAAAGTGCACTTCCTGGTGGACATCTATTGACTACCGACAGACATTTTAAGCAGCGGTAAACTAGCGAGACAATGCTTACTGGGTCCCAATGACAGACATGACTTTGTATATTTCAACCGATTGCTTTTTAGGCAAGCAACGCAGTTTTGGCCACTTGAGTTTTTGCCAGTTTCTGCCAGTTTTTGCCACCATGGTTTCTGCCAGCCGGTTTAAACCGGTTAAAACCACTGGCAAAAACCAGTTTTTGCCACCCTCTGCCAACCCTGACTTGGTCATCATTTTTTCTTAACACAAAACGTTTACAAAATATACTGGCTGTCACCAGACCTTTCTGAATGAACGTTCACTGTGCAACAAGCACTACCGAAATGGCTTCTCATTATTTGTATTATCATTGTAGGTCCTTCATATTTATGCCACGTAGTGTTATTTTCACTTACAACGCTCTCTTCAACTTCCCATCTAAATCCGACCACCGTCAGCTGTTGGTGGAGAGTAGCCTCCCTCCCTCCCTCCCGTCACCACCCCGCCCCATATTATCGCGGTGCGCTCACCGGTAGTACCTGCCCAGCGGCGGCGGCTGGCTGGGCCAGGCCGGCGGGCTCGGCTGCGGCGGCGGCGCCTGGTACTGGCGCGGCGCCGGCCGCACCACCGGCGGCGGCACCTGCGGCGGCGGGAACGCGCGGCTGTAGCCGGCCGGCTGCGGCGGCGGCGTGCTCTGGTAGTAGGGCGCCGGCTCCGGCTGGCCGTAGCCGGGCGTCGAGTAGGCCGCCGTCGGCTGGTACCCGGTGTACTGCGGCTGCGCCGGCGGCGGGTGGGAAGGCGGCGGCGGCTCCGGCGGCGGCTCCTGACCCTGGATCGGGATCGTGATGAGGTTGCCACTGCGCTGAGAGCTGATCACCTGAATCGGCTGCTGCTTCGGCGGCGGAGGCGCCTGCTTGGCCGGCGGAAACCCGTGGTGGCCGGATCCGTGGCTGGATCCACCACCAGATCCGTGTCCCGAGCCGCGAGATCCCTGTCCAGATCCGTGCGATCCGTGCGATCCATGTGACCCATGTGATCCATGTCCACCGCCATGATGACCACGGTGACCGCCAGATCCATGCGATCCAGATCCGAGCGGACTGGATCCCACCGATCCGGCGCCGTGCGGACTCGATCCCCTGGACCCGCTGCCGTGCGGACTGGACCGGTGGGCGCCGGCGTGCGGGCTGGACTTGTAGGCGGCGGCGGCGGCGCGCGGCGCGTGTCCGCCGTGCGGGCTGTGACTGCCGGCCGAGGGGGACGGGAACGAGTGGCCGCGGACGTCGCCGCCCCGCGGGTCGCGCCGCTCCGGCGCTGGTTTCTCCTCGGGCAGTCGTCGCGGCTCGGGCGGCGCCGGCGGAGGCGGCGGAGGAGGCGTGCGCGGGGCGGGAGGTGCCCGCCGGTGCCGGTGGTTGATGTGCGCCTGTAGGTGAAAAAGGACAACCAGTTGGCACAACATCAACCACCACAACAACCCGAGATGGAATGAAAATGATGTGCAGTACCGATAGAAAAGCGATGCGTAGACCTTAATCACCGACTGGACTGGATTATATTGAGTTTACTGATTCGTATTAAATAGCCAGAAAATGAGCAAGCCGTACAATCAAAAACCAAAGAAGCCACACAGAATACTCGTACTTTTCCATTTACGCACTAAACACCACACTTAGGGCATAGGCACTACAAGGCATCCATGTTGCTGCCCTCCATCCCATTCAGACCACAGTTGATCCAACTGCTGATGACCCACCTGCAGGTCCCGTTGGCTGAGGTAGGTGCGCCGGCAGCCGTTGTTGTCGTAGCGTTTTCCGTCGTGCAGACACATGTAAAGCGTGCCAAGACCGGCGCGCTCGACGCGCACGGCACGGTCGCCGCAGCGCCAGCACTTCTCCTGGGGCTTAGCACAGTCGTAGCACAATACGTGCTTGCACGGAATCTGAGGTAGGAAGAGGTGCAATAATGAATGAATGAATGAATGAATGAATGAATGAATGAATGAATGCGTATTTAATGAATGAATGAATGAAGTAATGAATGGTAAACGAACGAACGAATGAATGAGTTAACGCATGAATGCTGAATGAATGAATGAATGAAATTATGAATTGTGAACGAACGAACGAACAAACGAATGAATGAGTCAATGGGTGAACGAACGAATGAATTAATAATGAATGGGGAATGAACGAATAAATAATAGTAACTGCATTTACATAACAAATATGAAACAAATGAATAAAATATCATTCAAAACGTACATTAATAAATTTTACCATAGTTCAAGCCTCATAAGCCTCAGAAAGTCGTATTTCTTTATACCGCGCAACGCCGGCTAATGTAGCGTACACAAACCAGCGATAAGCTAAGACGTCTCTCGGCACTCACCATACGGCCGTACAGCAGGACGGGACAGTCGCACTTTTCGCACATGTAGATGAGCGGGTTCAGCACCTTCTCTGCCATCAGGTTCACCTGACGTGGCAGGAGGTAAGACAGGCGCCGTGTCATTGCTACGCTGGAAACGATACATCGACATATGGCTGCAGCAAAGAGCACGTGCTGCGACACTTGGGTGGTCTCAGCAGCGATTAAAGATTCCACCCACGGGTGAAAACATTCGGCAAGTGATGGAACTTGACACAATGAAACAACTCTGCTTTGCTCCGCTCACATTTGGTTTTGCTGTTGTCTAGTAAAAAATATTTCTCACATATATTACTGCAAAGTTGCGGAAAAAAAACTCTTGCCACAATAAATGTACCTTATCAGCGTTACTTCACACACACACCCTCCGAGCGGCTATGTTTACCTTGTGGTTCCAGCTGAGCCGTAACATGGGCTCGGGCGGACCGCGGTCAATAGTGGTGAACGTGGCCGGCTCCAGCATCGAGATGTCGGCCTCCATGTCCAGTGTTGTAGCCGGCGGCGGCGGCGGCGATGGCGTGCGTGGCGCAGGCGCGGCCGGCGCCGCCGGGAGCGCCTCCTGGGCAGGCTCCTGCGGGTCGGCCGGCTCGGCGGGCGCCGCCGGCATCTCCTCATCGTCACTCTCGATCACCTGCGCGAGGCATTATGTTATGTTGTCAGTATCGTACCTTAAACACTTCAGAGGCTCGAGTAAAACCTCGACTGAATATGAACAGAATATCATCACAACTGCCACATTGAACAGAGAGTAGGGTGAATAATTTACATGATTGAGAGTTGAACTAACTATGCATTTGCTTTCTGCCATATTTCTGGAAATGACGATATCAATGGAAAATGGAAGAGGTTAAAATAAAGTTGAAGCTCCATTCTCCAACATTCATTGAATGTTGGTATTGTTCAGATTAATGTATAAAATGTTCAGAAGCAAGTACTGAAATCATCATCATGTCTAATGTAGACACAAGTTGAAAGATAAAAAGATAGCTTACCCTGTTTTTGCGGTTCCTCCTCCTAGCTTTACCACGGGGCTTGGAAGGAGCATGTTCTGGTGTGGAGCGAACTGCTGATCTGGTGGCTCTGTTAGCACCAGAATGCCCCTCATCTTCCACACCCATTTTTTTTTTTTTAGCAATTACAGCCTTGATCTGAAACAAATGTGAACAGTTAACTGAAGCCGTTTTCATATTACCAACCTAACATGTGTCATTGCATGGATCAATCCTAGTACCTGCATCCTACACCTGCATATTATGAATTATCAGTGGATCTTGCAATAAACTACAGGTTAAGATTTAATATCCCCATTGAATCCCAGTTACCACTAAAGGTATGCTTTAGATCTAGGATCTGTATTATTGTGGCATAAAGCCAGTACAAGGATCTTTGAGTTTAGCTGATCTCACAGAAATAACCACTCACTGCACATGTGAATCATAAAGCTTGATTTGGAACTGAACATGTTAGCTAAAACAGTCACCCAGTTCAACAGTTTTCCACTGTCTTGATATATTATCATAAACCATGGTAAATTCACATAACACAGCTTACTATAGAGTATAGAGTGCATTCATACAAACAAGATCCTATCAAGATCACTATGTTTTGCAGCCTGGAGCAAAGCTAGTGTTAAAATTTATAATCCATATGGTTGAGTCTAAAAACATAAGTAATGGAATATGGATAATGGATTTATGAGCCCATGTAATGATGTACAGTCTCTGAAAGTACCGCACATCAGTGTGGTGGATCCATCAAGCCGGAGCGTGGAAAGGTACCTACTACCTAGCATAATTAGTAGAGCAGACGTTACACAAAGGTTTTCCGACCGGCGACCGGCGAGCAGAGGCGCTGCAGGTTTGTAGGTTGTTGGGTAGGTTTGTAGGTTATAGGTTAGGTTAGGTTTCTTAAAGGTTTGTGAGAAAGAAGCATCTTTGGGTATAGTGCCTCTCGGCTCTCCTTGGTTGGGAAACCTGTGTGACGTCTGCTCTACTAATAGCAGAAAGACTCAGACTCCTTAATTTGAGTCGCCAAACCAACACCAACTGACATTCTCATCCATCCCTAGGTCAATAAATCGGACTTAACCCGGCAGTTGCTGGGGTATTTCGCCACCCACCGTTTGCTGGGGGGGGGGGGGGCGTTAAACGCCCCCAGCCGATAACTCGAGAACCAATAGGCGCAGCGAAACGCACGAGGCGGCAAACGAAAGAACGCGACGAGACGCTTCAGATGAGTACTTTAAAGTTGAATTTTGAGGTCACAGGTCGGGTCAAGGTCAGGTCAAACACCTGAAATCGGGCTTTCAGTAGCATGGACTTCAGGACTTCGCAATGGGCGCCTCTCGTCAGAAACTCTGTCAAAACGGTGCACAATCCATCATACAAGGCCTACAAGAGAGTCAGTTTCATGTAGGGGTCAGTCAAGCATAGGTCAGGGTCAAGGTCAGGTCAACCGGGTAGGCACATATCCCCGAAAATCAAAACTGTTATTCGCAACCTATGACACATGTTTTATGGGTAATTTGGGGCGTAGAACACGATGGTGACATTCATTTTATCATATGTGTACGTGTTTGGCTCAAAAAGTTCAATTTAAGAAATTCATGTATCATGGTCGTGAAGTAGTCACGAGAAATTGTCAAGATTCAGTTCAAGATTTTGGAAAATGCGGAACGATAATCAATAATCGAAGATAGCCATTTGATTGTTCATGGTATTGGCATTCTAATGGCGTTTACGGCATGTCTGTATGTCTATTCTGTGATTTTATATAATTTTTTGAACATATGCCGTTTTTGGTCGAAAACTCAGAAATCATGACGTCACTAAAACATCGATATCTCAAAAATTTTCCGGCCGATTTTTTTGAAACTTTGTCACAATAAACTTCAATCAATTCCCTACAGGTACCCAAAATTTGGCGCGCCTGCGGCGCGCCATTTTTATGCTATGGCCCGGCGAAAAAAGTGGGGGCGTTTAACGCCCCCCCCCCCAGCAACTCGCGGGTTAAGTCACGATAGAGCGGACAGACTAATTAGACGCCAGCCTAACATATTTTTGAATCAGGTGATCTTCAAGCGGTTGGTACACTTGTCAGGGAATGCCTTAAAAAATTAAATACCGGCAAACTTGTTCTTGTTCTTGTAGGATTAGGGCGCGTAGCTCAGCTGCCAGGGCTCAAGCGTCCAATACCGGCAAACTGAATCAGTGATTTCTCTGTGAGTAGGCTTGGGTAATATGTAGGTTAAGGCGGTTAAGGTACTTCCAAGGGGTCAGATTAGATTGTTTTTTATCTTGGCCGTGCCTCATCTACACACCAATACTCAGAAATCGCAAAATAATTATTGCAAATTATCATACATAAAAAACAAATGGCGCCGCAAGCACCGCATTTGTATTAAAACAAGCTGTGAAGAACACTAGCCAGCAACGATATTAATCCAAAGTGAATGACGTCATCAGCACTAAATCGTGAAGGCAGCGTAGAAAGTAAGAAAGGTAAGAACCAAGGCGATCTAATACCGTAAGAAAGAACTACCTAATAGGCGTTCAATTTGTCTTTTGACCTAAACATCACAAAAGCATCTTACAGACCCTATGAGTGAATAATATTAACCAAGCGGGCCAAGCTCAAACCAACCTTTTAATTTTCATTGGTTTGAAAGTGACGTACTGTAGCACTATTCTTGGCAGTTGTTGGCCAATCATCAGACAGTTTTCTTGATCCGTGCCATTTCTTGCCATTTCTGGCCTTTTCCGCCCATTGTGTATTGTCTATTTTATCACATGCATTTTTCGCGGGTTGTTTGATTCCAACCGTGGAGTTGGACGCAAGAGCGAAGTTGCTACATGCCCTAAACCACAACAAGAACAACAACAACAACAACATCCAACCGTGGCAGTGGATTCCAAGGATCGGGAAGATGTCAAGGGACGATACTGATACGAATATCAATGGTAAGAATATCACATGAGTCATGACCCTGTTGTTTTGAACAAAATGATGCCTAGCTTACCCTCATGCTATATTCACAAATGTAGATCAAGATAGGATATTATGTAAGTATCTGGCCCCTGAATAAAATCTGTTTGTAAATATACATTGTCCTTATTGGTCCTAACCGAGGCCCTTACCATGACTGCCCTGTCGAGTGTCGCCTGCTTGCCTTATGCCTACTGGATGACGTGTGCTACTTGGTACATACCCAATACCCATATCATGTTAAAGCGTCTAGTAATCTGCTAACATCAACATAGCCATTAGCCTAGGAGTTGAAATGAGTGAATTAACATAATGACACTGTCATCTGAGTTTGAAATAGTGTTGTTTTGCAGCTGGTGTGCTCATTTGGAAAGGTCCAGGTAGTGCTATGCATGCCCACAGCGGCTTGCAGTCCTATGGTCTTGATGTGGCAATGCCCATCTGCGCATGCAGCATTCTCATTGACACTGTCCATTCCAGTGATCCTGGATGCCAATGCTTTGGCTGACAACAGAAATGACCATCTAGAGCTTCAGTCTGAGGACAGAGTATCAGCAGCTGAGGCAGGGCCCAGTGGCTCACAGGATTTGGAAGCTATGGAGGCTGGGGATGGTGATCCCAGTGCTGACTTCAACATAGAGGAGGCTGCTGAACAGGAGCTGGGTGGATCAGAAGAAGAAATACATGTGACTTTGCAGCCAGCAACCGCAACCAAGGACTACTACTTTCAGAAGTACAAGGAAGAGTGGGAGGAGCTCCCTGAATTCAAAGGTTGGTTTGCATGTTATTCATCAAAAGTTGGTAAGAATTTATTAGAGTCTGGTTTCTTGATTCTTGATTCTTGAAGTTTCTTCAACCTTGATTCTTGATTTCTTAAGAACTTGTGGATGCAGTCCTCAAGTACGGGCTGTACAGAAATAAAAAGTCAATCTTGAAGAGTGTTAACTGCCCACCCACCCCCACCCCTCCCCAACTCCAGGCTGGCTGCGGCCTGTGGCCGATGATGTGTACAAGGCAGAGTGTTTGGTGTGCAAAACGCATCTGCGCTGTCACAAGCTGAAGCTGCGCCAGCACGCCAAGAGCAGGAAGCACCACCTGAACATGGTGTCGGGCTCGCAGAGGCTGCGCACTCAGGCGAAGCTGCTGACGCTGCGGAAGGAGCGACGCAGCTTCGGCCGCCGGGTGGGCGGGACCAGCACGGGCATGGGGCGCGGAGGAACGCCGGCCCGCCGCGCCGCCGCACGGGAGCAGGCGCCGCGGAGCGCCGCCCAGCAGGACGTCTCCTATGGGGTGAGCGCCACCGGGACGGTGGAACGGAGTCGATAGCGCGGGACAGGGCGGGATTTCACAGGACTTCTGCCGATGTGGGTTGCAATACGGGATGTCTAATGTGAATAGCGTGGCTTACGGAATGTGCTACATATTCCATGCGTGTTATGTCTAGGTGAAGACAAACTGACGACCTACCACCATCTCTCCATCTGCCAGGACATGGGCCGGGTGACGTACTCGATCGGCCTCGGCGGCAACAAGGTGGGCTTCATCGGAGCCGGCACCATCGCGCAGGCCATCGCCCGCGCCATCCTAGACAAAGGTGCGTGTAACAAGTGGTTGTTTCGGTGTAGAGGCGGTGGGCGGGGAAGATTCGCCTGTTTCAGTTGCGCTGCTCGGATGTCCCTCCGCGCCCGTGCCGTGCGCTCACTCCTCCTTCCCCCGCTGGCCCCAGGTGTGATCCACTCGGGTCGTATGACGGTGGCGGCGCCGTCAGCGCGCAACCTCTCTCGCTGGAGCGGCTGGGGCTCGGCGGTGACCAACAGTAACGACCTGGTCGTCCAGGCGTGCCACGTGGTGTTCCTGTGCGTGCCGCCCGCGGTGGCAGTGGAAGTGCTGCACGCGCTTGCGCCCAACCCGCAGATCGGCGAGCGCTGCTTCATCTCCGTGGTGCCCGGACTGGGCCGAGAGCGGATCGAATCGGTGAGAGCGGGGAGGGATGCTGAGAGAGGGGAGGGTGGTGGGGATATGGAGTGGTGCGTGGGGAAGAGAGACTGGAGTGGGAAGGAATCCCGTGGATGTGGTTTCAGTAGGCTGGGTTTAAGATGTGTTAGAAACGACCTTGTTTCAGTTGGCAATTTTCTCTCAGTTATTTGACATGAATGCCTAACTAAAGTCCGTTTTTCTTAAGTTTGCCCCTCACTGTAAACGTCTCTTTGAACACAGCACGAGAATTGCTAGCTGAATTACTGAGAAAACTGGTTAGCGCACATTGTATTGTAGATATGAATAATATTTTCAAAAATAAGCTTTGAACACCGACGATTTAACGTTATGTTAAGCGCCGTGCAATTTATTCATTAGTTCAGACATAATTCCTGAGAAGTCGTCTATCCCTGTGGGGCTGTAGGTATTGGCAAATACGAGCTACGAGTCTGTGAAATAGTAAATAAATTTGATGAAATTGATCGTCTGTGAAATTTGGTCAAATCAATGTGCGCCAACCAGTTTTCTCAGTAATTCAGCTAGCAATTCTCGTGCTATGTTCAAAAAGACGTTTACAGTGAGGGGCAAACTTAAGAAAAACGGACTATAGTACGATAATTTTTTATCGCTCAAATGCATGTTCCGGCTTCTGGCCACATCACGTCGGTCAACCTGAATCGTCAACTCTTCTTTACTGGCTAAACAATCATCGAATGGCTGTCTGCTTAGTACCCGGCCGCGCCACCTAACCCGTTCTTCCCCTGCTCGCCGCTCTCAGATCCTGGCGTCCAAGTTCGTGCCGCCGTGTGCGCCGGGCGACGTGCAGACTCTGGGCTCTGTGTACGTGGTCCGGTGTATGGTGAACCTGGCCGTCCGCACCGGTGCCGGATGCTGCGGTGAGTTCCCAACACGCTCCGCAGAGCAGCTGGTGTGTATTTGGGTTGTGAGTTTGTGTGTGGTTCAATGCAACGCTAGCTACGCCTGCCTAGTTCAAAATCAGCGTGCGGCTTTCGAGCAATGAAAATGCCGCATTTATTTCGCCATTTGATTTATCAGTTCCATTCAACATTCAGGCTTTGCTTGCAGTGCACTGCAGCTGACTGCAGAGGCTGCTCTGTGTTTCACCTCTCTCCCCTGCCCTACAACCTACTCCGTTCCGGACAAGTGACTGGTAACTGTGGGCTGTGTTCTAATCCCGCTCCCCTGTCTTACTGCCTACTCTGTGCCGGCCAACCTGCCCGACCGCTGGCCGCTAAGTGTTCTGACTCCCCTCCCCGGTCCTATAGCCTACTCTGTGCCGGCCAACCTGCCCGACAGCTGGCTGCTCAGTGTTCTGACCTCCCCTCTTCCCCACCTACCCTCTTACAGCCTACTCTGTGCCGGCCAACCTGCCCGACCGCTGGCCGCTAAGTGTTCTGACCTCCCCCTCCCCGGTCCTCCAGCCTACTCTGTGCCGGCCAACCTGCCCGACAGCTGGCTGCTCTGTCTGGAGGTGATGTGCGGCGCTATGGGAGTCAGTCAGCCGCTCGACGACGCCCGACTGGACGCGTTCTCAGCGGCCGTCTCGGCCGGCCCGGCCATGGCGCTGGCCTTTTGTGAAGCGCTGACGATGGGCGCGGCCAATGTCGGCCTGCCCTGGCACGTCGCCAGGAAGATGGCCGCACAAACGGTGAGTGAACGACAGAGGGAACGTTGGGATATGGAGGCCGCTATAGGACGAGAGATTCCGGATGGTTGGGACGAGGGATTCCGGAGGACTTTGATATGGAAGGTCGCCGTTACATCCCGCATGAGAAGTGAAATGGAAGAAACATCTATTTTTAATTTGACAATGTTTTAGTCATTTTGCGATCTGCATGGAAATGTTTTCTTGAAATATATTGTGAATAAATTTCATTTTCAAGTAGTTACCTATGGCCTATTTTCTCGTAACGGATCGACATTATCAGCTTACTCTTACAATCACCGGCTTTCTCTATCAATTGAACGATTGTTTCTGTTGTCGTGTCTTATTTTCCGTACACATGCGCGTCATGCGGCCACCCACCCCCGGGCTGTCCCGTTCACGTTTTACCACTACCCGTGCTCTGTTCCTAGCTGGTGGGCGCGGGCCACCTGCTTCTCGACGCAGACAGCCCGGCGACGCTGAGCGAGCAGGCGGCTCCTCCGGGCGACCCCGGCCTGTCGGCACTGATGGCGCTGCAGCGGACCGACATGAAGTGAGTGAGGGGAGGAGAAGGGGGGTGGGGAGGGACCCCGGTCTGTCGGCACTGATGGCACTACAGCGGACTGACATGAAGTGAGTAAGAGAAGGGGCGGGGAAAGGGACCCCGGTCTGTGGGCACTGATGGCGCTACAGCGGACTGACATGAAGTGAGTGAGGGGAGGGGGGGGGGGGGCGAGGACTGCTGCAGCTGTAGTGCTGACGGGAGGGAGGGCTTATGCGGTTCGAGACAAACAAGTAGATCGATGTACTCGTAAGCAGGGACAGATTTGTATGAGCGATAAAGGCATACAGTACTAACTGGAAAGTTGGCTCTAGAACAGAACTTGTCATCAGCAGCAGTGTCGTTAGCATCAACTGACGGCTGACCGTTTGCAGCCTCTGTGTCCGGCGACGTGCCTCCTTCACCTCCGTGCGGTATATGTATCTCGTTACAAGACACTGCGTGTATCTGCCGCAGGTCGGGCGTGGCGGCCGCCGTCCAGGCCTTCCAGAGGGCAGTGCGAAACACTTTCGGCGAGTGAAGTGTCCCGGTTCGTCATTGACAGAAGCAGCACCGCTCATAGCATCATCGTCATTGACAGAAGCAGCACCGCTCACACCATCATCAGCATCTTCACCAGCGAATGAAAGGCCAGTCCCCACTGTTCAATGGGCAAAAGTGTACGATACTCATAAAGAGCATGTGGACTGTGGAGTAGCTGCAGGTGCAGTGGTGCGAGATTATGCCGCACTACGGTACGTAGTGAACGTTGCAAGCCATTGTGCGTGTTGATTGATGCCGTTGCGTGATGACAAAAGAAATGTGCCATTTCTAGTGTCTTTAAAGCCGCACGTTGTGAGTTGTTCCATAAAGTGCTTTCAGAATACCGAGATGCATGCAGCATCGTCAGCTGTTTTAGTGTCTGAATGTGGATCGGTGGTAGTTATTTTCATGCAACCAATGCGTGATGCAGAAAGGACATAGACTGTTGGTAATTGGAGTTTAATGCGAGATATACTGCACATTTCTCATCAAAGCTCCAATAAAGCCCACAATCAACCGGCATTGTGCCTCCTCACATGTCGAGAAAAAAAGGAGTTTTGATAGTATGGTGTATTAGATGCACGGACAATGCAGAATCTGCTAAACCATCGCCTTTTCCAGAACAGCACACCCAGCCTTCTTGGAATCAATAGCTCTCTCTACCTCCTGAATTCTTTTCTGATTTCTAGCTCATTGCGATTGAAAGCACATGCCATTTTCTATCCGAGATGTTTTCTAACTTGCACTTACAATTAACATGTTATAACCACCAATAGCTCGCATAACTCGCAGGACTGCTGGATGAGACAGTGATTTCCGCCAGATGCTCGGGTCAGCCATGTTAATGTGTGTGGGAGTGCAGCTCCAGTATGATAAGCCTCTACGGGCGGTGCGTTATGAAGCCCCGAATATCGGGACCCAGCCGTACGCAACGGTCTGAAAGTGAATATTCGGATTTTATGTTATGAAGGTTTGGCCTTGCTGGTATAATATTGCGTGCAAATGTACCTCTTTGCGTGGTACGTATACCTTTGGCCACTCTCCATTGCCTGCTTAGAGATACTCTGCGCTCCGCTGCAATTACGAGTAACACTGACAACCTTAACGCCACCGATAACACAGAAGCACATGATCAGCGGGCTGCGGCCACGCCGAGGGAAGTACAGCTATACGGCGCGTCAGCGCTTCTCATCACAGAAATCGGCTCCTCCCTACTCGCCCGACCTGCCCGGTCCGAGGGCTGGCCCAGAGCGCCTGATAGCGACATCGCACGACTACACAACGAGAGCCGAGTTACAGAAAGCGAGCACGCCGCGGCGGCAGGAGCTGAACTACGGCGCGGCACCCGTTCACATGTCAGAGTGGTTTGCCAGCGGGGCGCCGCCGTTCGGCTTCTCAGACATCACCTCCACCTTGGTATCGCGGGCGGCAGCGGCGCTCTTGGTCGGCTAGAACAGACAGGCGCGGTCAGAGGTCAGAATCAGTTGCGAACCAGAGGATCGACTCGGTCAGGAACAGGGATGTTCAGAGTCGAACTGAGTCAGGTAGTTCTTAAATGTGGCAGCCCCTCGACGATGAAATAAAGAAACTAAAGGCAACTAATGGTCCCAGGATTGATGTAGCTAACGGATCGGTTGAATTATCTTGGAAGCTCGGAGGGAGCTGAATTGACGCTGACGTCAGCACTGCGATCGCTCCCGGTCGCGACCTTGGCCCCGTGTAACACCCGTGGGTCGATAATTAAGTTTCCTGCGATACCGGCGGATATTGCCAAAAAGTCCGGCCGATATGACCGTGTTCATTAGCGGCACGTATCGACCCGCACTTACCGACTGGACCTAGGCGGCAGGGCGAGGGAGCAATGTCGTTAGATGACGGCACCGGCTACCGATCTCAGCAAATTGGGGCCCCGGGCGAGCGATAGTGAACAGAGCTCATGGTAAAAGTCTAACGAATAAAGTTCGACGGGGGCTGGAATTTTACTCATGATTGACCGCAGTCAGCTATCAAATATCTGTCTCTAGATGTCAGAAGTTGAAATCAAATAAATGGTTTGAATCAAACCAATGAAATGTAACTGCCAACTCCACCAATGGCTGAGCTCCACTGGCCTTGACCTTTTCCCCCTCCCCTCCCCTGATTAATCAGCCGTCTGTCCCCTCCAATTCCCCGTCTCATCTCTCCGAGCTGAGCGACACGCCCTCCCGATTGGTGTCTCGCCGCCCCCGGGCCCGCCCTGGCCTCCCTGTGTCTCACCAGGGGGCTCTTTTCGCCGTCCTCGATGGAGACGGCGTCGGGCGCGTCGCTGGTGGTGTCAGAGCGCAGGTCGCTCAGCTCGGAGCGGCTCAGGTGAGCCACAATGGCCGCCGTGTAACAGTCGCCCAGACAGTTGTTGGTCGAACGGAACCTGTGCGATAAGTGGGTAGAGAATGGTCAGCGATGGTTCAGAAGGAGCTCGTGAGGCAGGTGGCGTTGACATCGGCAATGAGAAAGTTTCGTAGGTTGTGCGAGCTCAATTGGTGGTATACGAGTTTGAGCTGCCTTTTTAATATGAGTTTGAGCTGCCTCAGGTCTCTGAGCATTGAAGATCCACAACGTGTCAGTGTTATATAAGCTTTGAACGTTGACTAAAGCGCCTTTCCCCCATGACGGTCAATAATGTCCTAACTGGCTGTGACTGAGTCACCGCGGCCTCTGTTGGTGCAGGGCTTATGCGTCAGCGTCTTACACCGTTCCGTGCTTCTATCCTCAGGATACTGAAATCCTTCTCCTCCACGCCGCAACCCCCCTCCGGGCTGGACAGGCAACTTAATCTCATGCGGGCTGCTCCCTTGGAGCGGCACCGCTGCTCCCGAGGGAGCGCACCCCGTAGCCGGGTGCAATGAGTGCCTTGGGGCTGGGTGGCCTGTCCTCTGGACGGGCTCAGCCCCGGCGACTCACTAGGGTGCCTGCCCAGACCAATGTCTCCCCCTATATCCTATCATCCTCCCGGCTCTGAAATGGTCTAATTGGACCGAAAGGGCCTAATCCAACAAAACAAAACAAACGTCAGCGTCTGACACCAGTCGCTGCTATTTCTGATTCATGTCCATTAATTTTCCAACTCCATTAAAACAGCGGTCAATGACGTAAATCGTGAGAATCCACTGACGCCCGCCATTATACTAAGGTGGGTCACTGCCCGGGATCTACAGTAGTCCCTGGAACCGTTCGCATGCCTACCAACAGTCTCAATCGTGGCATATTACATCATCAATGCGTCAGCATGCCTACCAACAGTCTCAATCGTGGCATATTACATCATCAATGCGCACCGTCGGACTGTCTACATTCGTCAGAGAGGACGGATTATGGCTGAGTCATACTGGACTAAGATCTTCTCTCCGACAGAGTCGATCGGTAACTATGGCAACGAGACGCTGTCGGCGGATTACACCGTCTGGCGCGCAGACTCGGCCTGATCAGACGACGTAGCGGGTGTAACCGACCCCGGGGACTCGCCGCGAACCCGGACCCGTGCCGAAGTATCCGGGTCCAAACACTCGGTCAGAGCTCGACCTGGCGAGGTTGATTGCGACATCCCCAGGGACCTCAAATATCACCGGCATAATGCAATTTGGCAGGCTTACGGAGCTTTGGCACGGAACTGTTCAAACGCAATAGCACGGACCCAAGTTCACGGAAAATATGCCTGACATTTCAATCACGCTCAACTGGATACGATTCTGTTTCACCTCTAGTGCGTCACAAGCCATCGCTGGAGATCCCGTGAGGCCGGGGATGGACCCCTGTGAGCCCACTATGTGCCAACTCTGAGCTCTCAGAGACCAGTGTTTGCCCTTCGAGACTGGTGGGTGACTTCACACTTTCAGAGAACCTTAGATTGTTATGAGGGTCTTCCATCGTCTTGTGGTCCCTGAACTGTGGGTCTGTGCAAGCTTGCAGTTGACCCTCACAAGCTTTGACACAATGAACAATGAACTTGCACTCGCACAATGAACATTGATCATGTTGACACAGGTGTTAGATGTTCACTTATTCGGTTGATGAGGAATTAGGTGAATTACTGCTCAGTGCTCAGGCTCTGTATGCTACCCCGTGCCCTCCCGAGTCCCGACTGACCGGTCGACGAGCCAGTCGACGGCGAACAGGAGGCTGACGTCCGGGATGGGCGCCTCGATGGCCTGCAGCACGATCACCATCAGCACCAGGGCTGCAGAGGGCACGCTGGCCGACGCCACGCTGGCTGCGGTGGCCGTCAGACTGCGGGTCAGAGGGGGGGGGGGGGCGGTCAGAGGGCCAATGGTGGGCGAAAATGGCAGTAGGTGGTGGGGAGTGTGCGCGTTGCGTAGACAAGTGGTTTCGGGCTTCGGAGTGGGCGTGAATCATAGTTGTCGGAATGAGTGGGACATTTTAGAAACACTGGACAGTGGACATCGAATTGGACACTGGACACACACTGTGCCGGACATTGAACTGAACAGTGGACATGTAAGGACACCTTAACTGTCCGTCATTTATCATTATGAAACACACTCATCACTCCGTCATTGGGGTGGGCATTCGGAACTTAAGGCGGTCACCATAGGGTTCGCGTGTCAAAGAAGCTGGATTATCAAACATGGCACATCCTCTAGCCATCGATTTAATTCCTCGTAGTTCATCCATGAGCTTCCTAACAGAATTATGATGAGGGATCGGCTTGTGGAGCTTGTATGGCCTCCTCGTCGCTGCAACGGCGTAGTTTTCGTGTTGGCTCGCAAAGCCGACTGAGTGGATCTTCCCGGCTATCGATCGGCTGCAGCGTCACTCCACTCAACTATGTCGGCGAGTACGTGGCCGTAGTAGCAGCTGGCCACTACTTTTTCCCATTTCGGTCGCCGGGGAGATGGTTGTGGACATGTGCCTCACCAGGCGGCATTTCTCTGAGTAAGAGACGTTCATCTAATATCGCCGTTGGGCGAGGCTGTGACCGAGCTGCTTAGCGACACCGTCCAGCCGCCCGCCGCCCTCAGAAGGTAGAATCAGCCGCCTGGGCGGCGCTGGGCGGGGGCGTGGGCGGCCGATCTCGGCCAACTCACGCGATCGATTCAGTCGGCCGGCGCCCGAGACGGGAGAGCGGCTGACGCCACCGCCGGCCGAGCACGCAGCTCGGATCGCGAGCTGGCAGAAAGCCCTAACGTCTGGCTGAGACAGCCACAGCGCGGCCGACAGAGCCGGCCTCAAACAGCGGCAGCAGAGTCCCCGGGGAGACGACACGGGACGGGAAAAATACGGGCGAGGCATTGGCCGAACTACGGGACCGAGGAAACTGCTAGGGCCCATGTGCAACTGGAAATAAAAATGGTATATTTAACTAGCTAGTAGCTTGGGTAGAAATTATATTTTACTTTTGCAACGTTCTTGAGGTGCTATCGTTAATCAATTATTCATTTTTGCACTCATTGATCCACTTTAGTGGAAGCCTTCACGGAAGACGTTCGAATTCATCTTCTTTGGCAGAGAGCGTGGCGTCATCAGGACCTCATTACTGAAGGCAGGGAAGTAAACAGGCCCGAAACTTCATTAGTCCATTAAACTACCCGGTCAATATTACGCTAATGAGAAATAACGCTGCAAAGTGAGCGACTAAAATTAATCCATAGCCTCTTGGCTGCCAAGGGAAGACTCTCATCGTGAGTTTCCTTAAAGGTTCCTAGAATCCTTCCATCTGCATAAAGAAGCTTTCACATGAAGTGAAGTGCGATTGGTTTTCGTCTCTAAGCTCACAATCCACAGAAAGTGTTCGGCAAACCACTAAGCGTTTCCAATACAATTATCGATAAAATCCCGATGCAGCTGCTCGCAGTGGACCCCCAGCCGTTGTTTGGCGAACCTCTCGTGATTTCGGTCTTCTCCAGCAGACTGTTTCCCGGCCGACAGTCTGCTGGCGGCCGTAGGGAGCCCTCCGAAATGTTCGCATATTACAGCACAAACAACATCCAATTAGCAAGCGACAGATATTACAGAGAGTGAAAAATGGCTAGTGAGCACCTGCACACCAGACAACAGAACGAATAGCGACGGGCATTCGCCTGCAGATAACAACAGCAGAGTTCCGCCAAGTGCTGGAGCCGGTAGAACGAACTTTGCTCCACCTTTACCCACATAGGCAGCTATGGAAAATCGATCCCACCACACCGCTAACCCCTCTGAGCTGACTGAGCTTACTCAGTCCCTGCCTTTCACTCACGCCACGGTGACGAGGTTGCCGACGTCGAGCGACATGTTGTTCATCTGGGCGATGAAGATGGAGGCGACCGAGACGAACAGCGCCGTGCCGTCCATGTTGACCGTGGCGCCGATGGGCAGAACAAACCGACTCACCCGGCGGTCCACCTTAGCCTTGTCCTCGACGCATTTCAGCGAGATGGGTAGCGTGGCCGCGCTGGGGGCAGGGGAGGGAAAGGTGCCGTGTCAGTGTGTGATGTGTCTCACTAAACAACGCGTCCCTAACAGTTAGAAACAATCGATTTGGAAAGCGCTAACGTGTTAATATTATGATTCTCTCACTGGGCCACCTTTCATTGCAATGTAAGCACCAGGACGATGCATGACACTCGTTTCTCACGACACTTGGGATGCGCTATATAATATCCCGCCATAAAGTCCAACAAGAACCATAAATCTAGCAGCTCGCGAGTTAATGGCACCATAAATCCCCCCGTTGATGGCTGTCCCGGGTCACTACCGTCCCACGTGCAGTACTCACGTGGAAGCCGTAGCGAAGACGGTGAGCCACGCCTCGCGCATGTGCCAGAAGAAGGGCCACGGGTTGCGTCTGACGATGGCCAGGTAGAGCAGCTGCATGATGATGAGCTGGTAGATGAGCACGCCGACCACCACGGTGACGATGAAGAGGCCCAGCTGCTCCATGATGATGCCCAGTTTCGGCACGGCCAGGATCTTGCCGCAGATGATGGAGGCGATACCCAGCGGCGAGCACCTGCGCAGAGAATCGGGGTTAGGGGAAATAGCGATTAGTTCAGACGAACACTGAAGCCTGCAAACGGTCTCCGTGGGGACAATGGTTGTATGTGATGCTGTTGGGATGGGAGCGGTATTTAGCTGCAAGAGAGTAGGTACCAGCACTCGGCAGACTTCGGATTAAAGCGTGCATCTTCTGCTCCAATTGGCCTCCTTCATGATCACAAACACTTTGACACTCACATATGATACCAAACACTCACCACATGATCCCCGACACCATGCGCATGATGACCTCGTCGACGACGGCGAAGAACTGGATGACAACGCGCGCCTTCTCGCCGAGTGTTCCCAGCACGGTGCCGAAGACGATGCAGAAGAAGATGATGCCGAGCGTGTTGGTGCCGGGCCGGTACTCGACCGAGCGCTTCATCAGCTGCTCCGTCACGTTCTCGGCGCTGGCCACTGGCTTGTAGATGGTCTGCGTCTAAAGGGGACGGCCGTCGGCTAGTCAGCGGCCCGTCCGCGGCGCCGGAACGGGGATGGGACAAAGGAGCACTGGCTAGGCCAGCCCGGGACAGCGGTATTAGTTAATCACTTAGGAGGTGCGAGGGGCGATCGCAAGACGCGACCGCTTCACTCGCACAGTATGAAGAGATGATGATATTGGGTTATGTAGACAGATGATTTACGATTAGCCTGAGAGGTGGTGGCTCCAGTGAAGTCTAAGGAAAGTAACTGAAACTCGAAGAAAATCTCACACGACTTACTTTGAAACGTTATCAGAAAATGTGAAAGTAAATGATTGGCTACACAATTGAAGTCACGTGAATGCAACTAGAACAAAAAATGAACAACGAAAGTAAACGTTATGGGTAAACAAAAATCGTGTTTTGGTTGTACGCCACAGTTATAGAATCAGATATCCGATAATAATTGGAACAAGGTTATGGTAAATTTGACAACGGCATGATTTCAAACAGCAGGAAATGCGCGTAATAACACTGACTTATTGCTCACAACTCACACACTAAAAGGACAATGTAGAATGAAAATTAACAGCAGGACGTCGAGTTAAAAGGAAATAACAATGACTCTATATAAACACCGGAATGAATGAATCAATGGGTGGATGTCCTTATATCAAATTCCAAGACGAACAGTAACATGCAGTACATTCCAGTGGAGGGAGGAGGCCCGGGGACGGGACGGAGCGGAGCCGGGGTCGGACTACCAGCTCCGCCCCCGACACACGTACGCTCTACGTAGCGCCCCACCACCGCCGAGCCCACGTCGGGCCCGGCACGGACCGACTACCGACTCAAGTAAGTACCTGCTCGAAAGAGGCTTGGAACAGATTGTCTGGGAAGACGTTTCTGAAAAAGAGAACCTGCGCGGTAACGGCTACGTCGACCGGCGCCGAGCCAAGCGCACACAGAGAGCACGGAAACGGCGCGCTCCCCCGCGACCCCGACCTCACCCCTGAGTCCTGACACCTGACCCCGGCGGCGAGACGACCCCGCCGGGCGCGCCGCGGCCACGCCCGGTACCGGGAGACGAGCTCAGCCCACAGCCCGGCCCGCCGCCGAAATAATGGCAGCGCTATCACTGACGGCAGCACTGAACGGCCCACTTTAAACCCAATTGGCTGCGAGTGCAAAGCCAGTGTTTGGCTGAGCGCACCGCAAATATTGCGCCAATCGGCGGCCCATGGATTAGTGACGAATGACGAACGAGCAAACCATCAACTGCCTAAGCACGATTGCCAAAATTACGTCAACGACGAACAAAATACAGGGTCGGAGCATGCAATCCGCCCGTTCACTTTGCCTGGCAAGAACCTCACGAAAATCTTCATCTAGTTGAGCACTGTGCAATCAAACATCCCAGCAAATCTCATCGTTTCACCCTGACCCCCCCAAAAAAAAAACACCCTTCCCAAACTGAATCACATAGCCTGAATCAAGCGTTGTGCACCCCCCGTGGTGCCCCGGCTCGCGCAGGACGCACCTGCCGAGGTCCAACAGGCCGTCCATGATGGTGGCGCGGCGGCTCTGGTCGCTCTGCTCGATGGCGTTGCGCATGGTCGGATCGCCAGGATGGATGGCGACCACCAGCAGAATGCCCAGTACGGCGTTCAGCAGAGACGTCAGCACGAAGTAGATGACGGTGCGCATCGCGATCTTGCCGTTCATGCGGGCGTTCAGACTGGCCGAACCTGCGGGCAGATAAAGGAGCCGGTCATTGGGTGTGTCGGTGTGGGACTTGTTCGATAGACACTTGGGTGGGGAGTGAGGTAGGGATGGGGTCGAGGACAGTGGCGCAGTGGAGGCCATGACAGTGTCGACTACTCTGCCTCCTTGAGTCTAGGGTAAAGGTCACCATGGGTAAGCTGGCTCATATTGGTAGGTGACTGAGCCATCGGTCAAGATAATTAGATGGTTGCACGTTAATTATTCCTCTGTAGAAGGTAACATGCGCTGTGCCTCAAATCTTCAGCGCTATTGGAACTGTCAGCGAGCCGTAACTTGGACATGGGCTGAGCGCCGCTCGCTGGCAGCCGCCCCCTACGCGCGCTCTGTCGTTTTCTAGTTTTTCCGCGGAAATAGTGCCAGTGTTCTTTCAAGTATCAGCGGTGTCGAACAGTTCTAGCTTCGGCAATGCGTGGTGATTTTCGTTCGTCCCTCATCTAGTGGGCTTGCGAATAATATTCAAGTTTGTTTTTACTCTTCAAGACCACCGAAGGCCTATGCCATGGCCCTCGTTTCTTTCGACCAAAATTCTACCGGTTTTAGAAGAGCTCCACCAGCCAATCACACGGCTCGGTCGTCATCTACCGCCTCACGCGCCGCACGTTTCACCGTCGTCGACTCCGACGGTCGTCGGACACTCGGACCAGGGGCGAAACCCTCATGGACAGACCCATTAATCTCCCGCCCAGCGGCGGAGTAAGGCGGCACTGCAGGGGGAGACGGGCCGGCCGCCACGTCCAGGCGCGCCGCAGACGTGCCATAGAGTACGAGCGGCGCCCGAGCCGCGGCCGTGTCCTGATCCCCCTAACAGGCAGCCCCGGACCCGCCCATGCAGGACGAGACCGGACGGCTGAACCCCGGGATGGGCCGGGCCTGCCAGCGGACAGCAGCCGGCAGGAAGGCGTTGGGGCCAGTGGGTCCCGCCGTGTAGAGCGCCACCCTTCACGTGGTGAAACCAACCGGTGTCTGCCCCGGCACACTCTGAGCATCGGTCATTCATACATCAGTGGAAAGCCAGCTGACAACACGTACGACCGGGCTTACCTTCTAGCGGTGCGTGAGAGGGTGAGGGGTGGTGCGAATAGCAAAATCGCCCAGACCATCCGAAGCAGTCTCCCAGCGCGCCTGACACATTTGGTCCGCCGCTCACATCAGCCAATCCGTGCCATTTGTGGATCTAACCGGCGGCCCCGTCCCATCGCCATTAGAGATGCAGGATACCAACAGCGAACGATCACGGTCCCAGCCCGACTCAGCATCGCGGAGACTCGCAGGGTACTGGGATCAGGGAAACAGCTAGCACCTGCCATCTTCCTGACCAACCCCACGTCACTCAACAATAAATTGGACGAGCTATACGCGAACATACTGGAGTATGCCCCTGACGTTGTCTGCATCTCAGAAGTCTGGCAGGTCGATCAGGACAAGGCAAATTTCCCCGGCTTCAGCTTCTTTCAGCGACCCAGACTGCATCGTCGGGGAGGTGGCGTCGGCTGCTACGTCAGACAGTCTATTCCAGTGAAGCTACTGAATAGCCTCCAACCCTCTGAGGAAGACGTTGAAGTGATATGGCTTCAATTACGGCCTAAACACCTTCCGGCAGGTTCATCTAATATCTGCATCGCCACAGTCTACTTCCCACCAGGCTCGTGTGCAGAGCTGCGAGTGAAATATGAGGAGCACCTTCAGTTCGCCATTGATGAGCTCCGTACCCTGTATGACTGCCCTCGATTTATCATCTGCGGTGATTTCAACAGCTTTCCAGTTGAGTCCCTCTGCCGGCTCAATGGTTTGCATCAAATTGTAACAGCCCCCACGCACGGGGACTCAGTTCTGGACCTCATCCTGACCGATCTGGGTGACTATTATCACGAGCCTGTGATGCTGTCGCCCCTCGGGCGCTCCAAGCACGTCATCGTGCACGCTCGACCGCGCACCATCCAGCCGACACCGAGGGAACGAACGACCGTGCGAATGCTGCCGGACTCGGGAGTTAGAGCATTCGGCAGGTGGATCACAGCACACGACTGGACCCCCGTATATGAGGCGTCTTCCCCCGATGAACAGGTGGCGGTGCTGCAGTCAACGCTCTCCACTGCTCTAGACCGGTTTCTGCCTACCAAGACATTGCCAGTGCGACATCGAGGGAAGCCTCACATCACCGCCACCGTCCGACACGCCATTGCCCAGAAGCACAGAGTTTTCCGACTCGAGGGCATGTCCGACCGGTGGCGACATCTACGAAATAAGGCCACTCATCTGTGCCGCAAAGCCAAGGCGGAATTCTACGACAGGAAAATACGAGGAATGAGGACAGCAAAGCCGGCTACTTGGTACCGTCAAATCAAGAGTCTGACCGGCCGAGTAAAGAACGAACAGCTAAACTTCGCTGAGTATGAGACTGGTGGGGCGCTGGCGGAAGCGGTCAACCAGCACTTCGCATCTATCTCATCCCAGCTGCCGGCACTCAACCTGGAGGAATTCCCTGCCTACCTACCGGCGGACGCACCCCCACCGGTCATCCGACGAGCTGACGTCCAGAGGGAACTGAGCAGCATCCGCTCCAACATCTCCACCACACCGAATGAGCTACCAGCACGGCTGGTCAAGGAGTTTGCCTTCGAATTATCGCAGCCACTCACTCACATCTTCAACTCCTCGCTATCCTCCGGAAAATTTCCGTCTGCTTGGAAGCTATCCTTCATCACCCCCATTCCCAAGGTCAACCCTCCAACCTCTTTCAACGATCTTAGACCCATTTCACTCACCCCGCTCTTCTCCAAAATCTTTGAAGGATTTTTGACAACCTGGATCATGGCTGACATTACCCCATCACTTGACCCACACCAGTTCGGAAACAGGCCAGGCTACTCTACGGTACATTACCTGATCTCGCTATATGACTTCCTGGCTAAGAACACAGACAGCTCTTCAAACGCTGCGGCCATCCTGGCGATCGATTTTTCCAAGGCCTTCGACCTGGTTAGCCATGATGTCGTGCTCAGGAAACTACTGGACCAGCAAGTTCGTCCCTCCATCGTGCCTACAGTAGCCAGCTTCCTCAACGAGCGGAAACAGGTCGTTCGACTTGGTGGCTCGAATCCTGTCTCATCAGAGCTCACTACCACGTGTGGAACGCCCCAAGGGACAAAAATCGCCCCGATTGCATTTTTGGCTCATATAAATGACTGCGCAGTTACCGAAGATCATCGATGGAAGTATGTGGACGACCTCAGTATCGGCATCCTGTCTCCTGCAAGAGATGCAAACATTGTCCTTCAGAAAGCCCAGACGGCCGCATCCACTCTGGAAACATGGTCAGAGAACAATCTCATGAAGATCAACGGAAAAAAATGTCATATACTCATCTGCAACTTCTCTCACAACACGGATATGGACGGCGCAGTAATCATTAACAACGAACCAGTACCTGTCGTCTCTACCATGAAACTTCTCGGAGTCCATATTACTTCTGACTTAAAGGGACCCTCCCACCTTCAAAAAAGTTAATGAATTGGCATGAAAGTGATGTCGCTCGGTTCAGAAAGAGCAAAAACGAATATCTACCAAATTTCATCGAAAAATATTCACCGGTTTTCAAGATATTAGACTTTTACTTTTGTTTACTTTTTGGGATCTCCGCTATTCCTAGCGACTTTATTTGAAAGTGCGGCATTTGTTGCGCGCAAAGCAGCATATACCACCGCGTGCTACAAAACGTTTTAGTCAAACATTTAACGGACGTTCGAAAGCCTGATGACGTCATCAGATTCCCGTAATGGTTAAGAGATAGGGACCAAGCTGGTCCCACCCTGCAAGTAAAGGGAAGAAATTTCTTGAACACCATAAAGCTGCGGGGGTTGCAACCAGGATAAATGGTGGTTTCTGAGCCTGGCCGCAAACTTGGCTATCTCAACTCAAAACTAATGTTAAGGTGGGAGGGTCCCTTTAAAGTGGACGGCAAATACAAATCATATCACAAAAAACGCCTCTCGCAGGCTGTTCATGCTCACAGTCCTCCGTCAGTTCCATGCAGATCTGAGCGATATCCGCGCCGTCTACATCAGCTTCATTCGTCCATGTCTGGAATACTGCTCTCAACTGTGGCACACGGGACTGACACAGCAACAAGCACAAGCAATCGAGCAAGTTCAGAAAAGAGCTTGCAAAATCATGATAGGATACGAAAACTACACCGACTACGCCTCTGCCTGCCAGCTCCTCAACCTCGAGACTCTGAGCGAGCGTCGCGATGCTGTCCTCTGCAAGCTGGCGGCCGACATCCTCGCCAACCCCGCCCACCCACTGTACCCGGGCGAGCAGCTGGCAAATGTGAGGCGCCCTCTGCGCCGGCAGCGAAAGTTTGTCGTACCGCGGGCCAAAACTGAGCGGTATAAAAAGTCCACTGTGCCTGTACTCATAGATCTAATGAACAGGATGTGATCCCCACGTAGATATGTTCGGAGCTCTTTTGAAATGCACTGTGTTTTTAATTTTTGTGATGCTTTTCACTTCTTCATGTGGTGCCACCATTGCACAGCTCATGTACGGCCTTTTTACCAGTCGTTGACTGTCACGTGGTCAAATAAACCTTTATGTATGTATGTATGTATCTGTTCAAAGGGTTACCTATGTCACGGACCACCGACCTATTTTACTTCATTAACAATTTTCTGAGAACCCGAAAATCATTGAAGACTTAATAATGAAATGTTTGCCGATGTGTCCCGAATGTTATCCCTCGATGTGTGGAACTCCGACGGCAGAGCGGAGTTTTATTGGTCACCATGCAGGTGGGCCCGCCGCGGCCTCGGGCTTCCCACGACCGGCTGGCAGCCCTCTCGTAAACAGCTCTGACATAGAGCGCCAGGTGGGGTGGGGTAGGGTTGAGCGTTGGCTGGCCACGCCGCGGGCCGTCCCACGGCGTAATGACGTCAGCACGGCTCCGGCCGACCCACAACGCTCA